TTAGATTGTCACACTGCTCACATTGCTTGTAAATTCGACACTTTAATCGAAAAAATTGACAGAAGAACCGGTAAAAAATTAGAAGAAAACCCTAAATTCGTTAAATCCGGTGATGCTGCCATTGTTAAAATGGTTCCATCTAAACCAATGTCCGTTGAAGCTTTCACCGACTACCCACCATTAGGTAGATTCGCTGTCAGAGATATGAGACAAACCGTTGCTGTCGGTGTTATCAAAGCTGTTGAAAAATCCGACAAAGCTGGTAAAGTTACCAAAGCTGCCCAAAAAGCCGCTAAGAAATAAGCTGATTAACCTGTGTTGATTGTTGTTTCTCTTTGATTTGATAAATAGTATATTTGAATATATATTTTTTTAAAATATCTCACTTGTAGACTGCCGTTTGAAGTAATTGCTGAAGGAGTAATGAGCTAATTAATGGATCATTGTACGGTATAAAAGAGTCAGCTCATCACATGACTTTGTCCTGACTCGTTTCTGACTCGTTTCTGACTCGCGCCTGGCTTCCCCGGGCATATCGCACTAAAGGAGTGCTTTCTGCTAACAAAATAAAAAAAAAAAAAAACAGAAAAACACGCGAGAAATGGACTCGGTTTTGTCTGTGACTCGGGAACGGATGCGATAACCTTCTGCTACTTTAAAATTCACAACCATAGGCCTTTGTTTGGCAAAACCTTTTTTTCTTTTTTTTTTTTTTTTTTTTCACTTTCCTTCTACTCCTTTATAAACAGCCCTTGCTGGAACTTTTCCTTTATATTCTTCTTTAGCTGATCTTCTATAGAGATAGTTTCCGAGATGATCAGAGCGAGATTTGCTGCCAATACCGCGATAAGATCAAAAAAATTGTTATCGGTGAATAATGCTAGATTAGCCTTAAAGCCTTTAACTTTGAGTACTTATAGAAGTCTTGCTACCAAGGCTGATACTTCATCTGCTAATTATGGGAAAGTATATAATCCATCAGCAAATTTGGTATCAAGTGCTAACTTAGATACTTTTGCAAGACGCCATTTAGGACCAACTCCTGACAATGTTGACCATATGTTGAGTACAATTGGGTATAAGGATTTGGATGAGTTTTTATCACACGCCATTCCAGAACATGTTTTAATCAAGAGACCACTTCAAATTGAACCTAAAAAGGGTTTCACTGAATCAGAGATGATGGATCATTTGAACTCTATTGCTCTGAAAAATAAAATCGTTAAATCCTTTATTGGTAAAGGTTATTATGGAACTAAAGTTCCTCCGGTTATCCAAAGAAACTTGTTGGAAAGTCCAGAATGGTATACGTCTTATACTCCATACCAACCGGAAATCTCTCAGGGTCGTTTAGAGTCTTTGCTCAATTTTCAAACCATGGTTTCTTCTTTAACTGGTTTGCCAATGGCTAATGCTTCTCTTTTAGATGAAGGTACCGCAGCCGGGGAAGCCATGTCATTATCGTTTCACAATTTAAAGGGTAAGAAAACTAAATACGTTGTTGATACTGATTTACATCCTCAAACTTTAAATGTTATACAATCGCGTGCTACCAATTTAAACGTTGAAATTATTCAATTGCCTTTATCAACAAATGAAGGTATTGATCAATTGAAAGAAATCTTAAGTGATGTTTGTGGTGCTCTTGTGCAATACCCTGCCACCGACGGTTCACTTTCAGTTGATAATTTTCAAAAAGTTGGCGAATTAGTTCATTCAAATAAAGGTTTATTTGCTATGGCTACTGATTTATTAGCATTGACCTTATTGAAATCCCCTGCAGAATTTGGTGCTGATGTTGCTTTGGGTACTACCCAAAGATTTGGGGTTCCATTTGGTTACGGTGGTCCTCATGCTGCCTTCTTTGCTACTAATCTGAAATACCTGAGAAAAATCCCTGGCCGTATTGTTGGTTTATCAAAGGATAGATTAGGTAAACCAGCTTTAAGATTGGCTTTACAAACTAGAGAACAACATATCAGAAGAGAAAAAGCCACTTCAAACATTTGTACTTCTCAAGCTTTATTAGCAAATATGTCAGCCATGTACGCAGTTTATCATGGTCCAAAAGGTTTGAAAAATATTGCTGCCAGAGTTTATGGTTATACTACAATCTTAGCTGATCAAATCAAAAATAATAGTAACCATGAAATATCTAATGGAAAATGGTTTGATACTTTAACCGTTAACTTAAACGGTGAACTGGCCGATGAAATATTAGCAAAAGCTTTAAAATTCAATATTAATTTATATAAAGTTGACGCCGAAACTGTTTCTATTTCATTTGATGAAACTGTTAATGAACAAGATTTAGTTTCCTTAGTTGAAGTGTTTACTGGTAATGCTAGTTTTAAATTCCCAGAACAACTTCCTACTATTGCTGAAGAATTATTGAGAACTGACGAAATCTTACCCCATAAGATTTTCAATACTCATCATTCAGAAACTTCAATGTTGCGTTATTTACATTTATTACAGTCTAAAGATTTATCTTTGGCTAATTCCATGATTCCATTGGGGTCATGTACCATGAAATTGAATGCCACTGTTGAAATGCAAAGTTTATCAATTCCAGGTTTTAATCAAATCCACCCATTTGCACCAATTGATCAGGCTCAAGGTTATAAGCAATTGGTTGATGAATTTGAAAAAGATTTGAATGATATCACTGGATTTACTGCCACCACTTCAATGCCAAACTCGGGTGCTCAAGGTGAATACACTGGATTATCATTAATTAGACAATACCATAAAAGTAATGGTGATTACGAAAAGAGAAACATTTGTCTTATTCCAGTTAGTGCTCACGGTACCAACCCAGCATCTGCTGCAATGTGTGGATTGAAGGTAGTACCAATTAAATGTTTAAACAATGGATCAATTGATATAAATGATTTAAAGGCAAAAGCTGAAAAACACTCCGAAAATTTATGTTCAATCATGATTACTTATCCATCTACTTATGGTTTATTTGAACCAGGGGTTAAACAAGCAATTGATACCGTGCATGCAAACGGGGGGTTGGTTTATCTTGATGGTGCTAATATGAATGCTCAAGTTGGTTTAACTTCTCCTGGTGATTTGGGTGCTGATGTTTGTCACCTAAACATTCATAAAACTTTTGCCTTATCTCATGGTGGAGGTGGTCCAGGTCAAGCTCCAGTTTGTGTTAATGATAAATTAAAACCATTTTTACCTCTGCATACTTATCTTAAAACTCCTCATTCAACCAATGAATCAATCAAATCGGTCAATTCTGCTCCATTCGGTTCGGCTAGTGTTATCCCAGTATCTTATTCTTATATTAAAATGTTGGGTGCTGATGCTTTGCCTTATGCTTCATCCATTGCAATGTTGAACGCTAATTATATGTTACACCGTTTGAAAGAAGTTTATAAAATTCTTTTCGTTGATTATTCTGCATCGACTAATGATGGTACCAAACATTGTGCCCATGAATTTATTCTTGACTTGAGAGAATTCAAACTGGTTGGTGTTGAAGCCATCGACGTTGCTAAAAGATTACAAGATTATGGATTCCATGCACCAACAATGTCGTTCCCAGTGGCTGGTACTTTAATGATTGAACCAACTGAATCAGAAAATTTGGAAGAATTAGACCGTTTTGTTGACTCTTTACTCTCAATCAGAAAAGAAATCGATGCTTATGCTAATGGAGATCCTGCTGGTGGTGTCTTGAAAAACGCTCCCCATTCAATTGATGATATAGTTTCAACTTCTCAACTGGATTGGGAAGCTAGGGGTTATACCAGAGAACAAGCTGCATATCCATTACCATTTTTGAAATATTCAAAATGTTGGCCTACCGTGGCTAGATTGGACGACACCTGGGGTGATATGAACTTAATGTGTACCTGCCCTTCAGTCGAAGATGTCGTAGCTGATCAAGCATAATTTTTTTGCAATCATTTAATCTTAAATTTTTTTCTACGTATATAACTAAAACTTGTATTTTAGATTTGTTAGTTTCCTTAATATATAGACTCCGTGTACTCACCCTGGGCGTACCCTGGACCCAACTTATAGCCAATGTGAAGTAAGGGTGTTTCCCTATAAACCTAGAAGCTAAAAACAATAAGACATAATTTTCACAAAATTCACTCAGGAGAAACGCAGAAAAGACAAACAAACCAAAAAAAAAAAAAAAAATAAGTCAAGATTGAGCAATATTGAACAGAAAAATAACTACTTCAAAGGAAGTATATCATTGATTAACAAGAGATAGGATCTTCGAGGGTCAGCGAGTGTGCTTAACAGAGGAAACCAAGAACATCAAGTTAGTTTTAATTTCGGCAATCGATCGTTGATAGAAGACGTAATTAGACATATTTCAATATTTACAAGTATAAGCATTAATGGATTGGTACTCGAGATCGAAAAGAGGATCACTTTCATCTACTACCGGAAGTGTATCGGCACCAGGGATCCCTGGAGGGGTGTCATACTCACCCAAGGGATATAATCAACCGACCAGTACTCCAAATTTAGGCCGGGGAGGGAATACTACCCCAACATTTACGAGTCCACTGCAACGAAGTAATTTTTATAGTAATTATCATCCGTTACTACCACCCAGTTCCAGTCTCAGCAGTGGGACTAGTGGAGGCGGGAGCTCCAGTAATAATCAAAGTCCTATTAGCGGACAAAACGTTGGTGGTAATAATACCATTAATAGTGGGAATCAAATGGTATTTGATAATGGGATAAATGATCGACATCTGTATTATTTTTCACAATTACCATTGAACTGTTGTGACTGGACCAAGCTAGAAGGAGCAGGAGGAGGAGCAGAGATGGATTGCATAGCATTAAGTTCATATAAGGAAGGATTTAATAATAAGATTCAGGTTATACATGGAGTAGCGTATTCAAATAATCTGAATGATTCAATTGCTATTGAAGATGAAGCCGAATACTCTAATTCAGTTGACGGGTTTGATATGTATAAGGTTGCTGAAGTATTGGTTGATTATCCAGTTACTAATTTGCAATGGGATCCATCAATGAATAATGTTAATAATGGATATAATGAAAGATTAGCAGCTAGTCTGGAAGTACTTCGATTATACAAAGTTGAACATGAGAATTATGATGCTAACAACAATTTCCAGTTAACTCAAACTCATATTTTAGCAAATAATTCAACTAGTCAATCAACTAAAAATGGAGATAAAAACGGGAGTACCGAAGATATAAATACTTTCCCACCGGTGACATCATTTGATTGGAATAAAGTTGATCCGAGAATACTCATTACTTCGTCGGTGGATACCACCTGTACTGTTTGGGATTTGACTCGATCAAGCAGCCGAAATACAAGTGATGGTAAAATGGATATTGCTCAAGTTAAAACCCAATTAATTGCCCATGACCTGGAAGTTTTCGACGTGAAATTCATTCATGATTCAACCAATATATTTGCCAGTGTTGGTAACGATGGTTCTATGAGAGTATTTGATTTAAGATCCTTAGAACATTCCACCATCATCTACGAACCAACTACAAACAGTTCAACCAACTTGAGTGCTGGTGGTGGCCATTACAATTCTAATGCATTAATCAGGTTATCCACTTCAAACGTTGATTCTCATTATTTGGCTACTATTGGTGTTAATCTGAATCAAATCATCGTCATAGATATGAGAATGCCTGGTATCCCGGTGGTTACCCTCGATGGCTCTTTAGGAGGCATGAATAACGCAGCGATCAACTCTATCAAATGGCATCCTCTCTCCAACCATTTACTAACCGGTGGTGATGACTGTCAAGCCTTGGTCTGGGACTGTACTACTTTATCTAAATCTCCAAATACCGATTCAGCTACAACGGCACCGGCCAATCCCAATGACGTGGGCAAATTGAAAAACGGAGAATTGGGCATGGTCATCGACTGTCCGGTATTATCCTACGAAGAAGAATTGGAAGTGAACAACGTCTGCTGGCGTCGTAATGCCGGCGACTGGATGGGGGTTGTCAGTGGTAAAGGGTTCCAAGCTGTTCTGATATAAAACAAACGCATTTTCTTTTTGCATTTTTTTTCTTTTTTTGCTTTCTTTCTTTGACTTCCTTATCAATACATGATATGTCCCCTGGACGTCCAAGACGGCCAGGTATCAAGCCAACAAGCCATCGACTGCAAAATCAAGTATCTTCGTGTAGTTCCGAAAATAATCGTATAATCTAAAAATAAAAAAAGGGTGTCTCAGTTTTTGTTGCCCGGGACACGCCCTCCTTCTCGCTCCAGCGACGAATTAGTACCCCTTCCAAAGGACATAAAGGACAAATTTCACAATACAAGTGAAACAAGAGTTTCATTTTGGTACTCGTACCTTCCGCCACCTGTGGGAAGGTTACAAGCAAATGTAGGCATCGAGGAGACTCACCTTGAAATAGAAGACAAAAATAAAGAGTGCTAAACAAAAACAAAATAACCAGGCTAAATTTATAAGCTTCTTAACCGTAATCCTTGGACCAGTCAATTGTTTGTTGTCAAGTAAACCGAGTTGGACAGAAAGATTCGCTTGAGGTAATGATATACTCCCGATTCTGACAAAGTAAGGATGTCATTTTAGTCCCAAGATGATTATATCTTAGCAATTGCCTTATCAAGCAGAGATGCTAGCCTGATTTGGACGATGCTTCGTTGCCGAAATAAAAATAGTAGGGGGGCTTTATTGCCCTGTAATTAAAATACCATCCATTGCTTAACCAAAACCCAATCAAAACAACAAAAAACCACTGATTCTTTGTTATTTTGTGCCCTTATCTTCGTACAACCCATTAGTTTACCCTTGATGGTCGACTTTAATGGCCCCCAGTAAGTGCAATGGGAATCTGGTTCTCCCGGTTTTGTTCTGGAAGACGCTTTTGTCCCTTCTGTAAGGCTTGTTATTATCATTTCATCTTTTCTTTTTATACCCTCTTTGTTAGTTTATATTATTAGTAGCATATTTTTTTTTCATTCCATAAAAATATCACTCGTTTTATTATTAACTTTTCGAAAAAAAAACAGAGGTTAAAAAAAAAAAAAAAAGAATAGCTTATTCCCTAGTTTTAAATTAACCCCTGTTTATTGCTTCATTATCATAAAAGTCCTTCGTTTGTTCGATTTACTTGATCTTTGGAAAGTAGTTAACTAAGTACTTTTTTTTTGTTCTTTCTTTCTTTGGTTCTTTCTTTGGTTCTTTCTTTGATTTGTTCTGTTAAGGTTTAGGCATCGCATTAAGAGACTTAAATGACAAATCATTCGTTCAAGTTCCCTTCTTTGGGGCCTTTGAAACAGATCTTGAGAAGAAATGATGACTATAACCAAACTAGTGCCCCCACTAGTGTGTCAGCCAGCTCAAGCCCAAGCACAACTTCAACTGGCATTGCTAGCTCAACCCAAGATTTTGTTTCGGCTTCTTTGACTAGTTTGGACACCCAACCGTCTTCCACGACTGATTCAAGCTCAAACTCTTTGATATCCCCTAGAGCATCGTATACGTCCCTTCTGTCCTTGGCTTCTCCCACCGGCTCGTCCAGTAATCACAAGAGAAACTCCAGTGATGGGTCCATCACCTCTAGTGATCCTACCCCAACGTCATCGACGTCTTTTGCATCTGCATCCGAAGATGAAATACCGTCTTCCTCAACCTCTTCACTGGCTCAACCTTCTAGTGACTCTTCTAGTGACTCTTCTAGTGACTCTTCTAGTGACTCTTCTAGTGGCTCTTCTAGTCAGTCGTCCAGTGACTCGTCCTCAAATACTTCAAGTGAAGTTTCCACTAGCGAAACATCCATTGGACCTTCCTCGACTGAAACTTCGTCCAGTGCTGCTTCCAGTGAAACTTCCAGCGAGTCCTCGTCCAGTGCTACTTCCTCTAGTGAAGCTTCCAGTGAAACTACCAGTGACACTTCTTCCAGTACTACTTCATCGAGTCAATCTTCATCCAGTCATTCTTCTAGCGAATCCTCTAGTGAATCCAGTGAATCCAGTGAATCCTCTTCTTCATCAAGTGGACCCTCGTCAACTTCTGCATCTGATTCCCTGTCGTCTGAACAAAATCAACTGTCTTCTTCAGAAACGTCAGAATCATCTATATCCAGTGACTACTCTAGCTCCGTAGGATCAACCACCACCGAATCTACCTCCCTGTCAGCGGCCCTGAGCTCCTCCTCGTCATCCAGATCTAGATCCAATATCCCAAGCTCAACGTCGGATTCCTCCTCTTCAACATCCCATTCATCATCCCACTCTTCTTCTGCATCTTCGTCCACTCATTCTTCAAAGTCTTCCAGTTCGTCTTCTTCTAATCTGTCCTCAAGACATCGACACTCATCTTCACACTCATCTTCCTCTCCTTCAAGCTCGTCAGCATACGCATCAATTACTTCAGATAGCTCATCCACCAGTCACACAGCAGCAAGGACTGCTCCAATCACTTCTGGTTCAGTCTCTGAATATACTACATTAAGTTCTTCTCCAGATACTACCATCACTTCGCTTATAGCTGTCCCCACCTCGGTTGCTTCTTCTTCAAGTGATAACCAAACTACAGCTCAAAAAAACTCGAAATTAATCGGTGGTTTAGTAGGTTCTGTTGGTGGTACCATCGTAATTGGTACCTTGGTTGTTTTTTTCCTTTTCTTGAAGAAAAGAAAGAGAGGTTCTCTTACAAACCAATCACCAGATTTCAATAATGAATCTGGCTCTTCATCATCAGAATTTAAATCTGATCTGAAGAATGGGTTCAAGAAATTATTCGGTTCTAAGAATACCCCGGCCATGATTGGGGGTGCTGCAAGAGCTGATGATTTAGAACGTCAAATTAATGATCGTGCCGGGGTTAACACTGCCGGTGCTGGGGTTGGTGCTTCGGGTCCTTTCTCTTCTTCTGAAGAAGATGGTTTCCAATACCGTGGTATCACCAATAGTAATAATTTGGATTCTGTTTTCAGACTGCCTGGTAATAGTACTGGTCAAAATAGTGGCGCTACTAGTGGTAATGTCAGTACAAAAGGAGGCTTGACTAATAGTACTAGATTTAGTTCAAATGGTGGTCTATCTACAATGCATGAAGATTATTACGATTCTAGTCCGTTTGATCAAGGCAATAATACTGGTTATGGATCCACCGGTGCTACAAGAGCTGCTGGCGCTGGTGCTGGTACCGCAGGGGCTGCTTATGGTCACTCGAGGGGTGATTCTGAAGATTCTGTTGATGCTGGATTCAACCCTTCTGATTATGACATTGATGAAGACGATGAATTTCTCCCAGTAAATCGTGGGGTTATCTTCGGTACTGAAAACCATAGTAATAATTCAAAGTCAAGATTTACCGAAGAAATTATTTGATTGTATTTTAGCTGGCGTTAATTAATCTTATTGACGATTCTTTTTGCATACTCTGTATTTAGTTCTCATTTCCAATTATATTAGGTTAACTTTCATTAAACAATTGTACTTGTCGATTACCTTATTTTTCGTAATTTAGTTAACTTTCCTATCAAAATTCAAATTAAACTGTAAATTTATAAATATAGTCACAAGGCTCCCCCGTTTCAACCAAAGTCTTCATATTTAAACGAATAGACTGCAACTAATCGAAACTATGAATTGTTCGTGAAAAATTTACGAACAAATTGCACGAGGGTGCAGATTGAATATTTGAAACCCAGTTCTTGGGCACGGTCACTTAGTACCCAGAGGCTTCCCCAAGTTAAGCAGCCCGAACTTAAAGAATATAGGAAAATTAACTGAACTAAAGCTGAATCGTCTAGTCACTTGTGCTGAAGCTGGTGGAGTTGTCCACAAACACACCCGTACACCACATAAATGGAAATTATCATCAAAATTTTTTCTTTTTTGATTTTTCAAAGTCGATCAAAAAGAACTTATCCATCCAATATCTTCTAGACTGAACCATACAAAAGATGTCTGCAGCAGCAAAAAAGAACCTTCTTGTCAAGTTAGTTGTTGGTGCTGGCCAAGCAGCCCCAGCCCCTCCTGTTGGTCCGGCCTTGGGTTCCAAAGGGGTTAAAGCCATTGATTTCTGTAAAGAGTTCAATGCTAGAACTGCCAATTTCCAACCAGGTACTCCGATTCCGGTTTTACTTACCGTCAAAGGTGACAGAAGTTTCACTTTCGAGATGAAGAGCCCTCCAACTTCCTGGTTAGTGTTAAAAGCCGCTGGTGCCAAACAAGGTGCTGATAAACCAGGTCATGAAAGCGTAGGTGAAATCAGTTTGAAACATGTTTATGAAATTGCTAAGATTAAAAAGACTGATGACAGACACAAGGATGTTGACATGCAAGCTATCTGTGGTGCCATTATTTCAACTGCAGAAGCTGTTGGTGTTAAGGTTGTTCATTGATTAGATTAAGCAGCTTCTTTTATTTTTTAGTCATTTGTAATATAGATCCTTCTTTTCTTCTTGTATATATCCTTTAAATACACTCATTAATCATTTTGATATTACATGGTATAAATTACAATTGTATGTATTAAATATGAGAAATAAACGTGAAAAGCTTATAAATAGAGACGATATAATAATGCGTGACAGAATAATGAATTGAACAGAACAAATAAATAAAATACTTTTGATAACAGACTGAATGATAAGAATAAAAAGATTGTACGATGTAAAACAAATGAACAATTGAACGTGAAATTTAGTGATCGTGTCAGTAGTAGTCTATAATGTTTGATTTTTTTTTTTTTTTTTTTTTTAAGGATAATTTAAAAATGAAAGCTTAATGGTTTGCAAGATAAAGCTTACTTCTTTTTGTTTTTTTCGAAAGCTGCAATATGTGCCTTTGATTGATCAACAGTGGTATGTTCGTGGTCGTCTCCTTTGAAGACTTGATAGTCAATGAGTCCATCTGAGGTAATTCTCTCTTCAACTGAACACATATTAACTGATTTCAACCATTCATCGTTAAAACATTCTTCAACTGTGATACGACAAGCTGGAGCTAACTCAACCATTTTACCAATGAGTGAGCGACAATCTTCAGGTAAGGCCAATAATAGTCTTCCAGCACCAGTTTCAGTAGATGTATGAGATCTTCCTTGAACGTCATTAGAAGGTTGACCTACGGATTCGGAGAATGAAGGTGGATTAGGAGGCAAATCAATAGCCTCATTCAAGTCATTCATATTATTAAGACCACCGTCTTCTTGAATTGATTGAGGGGTACGTTTTAACAATTCACTAATAGGAATAAGTTCACCTCTACTTGCAAATAATTTAAAACTGTTATCAGATAATTTTGGAACTTTCCAAGGAAATTTTTTCAACATCATGCAGCAATAAATGATTGCAGCCGACCAAACATCAACAGGACGAGGATCGTATTTATTGAAAACACAAACTTCAGGTGCCAAATAAGGATCAGAACCAACAATACCCTGTGATTCAATTAAAGTTTTAGTAAAAGGATAAGAGAATACAACAGCCGAACCGAAATCAATGACTTTAACAATCCCACGAGCGTCAATAACACAATTATCTAATTTTAAATCACGATGAGCAAGACCCATCGAATGAAGATAATTAATACCTGATAAGATTTGTTTAAAACAACAATTGATTTCTTCACGAGACATTTTATTTGACATGACAATTGCAAATAAGTCAAAATCACAATATTCCATAACTTGTAAAATACGTTCATTTTCATAACAAATTTCAACAGTTTCGATAATGTTTGGATGCTTCAAAGTAGAACCTATGCAATATTCACCGGTGATTTTTTTAGCATAGTCACGTTTTGATTCGTTTTGATATTTTGTTCTAAATTCTTTAACTGCAAAAATTTTTTTATCAGATAATCTATTAACCAATTTAACTGCACCACCAGCACCAGCACCTAAACTTTCACCAAATTTACTATAACGTTTTGAAAAAGGTAATTGTTGTTGTTGAGGGAATTGCAGTTGCAGCTGTTGGGGAGTATTGATAAAGGCCAGAACTGAACCACGTCTTTCTTGATAGTTGATTTTATTTTGAAGAGTGGAGGATGATCTACTAATGGACCCTGAATTGGATCCATTATTGTTGTTATTGTGATTACCATTATTACTAACGTTTGTTTTGATGTTTATAGCACCTGGTGATTGAGAGTATGAAGCATTTGAGGAAGATGCGGTCAAAGGTTGTTGCTGTTGATTTGAAAAAGAACCGCCTTGGAAAGAAGAGCTACTTGGAGTATTGGAACCACTACCAACACCATTTGCCCTCAAAGAATTGGACAAGTTAGAAACGGGAATTGGTTGGGACGACAGTACTGAAGAGTTTTTCTTGAAAAATCTTTTCAAGTTGGCCATGGAGTTATGTCTTGACTGACTGTAGGCCGCATTTGAGGAGGCAGATTCAGTAGATGAAACCGACAGGGGAGAACTTGGAATAACAGTGGTGGCACTGCTGGTCGCATTATTATTAATAGCCATTGGAGTATAATTATCTTGATAAGAATTATTATAGAACGATCCCAAGTCAGTACTAGAAGAGTCCCTTTTGTTAACACCCGAGCCTTTATTTTTGGACAGGAAGAAGAAGGATAATCCCAGTTGCAGGCCCGAACGTTGGGATGAGCTCAATGAAGCAGCAGCCTGTGCTTGAGCCACACGTTGTTTTGACACAACAAACCTTGGTTCGATTGAGGCCGAACCAACGTTAGGGGATTGGATTTGAATTGACAGTATAGGTTGGCCATTTGGTAAGTTAGGAATGTAAGAGGAAGAGGAAGAAGAAGTTGAAGCAGATGAAAAATCATTTTGATTTGGCATTGACATTGAAAGTCCATTTGAATCACCATTTGAAGAGATGGAAGGAGAATTATTATGAGAAGAGTTATTATTTTGATCAGTGAATGCATTAGATAAATTAGAAACATGATTCGGCTTATTTACCGACAGGGATAAATTATTACCACGACCACCAGGGGCACTATAAGGAATTGAAGAAGATAAACTTTCACTACCATAACCACCGGAAGCGAAGAAGGAAGTATGGGATACAGAATTAGTACGATTAATTCTTGGACTGGTTGCGGATTGGGAAGGAGGCTTAATGGGAGTATCTCTGAAAGCACTATTATTTGTAGAAGAACCATAAGATCTTCCAAGAATCGAAGGAGTATTTGGTTGCTGTTGGAGAGGTTTTGCATCGAATCCATTAATAATCAATTTAGGTTTACCATTAATGGTTGAAGTCTTGGAGGTAGGAGCTGAAGGGCTTGAGATTTGGCCCGGAGAAGTTCCAGGGCGAGTAATTTTCACCGAGTTGGCACTGGTGCCAATGGTCAAAGGACCATCATCTTGGTCATTATCATTATCATCATGCTCCAAGTCCGAGTTTTGCGAAGCTTCACCAACTTGAGTCAAAGTGTCGGTCGACATTGAGGCAGACGAGGCGATTGAAGTGGACTTTGGAGTGGTATTATTTGAGCTTGATTCATTCAATAGCCTGGTCAATGAACTAATGGGTAATTTACTATTCGAGGCGCCCAGAGTAGGGGTAACGCTTGCCGTATGACTATTATTGAGATCAACGTCTAAAGTAGCATTAGGCGAGGTTGAGACATCTCTCGAATCATCTCCAGGACCCGGCTGATGTTGAATTACTGGGTTCTCCATGACTGGTAATCTTCTTTAGCGATAACAATATCAATAGTTTCAGCGGTAAAAGACAAAAAAGAGCGGCAAAAAGTGAACCAAACAAACAACCGATATAGACTATGACGAGTTACTCCTCTGTCAAAAAAGCTTATAATAGCGAATAATCAGTGATCTGGAATAAGCGGAATAAATTAGACTTACTCGAAATTATCTTGACAAACAAGCACCACCAAAACAACTAAGTACAACACGAATGCTAGCAACGCTGACGCTAAACAGTATACGTAGAATCCTTTCCAAGTAGATAAAAGTGTCGTTGGCTTGAAAAGTATTCAGAATAGGAGTTTCCCGCTGTATGATCAAGTTTGTCTGTTTAACAATCTAAGCTTTGGCCACCGACACACGACCCCGTTTTCTCAACTGTGAATTAATTTAGATAACAAATTGATTGGTTTATCAATAAACTTTATCAGTCCACCGCTACAGCCAGTAAATCAACTAGTATGGAGATATAGCTAGATAGATATACAATTGTGTATTACATATATAGATTGAGCACAATCCGTTTCATCTGGTGAATGGGAGAGTGAGATTCAAGGAGGAAGCCATCGCTTTTGATTGCCGTATTTATCTGGCAGACTCAACAGCACCTTCTTCTTTTTTTTCCCTCCAACAGAGAAAATCTCCCCTTTTAGCGGGATTCGAGTTTAGAAAATGGATAATTTACGAGTTGGGATTAAGTTTTTCTTTTATTTCTCTTCTTTTGGGAAGTTGATTTTGTAGATTGGCCGGTGGTTTTAGACGGGGCTGTTTTTAGTAATTCTTCTTCTAATTTCGTGGGTGCAAATGAAGGAATTTCTAAGTCGTTTGGATTAGATTCAGGAATACCTAGAGATTTCTTCAAGGTATTGAATTTTGCATCTAATTCTTCAGGAGATTCTGGTTTTTCATGTAGATTGGCTCTTTTCTTTTCTTCTTGTGCTTGACGTTTGAGTTTTTCTTTTAAAGGCAAGTTATTTAAGTTTTCCAGTTCTTGCTTCTTACGTTCGATTGCAGATTGTTTTTCCAATTTTTCAATAATTTTGGCGGTTTCGTCGAAGAGATCTTTTTGTAATTCTTCGTCTTGATACTCTGAGCGTTTTTTACTTAATATTTTGCATTCTTGAATCAATTGACCACCGTCCAAGTTGATGAAAACTGGAGCACACAAGGCAAATATAAAGGATTGTGATCCTTGAATACTATTTTTGAAAAAAATCCACCAAATTGGGAATAGCAAAAGGTAAATAACCAACCCAACTATACTACCCATCGATAAAAACCTTCGTGTTGATGGAGTACGCATAATACCTGGATTTACCAAGTTGATTCTTACTCCACAAGGGGCCTTATCGGGTCTTTCATATTGATTTAATCTTCTTTGATATTCCTGGGTGAACAACCCCAATAACAACTTGGATTGTCCATAAACTTTCCATGGCGCATTAGAAGGATATCTTTTATTTAACCAAAATAAATCATCATGGTCGAGTTTAGCAAGCGCTTGCAGAGCACAAGTGGCAACTGCCACTCTAACATCACGATCCGGTGGTTGCACTTGTAAAGAAGGTTGTAACAACGTTAACAAATGATAATGGCCCAAGTAATTGACTCCAATTTGTTTTTCAACCCCGTCAGTCGTAACTTGTCTAGATTTACCTCTTGGTATAGATTCACTAGCCAAACATAATACCCCATCCAACCTTCTTGCTGGTTTATTATCCAACCATTTGGTGGCAAACAATCTGATTGAATGTAAAGAATTCAAATCACACTGTTCGGCATAAATCATGAAATTAGATGTCTTGTCTCTCAAATCTTCAACATAATCAATTATCCATTGATCTTCAGTACTTCTCACCAATAAAATCAATTGGGCTCCCTTGGATGCAAGGTAATACGCTAGGTATGCCCCTACCCCACTAGTGGCTCCCGTCATTATGAAAACTTTCCCATGCATGTCTCTTTCCCAAGTATTGGTACTTCCGCCAAAATAGTACTTGAGTGCAGCCACCGTAAGCACAACGGGACCATACTTAATGGCCAAGTCCACTCCTGGAACCGAGTCCGGTCCATCAAACAACACTGAACTAACAATATCAATCGGCATCCTATCACTGCTAAAGATGTATTACTGATAAAGAAGTCGTAAAGTAGACGTGTTGCCAGTGTTTTTTCTTATGAAGACAAAAGCGAGTGAAAAAAAAAAAAAAAAAAAAAAAAAAAAAATCTCATCGCAGCCCAAATATACTTAAATCAACTACTTTTGAAGTCAAAGAATAAGCAATTTCACCAGGAGAATGGAAGAAGTAGCCTTTTTCATTGCTGAGGGAAACCCGGCAGACAAACACTCGCAAGAATCGGTGGCGTTCGTGTCATCTTTCCAAACTCCGCAACAGTATGCTTCATTTAGACAGGCAGACTGTCCTCGCCATGGAGCTGCCTTAACCGGGGTTGGTCCTGGAGAAAGACTCTTTACTACCAGCAAGTCCAAGGCTCTTCTTAATGTGTACTCGTGGGGTAAAGGTATTGACCAAAGAATTGCCGTTCCAGAACAACTCGAATGCTTATCGTTGGTGTCTCATCCATCAGCAAATAATGGAGGTGGTTTGAAAGAAAGCGGTGGGAATAACTTGCCCCTGTTTAGGGTTCCTTGGTTGCTTGCTGGTGGATCCAAATCAGGACGTATTTATATATGGGAATTAGCCCTGGGGAATTTACTTTGCGTTAAAGATGCCCATTATCAAGGGATTTCAGTAATCAAATTTTCAGATTGTGGAACTTTCTTAGTATCGGGTGGTGAAGATGCCAGAGTGATGGTATGGAGAACATTGGATTTAATTTCTGTTTATAATGAAGAAATCTCGGTCAAACCTTTTACTTCTTTCACCGATCATACTTTATCAGTGACTGATTTAATTATCCTGTCTTCAGGAATTATTAATGATTTAAAATTATATACTGTATCTCGTGACTCTACCTTAAGGGTTTATGATATTATGACATCCAAATTATTAACCACCTATATTACTTCTGTTAGTATAGAGTGTATTACCAAAGATCCTGCTAATAGATCATTATATATTGGGTTAACGAATGGATCTATACGAACAATACCTTTATATCAAATCAATCCAAACACTTCGGTATTAGAAAGTGTTGGAGGAAACTCCAAAATCATTACATTAGACCATGATCCAAATTTAACCAATACATTTGTTCACCACCAACAAAAAGTTGAAGCAACCGCTAGTTTACACAAATCTTTGAACAAAACAAAGGACGAAGAAGATAAACCAATCAGTGTTACCTGTTTAGATATCTCAATGGACGGTACTAGTTTGATATCTGGAGACTCGGCCGGTAGGGTTTTCGTTTCTGATATCGTCACTCGTCAAGTTGTTAAAAGTTTTCCTCCATGTAATTCATCAATTTCATTTATTCAAACTTTTTTCATCCCTCAACATATTATTGATAATAATAACCCTTCAAGTATTAATAAGTCAGATAAAAAGCATCGGTTAATCCCACCTTTCAAACGTGTTTTGGCTAGTTCCAAACCTTCGGAGCATATTTTAAATCTTGAGATTCCAGCTGATTTAAGTGTAAAAGAAGAAAGCTTTGATGAGTGGTTAAATAATAAAGCTCAAGAAGAACTACAATTCAAGAATTTGGGTTCTATCGACAGTTCAATCACTCTCACGTCTGTACCAAAAACCAATGATGATTCTGCTCGTATCCAAGACTTGGAATCCAAATTGGCTGCTGTATCCGAAGCTTACACCGATCTTAGATCCCAACATGAAAAATTGATTGATCACTATTCCAAAAAAGATTAATTTGCATGATATATAACTTGTACATTATAATATAGAATTAAAAACAACATACGTAATCACTTCTTATTAGGTGACAATGGTCGATTAAAACCCTTTTCCCGGTTTATATACTGTCTGTAGTCCGATTTCTTATCAAACTTTGCATTCCCTCCTTTAGTCCCCGTAACGTGTTTACCCTTTGTTGAACCAAAACCTCCAAACCCCATCAAGGATATCATATCTTCGTCAGCATTAGTTTCTAATATTTCTCGATCTCTCGACCTCCCTCGGGACTCAGTTTCATGTTTTGGGTCGGTTTTCTTCCCATTACCCAGGCTTGAGCCATCTTTCGAAGCAGTCTCCTTGGTAAACAGGTCCAAAGAATCCTGTTTTTCAATCGACCTTTCCGTCGATCTTTCTCGATAACTCTCGAGCCCACCAGGTTTGATTGGCGATGATGAACGTGCTGATTTTGCTGGTGATCTTGATCGTGATCTTGAACTGAAACGGTTGGACGTGACCATTGACTAAGTTAGGACCAGTGAAATACTCCAAGGCTTGAGGAGTAGCAAAGTAGTTCCTGGGTGTATTATGAAATTGAATCTACTTCTACAGGAGTTAATGTTTATGATACCGAAACCAGGGTATGAGATGGAGCTTCTGGGGCATATCAGCGTATGCAGGAAATCTGCCATTTTTTTTTTTTTTTTTTTTCACTTCCTCTTCTCAAAGACATAAAGGCATCTCTTGATACTTTGCTAGATTGGAAGAAAACAGTATTGATAAGATGACTGACGCACCACTTACTAAGAAGGAGAGAAAAGCACAGCAGTTCCGTAAGTCCAAGGAAGAGAGGGAGACTGAAAAGCAGGAAAAGCAGGAAAAGCAGGAAAAGCAGGAAAAGAAGGAAAAGAAGGAGAAGAAGGAGAAGAAGAAGGCAGAAAAAGCAGACAAAGCAGAATCAAAAGAAGCAGATGAATCCAATAAAAGATCCAGTGAAGAGTCAGAAAAAGGTGACGAACAACCCAAGAAGAAAAGAAAGACCAGAAGAAGCAAGAAGGGGAAAGGAGTTAACGGAGGACAAGGGCCCAGGTATATATTATTTGTTGGGAACTTACCGTACGATACTAAAGAAGAGGATTTATCACAGCATTTTAATAAATCCCAACCATCAAGGTTGAGAGTTAGAAGAGATAAGGGAATTGCATTTTTAGAGTTTGATAATGATAACGAAGAGATTAAAAAGAAGATGGAGGCAGCATTAAGAATGCACCATTCTATGTTTCAAAATCGGAAAATCAATGTTGAATTAACTGTTGGTGGAGGAGGTAACTCAAAAGCCAGAGTTGAGAAATTGAAGGGTAAGAATGATAAATTACTTGAAGAAAGAAGATTACGAGTTGCTAAAGAGTTAAAGAAGAGAAATGAAAAGGAAACTAAGGAAGGAGAAAAGGAACCAGGATCTAGCTCATCACCAGCACCAAGTATTCATCCATCTCGTGCAGCATTAATGAAATAATTGTATAATAGAAACAGTATATGTCAAAAGTATATGTAAAAAGGAGTTTATTAATGTAGAATTAACATTGGACGAACAAACAAAAAAAAAAAAGTACATATAAAAAAAAATACATAAAGATTAGAGGATTAGAAATAAAGTAAGGAGAATAATAAATGAATTAGCAATTCATCAGATTATTGAATAAATGTTTAAGTGAATTGAAATTATATAAAAGGGTAAATAAAGGACATGAAGAAAGAAAGCAAAATACAAAAGATAACAGACGAAAGAAATTTAAAAAACAAATGGAATGAAAAAAAACTTCATTGAAAATTAGGAGAAAAGTGATCATAAATGCAAAGCTTTAAGGATTAATTTGAATCTTTGAAAAAATGTCAATTATAAAATATTACATTTCTTAGCCTTTTTAACCTTCTTTTTTCTAACTGGAGGATTATGACCAGACATATTATTTACTGAATTTTTAGAAGCACCGGGGATACCAACCCCGTTTGATTCTGAAGGAACAGTATAATCTTTTGAATTTGGAGGATCCAAGACTGCTCTAATAGCGTAATCAAAAATTTCTTTAACTCCAACTTGCGTAGCTGCAGAACATTCCATATATTTGATAGCACCCAAATCTTTAGCCAGTTTTGCACCTTGTTCAAAAGTAATTGGCTTTAAATTTTTTTCATTTAATTCATCTAAAACATGTAAATCATCTCTTAAATCAATCTTGGTACCAATAAGTAAAACCAAAATATCTTTTGGAGAATGATGGTATATTTCCGGTATCCATTTCAGTTTAACATTATGGAAAGAATAAGGATCTATAACTGAAAAACAACATAAGAAGATTTCCGTTTGAGGATATGATAGTGGTCTTAAACGATCATATTCACTTTGACCAGCGGTATCCCATAATCCCAACTTGATTGGTTCTCCATCAATCATTACTGAAGCAGAATAATTATCAAAAACAGTTGGAATATAATCATTGGGGAAGGTGTTGGTAGTATAGGAAATCAATAAACATGTTTTACCAACCCCACCATCACCTACAACAACTGACTTGATACTTCTCATTTTGTAAATGCAATATACTTAGAAGGAATAGCAAAAGGAGTTTTTGGAATTTTTCAATAAAGATTTTTTTTTTATTTGAATTTATTCAAGTCTCTTTTTTTTTTTTCCCTTCGTTCTTTTTTGAGAGAACAATCAAAGATAAACCCACTAAAAAGAAGAAAGTATATTAGAAGAACAAAAGAAAAAAGAGTAAAAGCCTTTTAAAATCAACTTATTTGATCCAATCAATAGCGGAAACTCAAAAACGAATAAGAACGTAAAACAAATAGGATGTTTATTAACCAAATAAGTAGCTTTGGGAAGGTTTTTTTTTTTTTAAAACAAGTAAAAAAATCACAAAACAAAAACAAACCAATTGATAATCAAACCTAACCGAAAAAAGCGAAAAGTATAAAACAGTATATAAAGTATAAACCTCAGATAAATCAAGGCAAGTGCCTACCTAGAACAAAACCCACCAATTGTGCTTGAACTGAGCAGAAGATAAGAAAACCCCCCCGATTAATCTCGTGAGGTTTGCATTGGAAAAGCCATTTTTTTTTTCTCTCTGGGAACAAAGAGTTAGAGAAATGTCGCACTTTTTTTTTTATTTGTTCTTTTTCTGCCTTTTCTGGTGATACGCCGCGACATTATTCTGACAAGCCCAGCGACCGCCGCGACATTTTCCATCACAAAAGCCGTGCTTCAGTTATGTGATTCAATGATCCAGTTATGAGCTTATTACTAAGACCCACTCGTGTATTTCGAGCATGCTGCTGCTCGGGGAGCAGTAGCGTAATGCTGGAGTTGGGTATGCAACCGGGATGTATTCGTCTACAATTCCATTTGCCGATGGGTGACCCGACCCGTACCTCCCAGCCTATTCAGTTACATAACAGCAATGGATGGTCTTATTAAGTTGATGTGCTTGTTGAAGTTGATGTGCTTGTTTTGATGTACTTGTTAAAGTTGATGTACTTGTTAAAGTTGATGTACTTGTTAATGTAATACTTCACCAGCAGCACACCTCCGTCGCAAATGTATTTCGTTGAAATGTAACTCACCAGGTTATAAGTTCGCCTTGAAAATTGAATCGAGTGAATCCACCAATGAACCCACCAGCTGAACATTGCAATACTGAATGCCCTCAGATACCATCACAGGAGCTCCAGGCGTCCTTGGGTGCCTCTAGGTTCCAACTCAGAGCAATAGAGTAATGGTACAAGGATATTGTTGCAAATCGTACTCAGATTTACCCCTGGCCGCCCCCATCATTGGCAGGTTAGCCCGGACTAACCTGCAACTTCCGCCCCAGCTGATAAACAAAATTAATCAAGCTGGAAAATTTTTACTCAAGACCTACTTTCAAACAGAATCAATTATGGCTTATAAAGATATTGTACCAGTTGGGACTGGTCTCATCATCAGTGCCACCTCGTTTGGACTCGGGGTGATTTATTCTAATTTACCTTACGATTTCGGAACCTTGTGGAATTATGATCCCACCGGTAAAGCATTTGAAAAATCTTTGGCTCACTACACAACTTGGGCAGAAGCGCCAATGTTTGTCCACCATATCTTACATTTCGTGTTTTTCCTTGGTTTGGTCGGTTGCTTTATCAAGTTGTACAAACCAATTGAAGATGCTAAGTATTTCGAATATGGTACTTTGGGGTTGGTGATGATATCAATCATTATTTATTTGACCAATTTGAGAGTCGGGATCAACAGTTGTTCCAGTGGTGATTGGGGCGAGGTCGATATGCCTACCGGTATCAACGTCATGGCTGCTAGTCAAGTAATGATGATTGTCGCCTTGATTGGGGTTCTTGTTTTACAAGGTGGGTTATACTACGCTAGTTGGTACGATGAAAAATTGAAAAAAGAATTCTTCGAACAAGAAGCCGCCGAAGCCGCCAAAGCCGCCGAAAAGGTCGATAAACCTGAAGAACCTGTCTCTGCTTCCAAATCCTCTGGTAGCTCTTCTGGTAATACTAAACCAAAAAAGAGATCTAAGTAGTTTTAATATACATACTGTATGCACGGATGTTTGCTTTTGAAGGTGCAAAAAAGAAAAAAGCACACACACACAACGGTAAAAAAGTAGTGTCCGGGACAAGAAGGTGCACGGGCGTACAACTTAACCAATAGAAACCAACAAAGTTAACATTATTTCTCAAAGATTAAACATTAATCTTACTACTACTACTCCACCGGCAACCACGACTACACGATTGAGATCAAGATGGGTGCTGCTGACAAAGTATGGGGAGACTACCCAGTTTACTATAAACAACCATTCAGATGGGCCCGTTACCATGCTCATACCAAACCACATTTCTTCTTTTCGGTGATTTTGGGATTATCAGCACCAGTATTATTATTAATAGCTCCAATCAGAAGAAAATTAGTATACGAAGATCACGAACCAATTCCTAGAGTTTACCCCTTACCAAATAGACCAAGAGATGCCAATTTGGCCGGATTCGATGATTAACTGCATTTCCTCTGTACATTTACAAATACTTCCTTTCCCTCGCCTTCTGTTTTAGAAAGCTGCTTCATTTGCTCTTCTTTATTTATTAATAAAACTATTCATATATTCGAATGTAGGTATATCTTGTAGTTGATTATCTTGTGGTTGATTATCTTGTAGTTGATTATAGACTTAATGGAAAAAAACGGGTCGTGCACCAAACTCGAAAATTTTTTCCCTCTTTGAACGAAGCACCTTTATGAAAAATTTAGATCAACAGCTTTAATAGAACCTTGCCACTATTCAACCACAAGGATGATCAGAGGATCGCTAGCACGCATCACCAGAGCGACCACGGGTCCGCTCTGCCATACTTCCAGAATAATACCAACTTTTAGCATACGTCAACTCCACGGCAGTGGGAAGTTGTATGAAAAAAATTTATTTGGAGAACTTACTGAAAATACGACCCAGGAACCGGTAATAAGTAAAAAGGAAAACGAACCAGAAGAGTTTGATGCCGACAGTATTACTCCAGAAAACGATTCTGATTTACAAGAATACTACTTGGAACAAGTTAGTAAACAACAAATTCGTGCAGAAAAATACATTAGTCCAATTAAGAAAAAATTATTTGACCAAGTAGTTAACGTTCATGGATTTTATAAGAATGATCAAATAGTTGAAGACCCAGAAACAAAACGTCATTTCAAATTACATTTAACCCCTGAAGAAATTGATATTTTAGAACCAACCATTTTTTTAAATAGTAATAGAATTAAGTCATCAATGAAAAAGGCAACCGTTGTCAACAGATTTGTTCGTGGATTGGAAGTTAAAACCGCCATTAATCAATTACATTTCAATCCTAAAAAAATGGCTACTGAATTAGAAAAATTATTGAAAAAAGGTTTAGAACAAGCAAATCAATCCGGCTATAACACCGATCGTTTATACATTGCTCGTTTATGGACCGGTAGTGACGGGGACTGGAGAAAAAGATTAGACATGAAAGGTAGAGGTCGTACCGGTATAATTAAACATCCTTACATTCATTTAAAAGCAGTTTTGAAAACTGAACAAACCAAAAATAGACTTGCTTGGGAAAAACAGCAATCCCAATTAAACTCCAAACCTGAAATGTTTTTGATCAACGATCCTCTCAACTTCAGAGTCCATCCCTATTATAAATGGTAATCCTGTAAATAATATCAAATGTATATATTTGTCGTATCCAGTCATCTGATGACTTTATGGGGTAGCTACTCTTTTTGTTTTATGTATGGGTGCACGGGTGCCACTCCCCAGAAACCGTTTTTAAAATGACCCTACAGTAGACGATATTTACCATTCCATCACTGGGTACCTTTAGATGCAACCGGTGAATAACAGACCATAACTGGGTAAAACCAGCTTAATAAACCCTAGGCTTATAAACTGGCTAAGCAATCACAACCAGATCACCAATAACATCAGTCTACCAATGTGTAGGATTGCACATTATACAAACCAAAACCGAATTCCAATTATGTCTCTTCGGAACTAGACTAATATAAATAGTGTTTCTTATTCGGAACAGCAAAACCGCTTATTCATTACTCATATACTCTGGTTTATTATTCCCACAATTAGTGTCACCCCCCCCTCTTCTACTGGTATATATATGCATTTATGTCCGCTTTTCTTATAATCTTGTAATCACTTTTCTTCTTTATTACGATATTTCTACCTGTCCACCTTTTAACTGAGCCTTAATTGCTTATTTTATAGGCCTCATTTTCTGATACCAGGCCTTATTTTATACTTTCATAGGTAGTTAACTTGCTTACCTATTACAGTGTACTACTATTGTTGAAACAATTCCTCTTTAACCCCTGTCCCTACTACTGCACCGACAACACGACAGAAGTCCTTACGTTAGCACCCCCAATTCTTCTATTACTGGTTTATCCCTATAAAAGTGTATTCTGCTTCCTCAGTTGTGTGGAAGTACTTGACTGTGTTTTAGTGCTTTTTTTGCTCCTCCTCACTCTTAAATTTTTCCTTTCCTGATAACCCCTAAAATTAAGGTGGAATTCATAGTTGTACCTTTTCCTATTGAGATATAGTGTTTTTTGGTTTTACTTTATTGAAGCTTTGAAGGTTGGTTGTTTGAAATTGAAATTGAAATTGCAAGAGTTTAAAAATTGCAATTTTAATCATTTCAATTTTGTGTTTGATATTCCTCCTTATCTTTCAAGATGGGGTTAAAAGATACTGAATTCTTTGATAATGAGAATTATGAAGCTACAACTACTCAAATCATCATTTGCCAGCAATGTTCATCGCATCTTTGTCTTTCGAACTTGATCATTTCCGATGGGTTCACCGGATCTAGTGGTGAGGCATTACTAGTTGATAAGATTATTAATTATCAAGCAGATCCAGAGATTATCGAAAGTACAATGTTAACTGGAGATTATCTCACTCGGTCAGTGCGTTGTAAACAGTGTCTTACCAGACTTGGATGGACTTATAAGAAGGCATTTCGTCAACGAGAAGCTTATAAGGAAGGAAAATTTGTTATTGAAAAGAAATTTTTGAAATCAATTCCGAATAATTCAGCTACTTCTGATTTGATTGTGGAAGCAAGAAGAAATAGTCTTGATCGTCGTCGTAGATCTTCAGCGACCATTTCTCTGAGTAACTCTTCAATTGATGAAATTAATCATCATAATTGCCAAAATGATTTTAAATTTAATAACCTACCTTTGGATCCATATCTGAAATCTTTGCTCACAACTCATACTAGAAACTCTTTTAGCTTTAGAGATTTCTATAACGCCACTAGTAATTCTAGAGTTAGACATGGTGCAATGGAAAAAGATGATTTTGAAGAAGAAGATGAAGATAATGAAGTTTTTGTCGATGTCTAATTTATCTTTTCTTATTCCCTATCCTAGCTCATTATTTATTTATTTCATTTCTTTACCTCCTCTGCTATGGCATATCTCTAAATTTTGCTTTTGCTTTGCTTTTTGGTTTTTTCTTTCTCTATCGGTTACTCTCACTTGGTTACTCTCTATTGGTTCATGGCTATCTCATCTTTTTTGGTCTTTTTATATATATAATTCTCTACTACTCTGTTTAGTCTATTTTTATTATCATTTATTAATATACACCTGAAATTATTACATATCTATTACAATTTTCTCTTTTTGGTTTTAGGTGGACCTTGAGTATCACCATTTCTCTTTTGAGTTGTCTTTGGTGTTAATTTGGTGTAAAGTAAAAAATATGCAGATGGATCACTTAATGCTTGTCTTTCATTAAGTCTATTAATATATTCATCATCATATCTATCCCAATTACCATCTGGTTGTAAACAATGAGCAACGTAATGTCCACTACTAATTGATCTTCCTTCATGAACAATCACTGATAATAATTGATAACGTGATGGTTCTGCTTTGTTAGTGGTGAAATCAGTTAAATCCAAATATTTTGGATATGAGACTGATTGCTTAACTTTTGAAGATGAATTCCCATTAAATTTAAATCTTTTCAAATGTATTATAAGGGTTTCTGGTGATCTATCAATAGTGGATTTTTTAGTGGCAACACTTCTATTTGAACATTTTTCACAAAAGTATCCTGAACTCTTATCTTTACGATCAAGTTTTATCATTTCAGTTGAAAAAAATTCTTTAATTGATTTTTCAATTGAATATCTATTATTAATTGATAATTCAGTTTCTTGTTGTTTAGAGGATTTACCATCAGCTTGTTCATTATTTGTTGGATTTGATTTTTTCTTTTTATTTAATCCTAATGATAAATCATAAAATTCTTGTTTAGTAATACTTTCATGATTACAATTTTGACATGTAACTGATTGATTTAAAAGACCCCCGAAAATATCATAAATAATGGATTGATTTAATTTTACTCCCTTGGGAGTGGAATCTTCTTGTAATCTTGACATTAATGACATGAAATATTCATGAGAATCTTCTTGGTTCCATTCACTCATCATACAATTAATATCTTCCAATCTTTGAATGATTTTTTTAGGATTGATATATTTTGGATGTTTGATTTTTTTCACTTGATGATCTTTATTATTAGATTCAACCCCCCACATACGTTGAGATAATTCAGATAATACATGTGTAACTGATCTAGGTTTTAATACTTTATCGTATTTACCTCGACTAACATCATTAAGATAATGTTGTACAGCAGGTACATGTAAGATGGCTTGGATTGCTGAATTCATATAACAAGTGACTCCATGATTTAATAAACCAACTGGTTTCTTGTTAAGTAAAGGTTTATTCCAATTTTTCAAAATACGATTAGAATTATTCAGACCACGATCTTGGGGGTTTTCATTAATTCGATAAAATTCTTCTAATGGTGGTGATGGTTGTTTTTCATAAACAGATTCTTGAGACTTTGTTGGTTTAACTTCTTCAGCAACTTGTTTGTTCTGGTTCTCAGCATTGGTTGGTTCATTGGCATCTTCTGGAGAAGTTGGTGGTGTGGCATTAGTAGACGATGGTTTAGCCGGCGAAGATTGCTTAGACACTTCTTCCTCATCTTTCTCTTCAGCATCTTCCTCATCGTCATCAGCATCGTCTTGATCATTAGCATCAAACGCATCCTTGATAAGATCCTCTTTGAGTTTTTCGAGATCATCGTCTTCTGCCGAAGGAGAATCAGCATTGGATTCTGAATCTGATTCTGATCCCTCTGACTCGTCCTTCTCATCTGCGCTACCAAAATCAGAGTCATCGTCATCTCGATCATTATTTTCATTAGATGAGCTTATACTAACGCTGGATTCGCTTTTAAAATCAGCAAATGGGAGTGAGTCAGTAGATGCGTTATTGGATGATGCAGAAAGAAGAGTTTGGTTATCACCACTAGGATACTCAGATGCAGACTCGTACTGTGATTCCGATTCCGATGCAGATGGAGAAACTCCCCCAGTTGGAGTATTGGGCTCAATAAGATGAGAATGCTTTGCACCATGGATCAATTCGGAGTTATCGTCATTTAGATCTTCACCCAAATCTTCGTCTGAATCAAGCAAGCGAACATCGGTGGATTGTTGTTTGTTTAACTTTTTATCTTTCTTCAATTTTTTCTTTTCAGCCTTTGTTAAATATTTCTTACCGGTGTACGCAGCCACGGCTTCGGCCATTGATTTAGGTCTTCTCATTGAGTCCTGTGATTCTTGGGATACTTGCTTCGATTCGGAATCGGGGCCAATGTCTGAATTCGGTTTGGAGTCGGCCTTTCTCGTGCTCTTAGATGTCTTTCCTAAAACTATATAACTTGAAGGCCTTGAAGTTTCGGTTTCTCGGTCGGTTTTTTTGGCAGGGACAAATGTTAGGGGATTGGCGAGAATTCTATCGATAAGAGGGTTTATAGTATCTGGAACTGAAGTGCTCATCCCAAGTATTATTCAAGCCTTTGGATCCGGTCGATCAGTTCAAATCAATCGTCGAAGTGCTTTATGAAAACAAAAAAAAAAAAAAATTGAGTATACTTGATAGAATCAGCAAAATGCTTGTAGCTTGACGTATATAAACGGAACAGTATAGTCTAAAAGGTACTCAAGTAACACCTACCCTATGTCTTCTTAATCTTGGATGCAAAACCGATCTAGAGACTAGCAGTTGCTTACTAAAGTTTATCACAAGGTCTTGCGTTGGTAAAGGATTCTTTTTTTTTTTCCTATTGATGCCCTCCCTCTGATTTTTTTTTTTCGGGATTTTTTCTATTGTATTTGCATTTTTATTTTGCTATTCTTATACGTTTTTACTGCTACTTCTACACATATCCGTTTAGAGCACTACGCGACCCTCGCAAAGACTCTTACATCCATATAAATCGTAGACACCCTTTTAAAATAGAGAATTCCCAGTTAGACGAACAGAATCGAGCTGACGAGGTTTGCAGTTTAACGATGAGAAGAACCAAAAAAAAAAAAAAAAAAAAAAAGAAAAAGAAAAAGAAAAAGAAAAAGAATAAGAAAAAACGACAAAAACGCGTAGACAAAGACAAATGATGACATAAGCATGCGACTATATTTTGCAACCCTTTTTAGGGACTGAAAATTCTTTGCTGGGTTCTGATCTTTATATACTCACTTAATTCCAGCTCTGCTAGCTTTAGGGCGTTTTGCTCGATATCGCTAAGCCCTTTATAGCTTGCTGGTTTGAGCTTGGTGTTGGCGGCATACTTGGGTTTTTCCCCTAATGGGTAGACTGCTCCTAGGGCATCACGAGGTTTTGAATCCGATTTACTGGATACACTGGAACGCTTAGAGGATAAGGTGCCGGAGGCCAAGGAGCTGTTTGATTCAAAGGCAGGCTCGCTCTCATTGTATATCCTGATGGCCTTCTTCCTATTAGCATAAACCAATTTTTTATGTTTGTCAAACTGGTCCAGTTTATCAAAGCTTTTAAGATCAGTTTCAGAAACGGTTTTATCGGGGTCTTCTTCAAGAAGATCGTTTGCTTTTTCGATATTAAACGTTGGTGTGCTGGGACTGAAGGTCGAGGTGGATCCTGTGTTGGATACCGGGGTGGCGGCCCTGATTCCGTCGGCTTCGCTAGTGGATGGTGCGCTGTAAACTCTCTTGCGGTTATTCTTCGAGTTGGTATAGTCAACGTCCATGTTAGCATCTTCGTCTTCCTCTGGGATCCTGATTTGTTTCCTAGATGGTGGCCTCGAGCTTTCTATTGACATGGCGTCGTCTCCATCAATATCTAACAAGCCTGGCTTTCCATCGCCGTCTCCACATTCGCTGCGACTGTCTTCACTATCATCCACATCCTCATCATCAGTTTCATTGATTTCCATTAGACCAGATCGTTTCTGTCCCGAATAGGTATCTGCCACATTGGAATTAACACCTTCATTCTTAGAAAGTAACCTCTCATCCAATAGTTTACTGGCCATTATAGGCTCGAAATCTTTCAAGAATTTGTACGATAAGCGTTTATCCCATTTACCTGATGGAGTAATCTCGTGGCCCCGTAATGATTCAATTATTTCGAGAATTTTATACTTAACTTCCTTGATTGCCTCGTTTTGGTAATTTATACTCTCAACCAAATCATTCATCCATCCTTCGCTTCTGATAATATTTAATACTGCTTCGTCTTGCAGACTCTTGAAGATTTCAATATCTAACGAATAGTACCTACTGGCATGTATCCCAAAATCTCCTTGTTTCAGCTTCTTGACTTTATTTATCTTTGCTTTATTAGCAGGTCCTTTTTCTTCTTGTTTATTCATTTTACTCTTATAATTATCGGGGTATGTTCTAAAAGCACCAATTTCAACTTTCCCTTGGCTCAAAGTTCTAATTGGATCAATAACAATTGCTAAATATGGATCCTGAAAATCTTGATTTAGTTTTTGAGTAGCGACATCAATACCACTTAGCCAGCACCCGTATCCAGGGTGTGAATGATACCATCCAACAATGTTTTCTTCTCTCCCTTCTGTCTTTAATGACGTAAGAAATTGCACCATATATTCGTAAGCTTCAGCTTGTGCATTGACCCTTGTTTCGGTCCCTTCCACAGGTAATCCATATACATCCATTACAATCATCGATCCTTCTATTATTTTACCTGTAAGCATCCCCATAATTTCAATTGACCCTCCTGACTGGGCATGTATAGTCATCTTCATTAGCGCTAAAGCACTGATATAAACCTTTTTGAAATATTCAGCATTGGTTTTCCATGGACGGGTGTTCATTATCATGTCATTATTTTTGCAACTATGTAAGAAATTTGATGGGCTTGGGTCCCCTGATGTGCTCCTCGTATCAAAATTGGCATTAACTAGGGCTGCCGGATCCAGGATCTGAATTCTGCGTAGATCCTGTAAATTGACCAGCTCTTGGATCACTTTATGATCATTTCGGCTTTCAATTGTCTCTTTGAGAGTATGAAGACATTTATGTGAAGTCATAGCGTTATGGTAACTCAATTAATGGGGTTTTGGTGGCGTTTCGTTTCAATCTTAAGCATTTGATTTTTTTGTTTCAATTTTTTTTTCTCAGATAAAAACTACAGTACAAAAATAAAGGAACATTTTATAAAGCTCTATGAAAAAGGGTAGAAACTAAAAACCGAAACAAAAAGAGATAATGAATACGAAGAATTCAAAATTTAAACCATTAAACAATACTTAAAGATAATAACATATAGAGCAGTAGTAGACTATATGGATGAATCATAAATCATAAATCATAAATCATAAATCATAAATCATAAATCATAAATCATAGATCATAAATCATAAATCATAAATACTCATCGTTATGAGTTGGGTAATAAAGTGGGTATTGATAGCTTTTAGTATTGCGATTATATGAGTAGGGACCGTAAGGTCCACTATTCTTATCGGTGTATCCACCATTTCCGACACCATAGCCATAATAGTTGGGTGGAACATAATAGTAATACGGAATATCAGTATTATTATATTTTGTGGTTTTTTCACTCGAAGCCTCAGAAGCTTGGATTGTAGGATCCGCTTGTGACATACCCAAAGGTTCCGATCTGTCACTGAAAGTGTTAGTAGAAGGTGAGGATCCACTTTTCAAGAAATGACGAGATTCTGACTGCATAGTTTCTGGAGGAGTAGGAGACTCATGCTTGGATAATCGATTTTCAACTTTGGAAACACTATTCCCAATATCATTGAAAATATTATATGACTTTCTATTATCATGTTCTAATCCAAAAAAATCCTTCTTGGAATAAGATGCTTGATCTTTACCTTTTTCTTTAATATTACCATTACGTTTGTAATCGAAAAGGCCATCAGAAGCTCTCAACGGTTTCTTGGGACTATTCTCATGAAAGATCTTGTAAGATTTTGGTGAGCCATATCCACTGAATTTAGATTGACCATTGGTAGAAACCACATCATTAATGTTAGATTTTGTTTTAAAAGATGTATGATGCAGTTGACGCTGATATGGGTGCTTAGAATGGCTTTGATTTTGGCGTTGATGATTCTGGCGATGCTGTGGTGGTTGATACAAATAATGAGATTTTGTTGGATTTTCAAAAAGTAAACTTTTAGGTTTATTATTAGAGTTTATTCTTTTCATAAGATTGATTGGAGGAGGTGCATGAGCAAAACCCAATTGAGGAGTTGAATTTGGTTTAATTTTAGAATGATGAACTTCACGGTATTGAACATGCATTGTTTTGTCCTTTAACATTGAATGATTCTCTCTTTCAACAGCACTAGCAGCAGCAGATTCATCATCATAGGTAATGAAGGCAAAAGTATTATTTTCTTTTCTAATAATGGAAAGATCTTTGATATTTCCATGAATTTCAAATCGATCAGTTAATTCTTCCTTGGTGATATTTGAATTTAATTGACCAATGAAAATTGAAAATCTATCAAACCCGTAAGACTTTGATTGGGAACCGGATTCATTTTTAGGATTAAAGTGATGCAGCACTCCATAGTGCCCTTCATCAAGATTTTGTGCCCATTCAACTTCAAGATCACTCTTTTCAGTTAAATTAGCATATGCTCTAATTGCATCATCTCTATAGGTAAACTTGACAAACCAGTTTTTAAAAGTTTCTTCAGGATTCGAAGTAATTTGTACCAAACCATCAGAATCACTGGGTTTAATATCATCAAATTCACCAAAAATTGATAAGTATTCTTTTAAACCATTTTCAGAAAGTTTCGAGCTAGAAGAAATAAAGAGGGTTCTATTTACTTTGGCAGCTTCACATCTAAGTCTTCTTCCACTCGACAATGAATCCTGACCCAATTTAATTGCTCTTTTGCAGTCATTATCATTTGTATATTGCACAAAAGCATAAGGACGATTTGAAGTATCACGAAGAACCTTAACTGTAGACAAATCCCCCCATTTTTCAAAATGTTTGGTTACTGATATGCATAACTCATCATCAGTTAACGTTGAACAAAGACTCGCAACGAAAACACAAGCTGATGGCTTACCTCTAACATTTTTAATTGGTGCTTGATTTTCTTTATCCATACTTGCCTCATTATCCGATTCATCACTCATTGTTTGACTAATTTTAAGCAGCATCATAGAAGGAACTATTGTTGACTTATTAGAGTCAGCTTCTTCAACCTGTTGGAAATCACCCACATGAATAGGAATAGATTTCTTGTCGTCAGAAATAGCTTCTTCTGTGATATCTGGAAGTGACTCCGAAGAGCTAGCACCCCCCACCGAAGATGGAAGATTGTAAGTTTCGTCGCCGGCGGCGCTTTCTTCCTTACATTTAGAATCAATCACCTTTGATCTGGCTTTAATCTTTTTCAAAGAGGAGGGTTTCATGTTGAAGATTGGGGCGATTAAAAATCTGATTGTAAGACTGAGAATAACAGACCCACACAAATTGTTGCAACTTGCGAAATATAATCAGGGGTGTTAAGCGCGGTCAATAAGATTAGAGATGTTGTTAGATAGTGACTCACTTTGTTCAAAGAAGACAGCGGACAACAAAGAAGAAGCAGAAAGAAGTACAAGTAACACTCTGTTTGAAGTAGGAAAAGTGGGATTTGAAAGAGAAAACGACGTATAGTTTTCAACCTTTTTTTTTTTTTACAACTTTTGAAATCCACAAATGGAAATCTTTTTTCTTTTTCTCTTGTTTGTTGGAGGTATGGGTCTCTTTGAATTGTTGCAAAATTTAGCTTCACCATACAACGCCCTATATACTGAGTAGCCGCTTGGATATAAATTGAAGGGGATACGATCATATTTTGATTTGATTCTATTTCTTGTAGCTTTATTAAAACCCAGAATGTCTACTTCATCCAAAAATCGTATTTTTCAAGTTGTTATTAGCATAGCCGTGCTTATTCTTGCTGCTATTCTTATTAAAGATAAGTCAACCCTTTCTGGAATTGTAAGCGATGTGAATGATCTTCTTTCAGGGAACTCGACTGAATCAGCAGGGGAGTTGATTGGAGAGTTAGTTGGAGATTTACTTAATCAGACTGAGATTGGCGAATTAGAATCGAAACTTGGCCTGGGTTCCAAGCAAAGCACTGGGTTAAATTTGGATACTGTTGTTAAGCCCATTGCAGTTTCCTTAGCTAGCGGCTCATTTACTACCTCTGGTAATCTGATTCTTTCTTTGGTGTATAAATTCATCAAGAATAGGGCCACTAAGCCAACGCTTGCAAGCGTTAGGAGTGGTTCCGGAGCCTTGAGAAGTTTGGGTATTTCTAAATCCCAAGAAGGGTACCTCGGGTCGTTGGTGAGTTCTGAGTTTAGTGGAGTTATTCTCTGGTTTGTTTCGTTTATTTATCAAGTTACCGAATCTGGTTCAATGAACTGTGATAGCTTAGAGGATTTGCTTGTTCATTATAATTTGACTGGAAATGGTGTGAACGAGCAAATTTTGAATAACTTTTATGGAATTGGAACCATTGCTAATTCAACATTGAGCAGGAGCTCCTTCAATTCAACTACCCTTCAGAAACAACTGGAGCTAGCCATGAAGTTGTCTGGTAATTGCAAAACCAAGAAAGCTTCCATTGGGTTGGCGTCGCTTGGTTTGGTAACTTATTTGTTGTCGTCTTCGATGCTAGGAGTTTCTGGTTATAAGTTGTACTCTGCATATAAAGGTTTGAAACAAGGTGATAATGATTCCTCAGATGGAGACGAAGCAAATACTCTGGTATTGGTAGAATTTAACGATGCTTTCTTATTTCCAAGTATTCACCAACAAAAAGCAGATGAGGGATCCGAAGATGGGAACAAGGAATCTGTTTAAATTAGCGATTCATTTATATTACCAGTTTCTATAGAGAAGCTATGTAAAGATAAATATATATTTAAAAAAAAAAGCCTGAATCAGACAAAGACAAAGCCAAAACATAACAACCAGATCGAAAAGCGCCAATTCGATCTCAATCTCATAGCCCTGTTTTCATGATCCACATTATAATTTGCTGTATCTAATTGTGGAATGGAACTGGTCGACGAAGGAGCCAACAGAGAAGATGTAGAGGAAAAAGAAGCCGGTGCCTTTGGGGAAGAAGATGAAGAGACTTGTAGAATTGATATTGAAACCAGTGGAGTTGCAAGAACAGTTTCAGTTGTTGGAATACAGCCAATCGGGTAGGCCGTGAGCGTTGAAGATTCCAATTTTGTACTTGTTACGACTTTGGTCGATTTGAGTAAGCTCACTTCAGTCTTAGTAATAGTAGCTTCACTGGAGATTGTGGAGCAAGGAATGCTTGAGATGTAGAAGTAAGTATTCCATTGAGTGAAGGACCAAGTCAAAGCGAATGAAGAGACTGTTGTAGAACTGGTGAGCAAAGTTGGTGAGGACGAGGTGGAAGTTGAGTTTGAAGGAGTGCAGCTTGAAACTTGAGGTCTGGCAGAGATGACAGGGCTGCTTGGAATGGTCGAAACCTTCATTGAAGAAGATGACGAGATTGAAAAACCAACATTGGAAGTTGTGTAAGCTGGGGAAGTTTTATAAACTGGAGAAGTTGTATAAACTAGAGAAGTTGTATAAACTGGAGAAGTTGTATAAACTGGAGAAGTTGTATAAGCTGGAGAAAGTGTGGAAGTGGGTGAAGGTACTGGTTTGGTCAAGGTATTGCAGTCGACCACGGTAGTTACGACAGTCGTTATTAGCACGACGTTTCCGTTGGAAAGAGTAGTATGATGGACGGTAGTAGAGACGAGAGTGGAAGAGGAATCAGAAGCAGATCCAGGGGCAATTTCAGTTTCAGTTGCAGTTGCAGTTGTATCTGTTACAGTATCAGTTGCAGTAGCAGCCACTGTGTCAATAGCAGTAGCAGTATCAGTAATCACAGTGGTGGCAGTATTAGTGAAAATTGAAGTAGCAGTATCAGGGGTATCAGCAGTGGTATTGGGAACAGTAACCACCCCGGTGCCAGTAGTATTGGCAGTTGTATCATTATTATCAGTAGCAGTAGCAGTAGCAGTATCAGTGGTATCAGTAATCACAGCTGTGCCAGTTGTATCATTATTACCAGTAGCAGTAGCAGTAGCAGTATCAGCAGAAGTATCAGTAGCAGTATCAGCAGAAGTATCAGTAGCAGTATCAGCAGAAGTATCAGTAGCAGTATCAGCAGAAGTATCAGTAGCCGTATCAGCAGAAGTATCAGTGGCAGTACCAGTGGCAGTACCAGTGGCAGTACCAGTAAAGGTCAAGGTACCCTGCAAGGAGCTTGCTGTGGTGATCAAACTACATCCATCACAGTCCCAGTCCGGGTTAGGCTAAACGTTAGTATCCATCCATATCAAACAGTTGGCTCACGTACTCTTTGAGTATAGGCTGCCTCGACAGCCACCAAGGCTAAAAAGATTAATTTCATGTAGAGAATATTATCGCTGAATGAATAGTAGATATAAAACGGAGATACAAGTGTCAATATATATAAATATATACAAGTATCAATATATAAATGTGATAGATAATCACCACTTGGTTTTGCAGCAATCAACACACCCGCACACCACGCACGTGACCGCCAACTCCCCGAGCTTGTTCCCAGGGCGTACCCGGTTTTCACCTGCCGAACGTCGTTTCTTTTTCCTTTTGTCGTTTTGTCCAATTGTTTTTCCCTTTTACGGGGGAAACTGCCAGGGCGCCAGGGAAAACACCCGTGCCGCCAGCCCCCCGGGCTGGGCCTGGGGCCTTCTCCCCACCAACACCAACCAGTGCCTGGTTCTCGAACGAGATGTGTTTAGTAACCTTTCAGATACTCCTGGCAGCCTTAGTAAGTGGGTCTTATCAACAGTGCCCTACCGTTTGAGGCATACACACCCGACACCGTACAATGTAACAATGTAATTCGAATTATCTGAATTTTAATAACAATCAACAGAATTCAAATGGTAATTTAATAATAACAAAAAGGTGGGAATTTGGGTTTAACCCCGGGATCCCCCATAGTGGTTCATAGTAGCCATTTTATTCAATCGGATTACAGTAAACCATTGGTGAGTTGTGGAGAGATGCTCAACGAATATCCCCACTTAATGGCCTTGCCAGTGTCAGGTGTCTTTACCGGTTTGTGTTGAGATGATTTAATCAACTGATTACAAGTTTCCTGTCTACCTCTACTGTTTACTGTCTGCTTCTACTGTCGACGGTGGACCGGCCACTGTCTCGTGCACGTAGTATACGTAGTTTCCCAAGACTGGCAGGGAGCCGTAGCCAATGTAAATCCTGGTATTGTCCACCGTATAGTGCTATAGTGTAATCTTCTCCTCAAAACCACAGAAAAATTTTTCTCCATAAAAAGCGAAAAGCGAAGCAGAACCAAGTCAGATCTTACAAAAAGCACTTAAAAAAAAGCACTTAAGAAAAGCACTTAAAAAAGTACTTACAAAAAAAAAAAAAAAAAAAAAAAAAAAATTTGATTCTCTCTTTTAAAGCAATTTGATATCGCCATTTTAACGGATATATATTCACTTAACTTCTTTATCTATTCTCTAGTTTAGTACTTGAACCATTTGCAAGAGCATTATTCAAACGTTTATTAAGCTTTTTTTTCTTTGATAGAGAGAAATATAGAACCCCACACTCATACAAGATTCTAAGATATAGCAGGATAAAATGTCATTAAAACAAGAAGTTCCTCGTGACCCAGAACTACATGACTCGTCCGGTAGGGATGCCCCGGTAGTTGTTGATAAAAAGGATCCAACCAGTAGGCCATATAAGTGTCCCATGTGTGATAAGGCCTTTCATCGTTTAGAACACCAAACCAGACATATTCGAACTCATACCGGGGAAAAACCTCATAGTTGCACTTTCCCAGGATGTTTTAAGAAGTTTAGTCGGAGTGACGAATTAACGAGACATTCCAGGATTCATACCAACCCAAACTCAAGAAGAAATAAGAACCTCTCCAAAGCAGCAGCTGCAGCCATGAACACTAATGATAAACCATCATCGTCATCAACAACGTCAAAGAAAACAACGAAACTCACCACCATTCCGTCGCCGGATCTGTCGTCATCGTCCTCGTCATCAAGCTCTTCATCCAGCTCCAATATCAAGGCTGTTAAATCATCAAAACAAGTTAAAAAACTGCCTTCGCCAAAGATGGATGAAGTTTCCCCCAAACCACATGCTACTTTTAGTTTCCATCCAATCAAAACTCCACCAAATGAAAGACCTCCTTTATTGAAAAAGTTATCCAGTACTATGAATATTGATATGTTGGCAAGCGCAGCGCTGGAAGAATTAAAGATTATGGAATCAAATAATTCGAGATCATTGCCTTCATTAACTGATTATTTTGGTAAAACTTCCAAACCTTTAGCATTACCCAAAAATTCTTCCAAGAACAATCTTCAATATTTATCAAATGTGGCGGTTAATAATAGTAAAAGTTATACTACTTTGAATACTACAATGAGAAACAACTTCCCTTCATTACAAAGAATGACTCCAATGAATAATTCATCTAATTCATTAGAATCATCTAAAAATTTACATTATCTTAATGAAGATTCTGATTTAGATTACGTTAAATCAAAATTGAAAAAATCAAGACCAAATTCCCCATTATCGTCTTCAAATTCAAAAAATTTCACCATTCCAAATAGTCCAGTCATGAACTTAAGTACTAACACAACTCCCTTAATTAGTGCCAGCAACTCATTCACTAATTTATCAAATTTTTTCATGACTCCTGCAAGTAACCAGCAACAACAACACCATCAACATCCTCCTAGAAATACAAATACAACCCCTCCATCCTCCGTTAAAACCAATTCCCATCTACAAACTCCAAAACTATCGCCATCGTCAAATGGTGCCATTGAGCATCAAAATAAAAACTCTGACGCCTTACCCTCATTAAGAAGCTTAAAATTAGATTTACCAACTAATTTAAGTATGCCTAGTTTACCCGATGCTAATATTGGCTTAACCGATAAACAAAAGTCTAATCCCCATCATTAGCCTGCTATTTTGCTACTTTACTAATCTGGGGAATCGGTTAAAGCGGCCAGTTACCAGTCCCTTCACATGCCCTGTGATTTCAGTATATCCCCGGGGGTTTTCCCTCTATATATATTTCTCTGTACATTACCTACTCTTGTTCTGTTTGTTATTTACCCTCTATTTGCTTCTCTATTGCAACCTAATCTTCTTTCCCATGTATTAATCTTTCCTTCTCTACATAATATAATAGTTCTCATCGTATCTTTGGCTCATTTAGTGCGTAGCAGCGTTTCTTTTTTTGTTTGTTCTGTTTATTTCGCAGCTTGTAAAAGCCGAACGATGGACTAAAGGATGTAAGAGAAGCTTACATCTTTGCTATCTTTTGACATGTGCCATCGGATACCTGGATCGGAACTGCTTCTTGTTCGCCTACAATTGCTGTTAATCTAACCTTTTTATTACTATTTTTAAAAGCTAATGATTGTTCAAGTCAACTCCCCCAACGGCCCATACCTCTTGTTCGTCTTCAATACGGTCACTGAACAAGGTCTCGTCGTCACCACCGGCCTCGATACGTTCTCGTTCAACCGATGCTAATCTATTAGCAACTCTCTTGGTATAATCACCAATTGATCTGGGTTGAATGGCCCCACCAATAACCGTACTAATATTAGTGTTATCGCTGAAGTATTGATTAAAATCTTTCAGTTCAGTATCTTCAATTAAATTGAAAATTGCTAAGTAGGCTTTTTCAGCGGCTAATCTAATTGGAATAACCGCATCTCTTAAACACGTAAATACACTTGGTACAATCAAGGTCCAATTTGGTTTGATAAGTTTTTCGTATTGGTATCTTGCCAAAGTACGAATAACAACTAATGATAAACGACGAGTGTCACTTGAATTGGATTCGGGTTTGATCATGGTTATTGATAACTGTTTAATCAATTCAATTCTTAATTCTTCATCAATGGTATATTCAGGTTTCTTCTCGAGTTGTAAAAATAATTTACCAATTGCAATTGTAGCATTATCACTAATGTAATCAAATCTCGAATTACTTCCACTTATTATAAAATCAATGATTCCTTGTAATAAATCAGTTTGGAAAATATGTTGTGGAGAATCTTTCAAAAATGAATTGATTGATAAAATACTGAATTTCAATTTTTGAATATCTCCAGAATTGGCATTGATTAATACCTTATCATTCAAAATATTCTTAGCTTCATCACTAGATAAAATCTTCAGTAATGATCCAATTAATCTAGCGTATGAAACAGCAGTTTTTTCATCGGATACTTTGGTGATTTCTTCTTCAACTAAGGTCATAATTGAATTCTTAGAGGTTTCATTCATATTATTACCTGCTTTACTAACAACTTCTAACATACCTTTCAACATTGTCATTTTAACTCCTGAATCATCCGTGTTCTTAGCACCAGTTACTAATTCAGTAACTAATGAATCAACTCTTGGTTGGAATTCAATTAATACTCCTAATGCAATAACGGCTTTTTCTCTTAATGTTTCATTATTAGCATCACTTAAGGATCTAACAAAAGTTCTTTGTAATTGTGGAACAAATGGTCTTAAAAATTGTGGAATCTTCAATAACAAATTGGTTAAGGCAATTAAAATAGCAGCCTTAATATCACTACTAACTTTTTCACCAATAACACGAATTAATGGACCAGTGATAGTAGTAGCAAATGGTCTTAAATTAGCTGATGGGGTCTTATCAATAATATCAGCTATAGATAATGCTGATGCTTCACGTTGTTCATTATTACCATACATTAATCCATGTAAGAAAATCGGTAAAATACAATTTGGTCCCTTTGGAAGTTTGAAACCAGCTAATTCTTCTCCCTTAACACCAGTCAAAATTAATGCTTGTCTAGCAGGTTTAACCAATCTTTCTAATGACTCCTTACTTTGGTTTTTGACCAAGGCGGTTAAAGCATCAAAAGTACCTTGAACAACTCGTGGAGATTTATCACCTAATGATAAGATAAATTGTCCAATCATATCTTGGGTGTAAATAGAATAATCTAAAGTCGTATTACTAAAGAAATTTCCTAATCTTTCATAAACAATAGCTCTCTTAGCAGAATCTTCATGTTTAACCAATGATAATAATTGTTGCATCAATGGATTAACACCAGCATTGTCATCAATTGCTAATAAAATTTGATCAAATGAATCTTTAATTTGTTGTTGATATTCTTCAGATTCATTTCTAGCTTCAATTACTGCCAGGACCAATGTATTAATAATTGTACTCAAACGTCTGTATAATGCAGAACCAGCAACAGATGCTAATGAAGATAATGCCTTGGCTTTGAAAGCATCGATAGGTGGAGTTAACAAGGTTGGAATCAAAATCGGGAAAATGACTTCGGATTTGGTTGCCATAATATCTTGTAATGCAGATAAAGCATTTTCAGAAGTTTCACGAGATGAAGATTCTAACAAGTTTAATAAATGTGGTAAAATTTCATCAATGACAACCTTACCCAAGATTTCTTGTAATGCTTCGAACCCTTGTGCAGCAGCTTCTCTAACCCTTGGTGATGAATCAATAAGTGCATCACGAACAATACGAATAAATACATGGCTATATTCATTCATTGCATCATTAGAAGCGGATTTGATTAATTCAGTTAAAGCAATACAAATACCTTGTTTAGTATCACTATCACCAGTAACCAATGATTCTTCCAAAGTTGGCAATAATTGAGCCAATGCATTGGCACCAACTCTACGAACCATTTCACCTAATGTAGAAGCAGCAATAGTTCTATGAACTTCATCAGGAGATGCTAATCTACGAACAATAATAGTAGTCAAAGTAGGTAAGATCTCTTTAACAGTTCTAGGAGTATTAGCAACCAAGGCCTTCCAAATATCAACAGCTGCACTACGGACGATACCGGTAACATCTGAACGACAAACAAATAAGGCTGCCAAAACACGATCACGACGTTCTTGACCCAAAACTTCCAAGAGTGATTTGTTAACTTCACCAGAATATTCAGCTTGTTCTTCAACAAGTTCATTCTTACCAGAAATACCAGTAACTTGGAACAACAAATCACCAGTAAGTTCAACTGAGGAAAGACGAATACGGTAATTAGAATCGGATAATCCAGCTTCCAATTCTGGAAGTAACAAATCAACAGCCTTCTTGGCATAGTTCTTGACAATTAATCTACCAGCTCTCAACGAAGTATCACGAATTTCTTCATCGACATCCGCTAAACCAGCTAAAATAGGTGGAATGATCTTACTCAAATATGGAGAGAACTGGGTACCGAAACAAACTGGTAAAAACAATAAAAGTGGCATGAAACCAGCACGAATATAGGTACGAGAGTTGGTAGCGTTTGTCAAAATAACTGGTAATAATTCATCCAATTTACTAATACCAAGACCAGAGATGACTTCAGATAATGCTTGAGCAGAACCAAGACGATCACCAGATTTGTTTTCATCCTGTAAAGTATCTAATAAACGAGGAATCAAATCTGGGAATTGATCTTCACCTAATTTTTCAACCAAAGAACCCAAAGCTCTAGCAGCGGTAGATCTAGTAGCTGGAACTGGATCAACCATAGCAACTTCTAACTCTTGGACTAATTGAGACAAATATGGGCGTAAATCTTTAGCATCAACTAAAATCGCCATGTTACCAACAATTTGACATGCTTTTCTCTTGGTAGCTGCAGATCTATCTCTCATACCTCTATGAATAACGTGAATGATAAGGGCTAAGGAAGGACCATCAATGTAATGGACGAATTGAGTTTTAATCAATTTATCCAAAGCTTCATCGGTGTATTTAGTTGGGTCACCAATAGCATTGATTAAAGCAGGGACAATGGCTTGAATTTCTGGATTACGGATAACATCACCAAATCTCTTCAAAGCTTGATCCGCAGCTTTTCTAACTTCCTTATGGGTGTCATTCAAAACACCAACAATTTCAGGAACAATAGTAGACAAAGATGCTGATAATTGAGCTGGATCCAAATATGCCATTGAACCTAATAACTCAACGGAACCTTTTTTGGATCTCCATTGAATTTCATCTAAATTAGAAATGGCAAGAGGAATGAGTTTTTTCACACCGAAACTAGTGGTATTCTTCATAATCTGTCTTGCAGCAAAATCAGTAGCTTCTCTAACCTCCGGAACTGTATCACCCAAGGATTTCAAAATTATTGGTAAAACCTCAATGACATAAGGTTCGAAGAATTTACCTAAACTCAAAGATAAACATTCAAAGGCAAATGAAACACCTTCTCTTCTTCCTGGGTTTTTCTTATCATCTGCTGCATCGGTCAAAGTTCTGATGACATCGTAAGTAGATAATGACTTGATACCAGCACCTTTAACTAAACCTGCAATACCGTATGCACCACCACGTCTTATAGCCAAGGTTTTACCATTGAACAATTTTTCGAATAACTCATCGAAATGTTGTTCTAACCTGTCTGAGAAAGACTTTACTAAAGGAGCAATACATTCTGAAATAGCAAACTGAACATCTTCTGATGGGGTATTGAGAGTTTTCAATAATCTTTCAACAATGAGTTTTAATCTTTCATCAGCTGCATCTAAGTGGCGACCTAAAGCACCATATAAAATAATAACACATTCTCTAATTTTATCTTGTTTTTTAGTACCATCATCTTTTTCACCCAAACAAGTTTCGAAAATTGGAATTAAAGTTTCCATAAACTCTAAACCATGATCCTTGATAATTTCGACACCAGCGTCTTGTAACTCTTGACGAACTAAATCTTCCTTATCGCCTAATGCTTTTTCAGTGACCAAAAAGTCGAAAACGGTTTGGATGTTGGCTCCTTCAGTTAAATGAGGGGATAACAATTTCAAACAGAGAGCAACAGTTGATCTTTCTTCCCAAGGGTCTTTTTGATCAACCTTAGTTCTAATGGCTAAACCAAATTGATCTAATTTAGGAGCAGGTGGGTTCTCTTTCTGATGATAAAGGTCGATTAATTTATTCAAAAATGAGGTGTAAATATCAGGGTTTGATGAAGATAAAGAGCGGGCAGCAGATATTAATGCTTTTGCGATTGACAACCTCAAACCAGCATCATTATTACCAGCAAAAGACAACAATTGTTCTAATGCATCATCTGCAACCTTAAAGCTGTTGTCTTCCCAAATAGTAATTGCTAAATCAGCGCAATTAGTATCAGGATCATGAGCGGCAATCCAAATTTCATTCGAATATGATAAATCATTCGATAAATCAAATTCAGAATCGATACCTTCCAAGATGGCAGTTTTGATAAAAACATTACTGACAACCACATTGTCCAATAATAACTTCAAATCTTGTTCATTGATATTTACAGCGATATGTTGACACAAAGATAAGAAGCATTCCTTAGCTAATTTAGCTTTTGCAGGTAAATTCATGAGGTCAATCAAGACTTCCAAAATTTTAGTTCTTGGGATCGAATCATCTTCAAAAATCTCAGCATGAGCGGAAATAATTTCAATTGCTAACATGAGCTGTTCTTCTTCAGGATCTTCTTGAACAAACTCAGAAGTAACAGCCTGTTTAGTAGAATTTTTGATAGCAACTTTCTTACCATTATCCAAGACTTTGACAACCAAAGGTAATAAGTAAGACAAAGAAATGGAGTCCAAAGGTCTTTGGTCAGATAGTATTTTAATTCTGAATAAAATACGACTAATCAAATCCAAAATTGGTTCATCCAAATAATTTTCTGATAAACCTTTGAAATTGTTTAATCTAATAGTTGCAGACCCTACGAATGGTTTTAATAAACCGATTCTATCAGAAACTAAGTTAGATAATTTAAGATAGATATTCACCGGTAAACTGCCAAAGATTTCATTTGTTATGTCCAAATTCAATAATGATAAGGTATGCAAAATAGCAACTGGGAACCAAAATTTAACACCATTATCAACTTGAGTTGCACTTTGAGCTAAATCTTCAATGATAAGCCAAGCCCTATAGTAATGATTAATTGACGATTGAACGTTGGAACGAATTTCCTGTTCTTTAGCTAATTGTTCATTAACCAAGGTTTGTTCTTGTTTAGTTAATTTTTTAGGAATTGATTTCTTTTTGGCGTCTAATTCTTTTTTCAAGGATTCTTCCCATTTTCTAGTTTCATAATCTTTTGCATTCTTATCTTCTTGTTTCTTTTTACCATTTGCATTTTCAGCTAAAACATCCACCACTAATTCATTTTGATTTGCTCTCCAAATTTGAACACTTGTTGAATCTAAGTTATTTAAAGCATCAAGTTTCAAATCTTGACTGAGTAATGACGATAATTTAGGACCAACCAAGTCTGGGCGAATAAAACTTATAATGCTCATTGAACGTAAAGAAGCTTTATAAACGTCACCGTTGGTATTGGAAGAGTTTAAATTATGGTAAATTTCATCAATAAAAGAATCATAGTTTGATTCGACTAATTTACCGACGTCAACATTGGATCTTTGAGTTAAACCGATCCATTCTAATTTGATCGGAATCTGGGAATGATTTGAAGGGACCAATAATCTCGATAAGTTTTGTTCAATTATTTCTTCGAATTGATCATTGGTTTTAGTGGTGATGACGGAAAATATTGGTGATAAAAGTTTTAAATTATACTTGAACAAATCCTGATCGATTGAATTGGCATCAAGGTCACTCAAAACCTTATTAGTTGCATTAATAATAGCGTTACTTAAAATTTTTGGATTTTGGGTGAAACCACGTTTGATTAATTTCAAACTCAATAATCTTTGATCATATGGAATATTAGTCGATATATTAAAATATAACCAAGATAAACCGTAAGCAAGTTGGTCATCAGAGCTTAAAGATTCGATGTAATTCAAGCTAGTGACAAGACTCTTGGTACACCAACTGGATTCGAACTCGTTTAATTTTGTAATAACTTTTGGACTAACCAATATAGAAAATTTATCACCGGAGTCAATTAACGAATCAACGAAGACTTTTTTCGAATCAATTTCCAAAACATTTGCAAAGATTGGGGATAAAGCAATAGTGACATAAGAACAAACGATGCTTTTATTTGTGATTGTTGGTAAAGGAGATGCTTGAGCTTCATCTAAGGATTTCAACATCACTGGATGAATGCTTGATAAGAAATTGCCAAATCTTGAAGAAATTTGGGAATTGAAATCGAACAATTGGTTACCTAATTCCAAGAACCAAATTTTTCTTAATTGAGTTTTTTTGTCGGCCAATCCAGTTTTAATTTGATTTTCGAAACTTGAAACATCGGTGTCATTCCAAGCTTCATTATTGATGATATTTAAGAAATGAGTAATGAATGAGTTTACCAAACCAGTTAAAGAAGTTTCATTTTGATCTTTTGAAACGATTGGATTTAAATCTTTACAAATTTTCAAAGAAACGTCCAAATTTTTAGGTAAAAATTTCAATAAGTTAATAAGATCGAACTTAATATCAGAATTTGAAGTTGCTTTATAATTTTTCAAAATTTCATCAATCAATTTGTTAAAATTTTCCGAAGACATTGAAACAATTAAGGAATCGATAATCTTGATTAAAGTTTTGGAAGCATTCAATCTCACCAAAGGTTTCGAAGATTTAATACCGGAAAAAATATGATTCAATAATTTGGAGCCAATCAAGATATCACTCAAATTTACTTTTGATTGATTCAAGTTCTCAAATAGGGAAATGACAAGATTGGAGCCAAAAGTATAATCACTTGATCTCAAGATTGATTTTTCCAAAGCAGGTAATAATTTAATTGCGAAATCATCTTGGACTATGAAATTATGAATGAAGTATTGGTGGAAAATATCTAAAGATTGGGGAATTGGAGGAACTTTAGCAGTTAAAACATGTCCAGTATAATAATCAAGGATTTTCAATTTTGAATCGTTCAAATTTTCAAATAAATGATTATAAAAAGAAGGATGAATTGGTTGTAAATCTAAGATTGAACTTGATAAAACACCGGCAAAATTAAGTATAATTGATAAATTTGATTTATGAGGAGTTGAATTTAGTAAAGTACTTATATAGGTATCAATAAGATCATCGGAGGAGCTTGATAATGCAATTGAGATTGAAGCTTTAGTAGAAGCAATGGTAGAATCATAGACTCTCCTTATATGTTTTGAGAATTTAAAATTGGAACTGGTTGTAATTGTACTATTTAATAATAAACTTTGAGTTAAAATGAGTTGAGTTAAGATTTCATCATTAACTAAGTTCAATTGGAAACTGACGTTGTTCAATTTATTGATCCAGCTTAATAAGGTCAAATAATCCGTGATTGCTAAGGAAAATTGATTATTTAAACATAAAGTATTTAAATATTTAATGAAAATTTTCAAGTAATTTGAATCAAATTTTACATAGCTTTCCAACACTTGTAAAACCGCCAATCTTGAATCATGGTCGGAGTAATAATTATAAGTATTGAGTAATGTTTTAGCAATTACTCCCAAAATCTTATCATCATCATTGATAATTTGATTTGCAATCAATAAGTTTGATAAATTATTCAAAAAATTGATTCTTCTCTTGGTTAAAGATGAGTAAATGAATTGCTGGTAATTGTCCTTGATATAATCCCACGATAACCGGGTATCTTCATTTACATCACTCATCTTTAATGGGGGGGTTTGATAATGATAAACCTACAACTAGTTTCGATATATTAAAATTTTTCAGTAATAGAAAGCCGGGTGTGCGCAGTACAAAACCCACCACTAACTTTCCAATAGACAACGGTTACCCGGCCAAACACCACCAGTATATAAAGCACCTCGAGCCCACCGTATACTGAAAATTTTTTCCCTTTGGTTCCTTATCAACTATAACAGTCGATGAGGAACGACTATAGTTAATTCATCCATTACAGTAATTCTCGTAAGGGAAGACTCACTTAACGGTGGGCGCTGCGGAGAACATCACGGTCATCATATCACCACACAGTGTAGTGATGTTTATGATAATCTGAGGCTGCATAGTTGATCATGTAGAATGTAGTAGTACAATTGACGAGTAAATAACATAAACATCAAATTTTTGGGTGGGGGGAGAGCATTACTATAAACATCAGAATAAATATGAAAAATAAATAAGAGGAATAAATAAATAACAAGCACGTTTTATGAATGAGTTAATCGCCATGTTTGAAACAACATCTATTACCATAACGGCAACTACCGAATTTTGACCAGTTAGCACAAGGTTTTGACCTCCATTTAGGGGGTCTTTCCACTAATTTCAACTCGTTTTCGCCGTGAGCAAATTGGCATTTATTACCATAAGGACATAATCCCATTTTCATAAATGATGCACATAATTCAGTTTTATACAATTGAGTATTGACATGTTGCTGTTTTAACTTTGGACTTGTAGGAGGAATGGTTTTCTGTTGTTCAAAGTTGAAAATCTCTTCGTTAGAATGATCAGAAAAAGTAGGTTGGTAGTTATAATACTGAATTTGTTGGGGTGCTGTTTGGGGTGCTGCTTGAGGTGGTGGTATTGTAGGATTAGTATTGAACAATAAATTTTCTTCGGTTAATGCTGGCAAGACGTTTGAATCTAATAAATTATTTGGTAGTAACGATTTAGCGTACTCGATATGATTACCTTCTTGTTCTGACCAGACACTGTTACTTCTGAATTTAAAAGTATCGGACCCGGTCGATGTTGATGGGGATGGACCCAGCCATAAGTCAGGTAATAATTCACTTTGACCAAGGCCAAGACCCAAATCAGATGACAGCGATGTAGATGAGGATGTAATACTTAACCCTAATGGAGTATGATTCTGGTATTGGTTGTTCACCTTCTTATTGGTTTCAACTGGTAGAGTTGTTAATGGAACTTGATGATACGTAGTCATAGTCCTAGATAAATATGAGTATGGGGAAGTAAATAATAAAGTAAAAGTTTGGGATCCAGATAGATATATATATATAAATAATAAAAGTTCCTAACGTGAGGCTAAAAAACACAATGTATGGAGGGGATTGAAATTTTTCCACCAGAAAAAGCTGAGAAAAGCGAAGTATCGAAAAAGAAAAGACCAACCAACGACTGCTGCTGCAACAATGGCACTGTCAAGTGAATCCCAATAACTACTTGGGTCGGTTCTTCTTACAAATCCCTTTGCAAACGGGGTTGATTCTCATTAGCTGATTCCTCACCCTCCGTATGAAAAATTGTGGTGTGGTTGCCAGTGGTGCCATCGCTAAATGAGCAATGTATGGAAAAATTAAAAGACGAGACCGGAGATTACTGTTGATCAGATTTACTACTACCACAGTACCTCCACCGACCTTTGTATACACTTAATCTTTTACAGACATGTACATCGTTGAACATTTACCTGTTCATTTACCTGTTCATTTACCTGTTCATTTACCTGATCATTTACGTAGTCAGTTCAAGCATTTGCACTCACAACTCACCATTCACAGCACGGCTCGACTCACAACTCACAATTCACCCTCTGCAAGGGTCGTCTCCGAGTGACGGCTTCCGTGGGCTCAGAGATCACCAGCAGGCTCTCAGCACCCAAGCACTCGAGTACCAATCACTCTGGCCGTTTCCGGGGACCTTGTTGCTGGCCTGGCTTGTTATCTTTTCCATCAGTAAACCGACTTTCGGTCACAAACAATTGCCAATCACTCGCAGTACCGGGTGAAATGCGCACTGAGTCGTTGGTTGGGAATTTTCCGACAAACGGATATTTTGGCGGAGTCTTTGCAAAGTGAGGAGATTGGACCACTTGCGATTGCCGTTTTTGGAATGGGGAGAACTTTTGCCATCGAGTCGGTGTACGGATGCACGAAAACAAGATTTTTTGTGGTGTACGGGGGTGTTCCGATTTTCTTTTTTTTTGAGATGTACGGGGGTTTCTCGCGGTTTATTTATTTATCAACGCGTTGTAGTTGGCGGTAAATCCATCAACAAGGTGATGCCATGCCCATATCCAACAACTTGAAGGAGCACCTACGCCATCTCTCGCAAGAGCGGGCGCACGCGGTGGACTCGGGCTTGATCGCGATCATGAACCAGGCGAGCGACGTGGCGGCGCCGGTCCCCAGGACAGTACGACCATTGCAGAACTCAACCCAAATCAACATCCCGGCGGCTAATGATAAAGACCAGATTGATGACGATATAATAGATATAACGCCGGTGGTGGCGGCGCAGAACACCAGCACGCAGAACAGACCGCTGCAAATACCCAGTACCAAGAGACAGAGCACTTTGGATGATCGGTTGGTTAAGAAAACCAAACCCAATGATCTGGGGAAGGATGATGTTCAGCTACTTCAAGACTATATAAGAATCTGCGAGGCCAAAATCAACTTGTTGAATGAAAAGAACTCCATCACGGAGTCGACGTCGATTTCGGTCGATGATAAACAGAAATTTTTCAATTTGAAATTCAAACCACGATTCGATAAAATCAATAATAATCAAGTCAAATTAAGATCGAAATTACTGTTTTTGAATAATGACTCGATCGATGACACCGACTTGATCAACTCGTTATCGGAAAACCCTTCTCCTGCTAAACAAGACTCGCTCAACCAATTAGACGGAATCGATTTCACTTCTGATTTCTCCGATACCAACATAGATGATGCACCTCCTTCTCCAAATCAATTGAAAATGAACTTGGAAGAGGCAAGACAGATTGTGCTTAATACTAAAAGTAATCATCCACCCCCTCCTGCTCCTCTTCCGCATAGCGACAACGATGATGAAGATGATTTCGGGAATAACACCTTTGAAGGCTTGTATACCCCACCAAACGAAGCGGATGATAATTACGACTTGAGCGACTTCATCGATGACAACGATGATGCCTCGGTGGATGACTCGTACCGTGAAACCCAAGTCCGTTTGGAAAGCGAAAACAATAATATCATCGTTGACGATGATGAAATTAACAATTTGAAATTATCTCAAGACGTTGCTGATAAATTGGGAGTCAACTATAACGTGGCCAACTCAGAAATTGATTTGGTAAGTGATGTAGATGATAACTCAACCATGAATGATAAAAAACCAAACTTAGAAGAAAAAGAATTCGAAGATACCGTCGAGGAAATTGATGATTTGGATTGTACTACTCAATTTAATCAAGAACGTGAATTGAATAATCATGATATTATAGAAATAAGTTCCGATGACGACGATGATGATGATGATATCGGTAATAGGAATGATGATGAAATCGATGAAATTGTTAGTTCTTCCATTCCTACTTTCCCTGCTAAAACTCAAAAACCAATTCCAATTTCTAATGATAGTGATTTTGGTGATACTGATGATGAAGAATTACTTGAGCTAATGAATAATAACTCCTCCAAATCAACCTTGCCCTCATCTACTCAATTACCTCAAGATATCCCTCCAGGATCCGAACCTTTTATTAAAGACGTTTATAGTGTATTACTAAGAGTTTTCAAGTTACCTGATTTTAGACCAAATCAATTAACAGCAATTACTTCGGCCTTAATGGGTAAAGATGTATTCGTGTTAATGCCAACCGGTGGTGGGAAATCATTATGCTATCAATTACCAGCTTTAATTAAATCGGGTAAAACAAAAGGAACCACCATTGTTATATCACCATTGATATCTTTAATGCAAGACCAAGTTCAACATTTGATAAATAAAAATATAAAAGCAAGCATGATTAGTTCAAGAGATAACGAACGAGAGAAAAATTCTGCCATTAAATTTTTCAAAGATGGTCTATTAGATTTGGTTTATTTATCGCCAGAAATGATTAATACTTCGACTAGAATTCAAAATATAATTGACAAGTTATTTCAACAAAATTTATTAGCAAGAGTTGTCGTTGATGAGGCACATTGTGTTAGTAGTTGGGGGCATGATTTCAGACCAGATTATAAAAATATGAATATGTTTAAACAAAAATATCCTTCTTTACCTTTGATGGCGTTAACGGCTACTGCAAATGAAAAAGTTAGACTTGATATTATTCATCATTTAAATATGGATGATCCAATCTTATTGAAGCAAAGTTTCAATCGTACTAATTTATACTATGAAGTTAGACCTAAAATAAGTGGATATCTTGACTGGATTAAAGATTATATTTCTACTAAACAAAAAAATAAGTCTGGTATCATATATTGTCACTCAAAACAACTGTGTGAGACAACTAGTGATAAATTAAATTCTTGGGGTATTAAAGCTTCATTTTATCATGCGGGTCTTGATCCAAATGAAAGATTTAAAATACAACAATTATGGCAAAATAATCATTTACAAGTAATTTGTGCTACAATTGCATTTGGTATGGGGATTGATAAACCAGATGTTAGATATGTTATTCATTTGTTTATTCCAAGAAACTTAGAAGGTTATTATCAAGAAACTGGGAGAGCTGGGAGAGATGGTAAACCTTCCGAATGTTATTTATTTTTCCATTCAAGAGATGCAGTCACAATTCAAAATTTTATTCAAAGGGATGATTCACTTGATGATATTGGTAAAGAAAGTCATTCCGCTAAATTAAGACAAGTGAAACAATATTGTGAAAATATATCCGATTGTAGAAGACAACAAGTTTTATTATATTTTAATGAAAAATTTGATCCAAAAAATTGTAATAAAAATTGTGATAATTGTGCAAGATCAAATAAGGTTAAAACAATTGAAAAAGATTTTACTGAACATGCTAAAAATATATTATTAATGGTCAAATCAATTCAAAATCAAAACGTTACAATGTTACAGTTTCAGGATATTTATAAAGGATCAAGAAATGCTAAAATTTTACAATCAAATTTCCATTATAATGAATATCATGGTAAAGGATCAATTTTGAATAAAATTGAAATTGAAAGAATATTTTTCCATTTAATTTGTGAAAGTTATTTAGTTGAATATCAAATCATGAAAGGTGGTTTTGCATCGAATTATCTTAAATTAGGTAGAAAAGCTAATTTGATTTTAGAAAAAGGAGCTAAAGTCATAATCATGATAAGTGAAGAATCTCTTTATAATTCAAGACCTAATAGTAATAAGAAACGAGCACCAGCTTTGAATCGTTCCAATACTTTTGCTGCAGGTAGTACTAACATAAACTTGAATGAATTTAGATTTAATTCATTTGTTAGTGCAAGAGAAGAATTAATCGAACAAAATAGCAGTAATAAGGGAAGTATCATTGAATTACCAAACAATGAATTTTCCAAAGAAATCGATGAAGGAAATAAACAACATGTTGAATTTTGTTATAAAGAGTTAAATAACTTAAGAATTCAAAAATCTTTTGAACTTGGCTATGGACAAAGTAACAACTTTATCAATGAGCCGACATTGAAGGATATGTCGATTAAGCTACCAACCAATAAGAAGGATTTCATTAAATTAAAGAATCTTAATAAGGATCAACAAGAATATTTCATGCATTTTAAAAAGCTATTGATGCAATTATCGAGAGAGAGAAAGAAAATTTCAAATGGGACCCAGGATAAGTCACCTTATTTCAATACCAGCGAACAAGATCAACAGATATTGAACGAGTTGAGAAATACATACTCCCAGAATAAAACTCAAAGTAGAACAAGTGGTACTCAAAACAGAAGTTCTCAAAACAAGCATCGGGTCCACAAGCCCAAAAAGTCGAGCCAAAGATCACAATCTAAAAAGAAAAAGTATCCTAGCTCGAATACAAGGTATCGAATGATGCCAATGTGATATTTATAATTGTATAATATAATGTAAATTTTAGCAAAAAAGGTCATAATTCAAAATAAATTTGTAAGACCATCAAACGAGATATTGTTCAATTTCAATGATGAGCTCTATTGCCATACCTCCTTTCAAGGCATAGCCATGGCGTTGTCTGTATGGAATGTGTGAATTGACTGCAAAATACTACTGCAACATCATCTGCGACAGTCATCGGATCACAAAAAAAAAAAAAAAAAATTTCAGCCATGAAAAACTAAATTTTTGCAAAAAGAAAATTAGCAAAAAGAAGAGTCTACAGCACGATGGTTTCCATTATGGTCTCCCACTAACGTACTCAGCATCGCTCTCAGCAGCTTAATAATTATTGATCGGACGGGTAATCATGCTTTATGCTGGATATGGCCGTAGACGTTGAGTTTAAATTTTGGGTTTTTGTCCAAACGAGCTTTGTTTGAGGTCGGAAATCCCATTTTCTTTGAAAAGCCTTGAAAAGGCGGTTTTCGAAGGATTTGATGAGCCTTATACTGCTTAGTGGCATTCTACAGCAAGCTAAAGTATTACCATAGCTTGAATAATGAGCTAGGTTGGATAATGCACATTATTTTGTATTTGACCTATCGGGTTGTATGGGTAGATCAGACCTTTATCTTCTACATAAGTCTAGTAAATAGACACAGTTTCCAAGACAGACAACTAACACATGCAATAGGTACTAGTTAGATACAGATTACTGATGGCTGATTATATTAATTTTCACGTCGTTGTTAAAGCAAAGTATGATCTGTTAAATTGTAGAAAATGAACATAAAATATATTTACCGAAGAATGTATCTCTTATCAGGAACCTGCTTCACCCGTGAACTAGTCAAAGGTCCACGATTTACACGAAAGGAGGGTTCTTTCTTGATATGGTGTGATCCAGATCAAAAGACCTGTCAGACCATGAAGGTATGGAGCTGATGCTGGGTCTGATTTAGATCAGGTCCGATCACATACATCAAGCTGAGGTATAAGCGAAGGCGTCCTATGTGAAACAACGTCGGAGTAAAAGTTCTTCAGTATCAGATAAATGAGATCTTCCATCTATTACAGCATAAGATTTGCCTTTGAAATTAGGACGCAAATATTAAAAATGGTAGAATATAATGAACAAATTGCATATAATTTCGAGATATTAAAAAGAAAGTTAATAAATATAACAACTATGAATATAGAGAAAAATGTTCGTCTGTTTTTAGATTTGGATTAGGTGTTATAACTGATCTTATACATTTATTAACAGAGGTGTATCTATTACAAAAACATGAGTAATAAGTAGGCATTTCCGTATAGCGAGGAAATGCCTAGAAGTTTGCTTGTGTGGACCTTCGTGACTAATCCCATTGAATAATGGAAAGAAAAGGTCAGTGCGTACCGAGTTGTCACTGGGTAATATATATTTTAATTATGGTTTCTATTACATTGGTGTTAATTGCAGTAAAGTTATTTTCCCTTTAAGAACAGCTGAAAGATTATCTAGTTAGTGACAGCTACCCGTTATTAGTATGTATCTGGCTAATAGCTTATTGCGTGTGTTATGTAAGATCGACAGACCCTATTCATGCATGTTGTATCTCCAATATTTGAACCAGCTTTAATCTCATGGGTTTTTGCAACCAAGCAAGACACCCGAGCACCAGACCAAAACCACGCGCGCACGACTTTTAATGATATCAACCCAATATAATTTTTTCTGGTTCGAATAAAACAACCCCTTAACCACCGATAGCAGATGCATTTATACCAGAAAAGACTTAATAAAGAGTTCAAGAGAGCCAATCAAGTGGAACTACACAACATTGAGTTTCTCAAAGAAGAACTGGGCTTGACCACGTTCAAGTATCGGTTGAGATTTCAAAACCACCAAGTTTACCAAAATAATTCCTATAAATTAAATATTACAATAACGAAAAATTACCCAGTTGATTCTCCAATAGTTACATTCCAGGATTCAATACCGGTCCACCCCCACATTTATTCAAATGGACACATTTGTCTCAATTTGCTTGGAGACGACTGGACTCCTGCTTGTAGTGTTGAGTCAATTGTGTTGAGTATACAAAGTATGTTGGAAAATAATCAATTAAGTGAATTACCTCCCGACAATGATAACTACGTTAAACTGGGAATTAAAAACCCAAAAAACACTAGTTTCGTTTATCATGACGATAACGTCTAATACACGACCCGGGTCTTTTTCTTTGCTTTGACACTACCCAATCGACTGCAATCCCCTCTTTTCAAGTGGGGAATCATTGCAAAAGGGCAAAACGACAAAAGACCAACATCTTTGGTGGTTCCCCTCTTCTTCAAGCTGAGCTAAGTTTACAAAGCAAAAATGTCGTCGTCCTTCTCTTCTTCTAATTTTGTTGTCCCCTTTTTCTTTCTTTTGTTTAGGTTATATAGGTTATGGTTAAAGTAGTTATTGGTTCTTTTCCACATAATCGAATCGGAGTATCGAATCGGAGTATCGATCTCGGTGTAGATCAAAATGATAACTGTAAGCCGCGAGCGGGAAAGTCACTTTTAGCCTTCACTACCCGGAAAAACTTTCAGCATTGTTTCTGGATTAATACTCATCGAAAGCTTGGAAAAAGTTACAAAAACTAACCAGTTAAATAATTTCAGGTAAGAAAAAATGGAAAAATCCTACCAAAAAAAAAAAATAAACTACCAAAAAAAATAAATTACAACAAAACAAAAAATAAATCAACAAAACAAAAAAGAAATTACAAAAAATAACCCATCACACAAACCCAATCAATAAAGAATATTCAATAAAAAAATAAAAAAAAAAAACGTTTTCTTTGTTGTGTTAGCGTATTTTCTGTCGGACATACATTTCCAGATTTGTCCAAAACTTCCCAAGAACCAAAACCAAAAAAAAAAAAAAAAAAAAAAAAATAAACGCGCAGACCCATACACCAGAAGGATCTTGCATCCTCCCTATCGCTTGTATTGTTTGGGGCCCAATGTTTAATAACTGAAAAAAATGTCGTTCTGTTGATTGCAGATTCGTCATTGCTTTTTATAACTACTGATAAATTTTCATATAACTACTTTTCCTTTTTCAATGGATAGCTGTTTCGATTGTTTCTGATAATCTTGTTTCTGAATTTGGTTCTAGTCAAGTTGATATGATTGATACTACTAATACTATTAATAATGGCAATGCCGCTTCTTCCGCTATTGAACAAGCTTGTGATTCATGTAGAAAACGTAAATTACGTTGTTCAAAAGAATTACCTCGTTGTACGAAGTGTATCCAACATAATTGGAATTGTTCCTATAGCCCAAGAACGGTTAGATCTCCGTTAACAAGAGCTCATTTAACTGAAGTTGAAAATAAAGTTAATAATTATGAAAAAATTTTAGAATACTTATTACCAAATAATTTTTGGGATAAATATTCGATGAATGATTTGAATGAAAATTATGAAACTTTATTATCAAATTACAAAATCAATTTAGAAAAAATTGAACCAGCTGTTATAAAACCAAAAGAATCTCCAAAACAACCCCAACACCAACACCACCAGCACCTGCACCAACAACCCCAACAACAACCCCACCAACCATCATCACCAAAATACAATTCCCAATTCAACTCTCAACTCAACTCCCAGTCTAATTCAATTGTCCACTCTCCAAATTTATCAATTTTTAGTGAAGATGAAGATGATGAAAATAATAGCATGGATCACGTGACAAAGTCCACTACTAATTTAACCAATACAACTTCAAACACAACCACCAAGAATTCCAATATCTACAGCCATAAATATGATAAGATAAAAATCAAACAGGAAATCATTGACGATTTCATCTTGAATAATATCCCAACTGAACAACCTCCTGCAAATTCAAAACCTTACCAATTCATAACCCCAACTATCTTGAAAAATTCTCATCATCCTTTTAATAATTATCCTCAACAACATATCACTTATAAAAACTCATCCCAGATGAACCACCCGATAAGCAACAACTCAACCAACTCCGCTTCTTTAACCTCTCCTTCATCGCTACTTTCCTTAAATTCTTTTAATTATGATTTTGAAGATGATGATGATTTCTTAAATGATCATAGGAAAAAATTGAAAAAACAAAAAACTAATTTATACAATTTACCCTCTGATAAATCAAAGAAAAATGATTATGATTTTATTTTTGATGAAGTTATGGATGATGATGCCTTAATGAATGTGTGAAACTTAACCCACCCCTCCCCTTATGATTTTATATTCTCTTTATACTGTGTTTATGTTCTTATAATAGACGATTGCTCTTTGAAGTCTTGTATCCGGGTGTATTCTTCCAGTCGATCATGTGGCTCTATCTGACCAGGCTGACCCGATTGGTACCTGTTATCTGTTAAAATGGGTGCAAATTGTTGATTGGTTTTCAATTCCAGTTAAAATTTCGTAGTGCGAATTTGCCGAAATTCGGATACGAAAAATCGCTTCCGGTAACGGCACTCCCGAATTCCCTCCTTTAGAAAACAGTCATCAAAAGATAAAGAGATAAACCTATACTTGATCTTTCATCAAGGATGAACTATTGATTCATCAAAACTATTCCCTAGATCTATTCAATAAACTGTTCAATGTTCTCGTCCCAATTAAGGAATCTAGTCTCTTTGAGAGCTAGAAATATTTCTAAAAGGATCAAACAAGCTTTAGAAGAGTTAAGTGAACATATTGAAAACAACTTGGCCAATCATCCTTCTAAATCACCCGTTCCAGTTCCAGTAAGGGTTCCAGTACCTTCAAGAAGGTTCAATAAGAATAATTTTGGTGCCCATGGTTGTAGAAGCAAACGATTTTTACACTTATTAAGTTCAGTTTTGGATCATTTTACTAAAATACCAAAACAAAAATTTATTAATGTTGGTAGTTCATTACAGAAAAGAAGCTATTCTAACTATTCAAATATTCTTAGTTCAAAATATAAGATAGGTTGGTTTAAGTTTATTAATCAAACGAGTAAAAATACTTTGATTTATAAAAATTTCCAATCAAGTTATCAACTGTGGTACCGTTTTAAATTTTATAAAGCACCAACGGTAATTTCCGTTCTTCGTCAAAGCTTAGGGGTTGATTCATTATCTAATAAGAGATTAAAGCTTAATCATTCAAAATTTTATGAAGATTCTAAACTTGATCAACCAAAATCGAACTTGTTACTTAATTTATCATTATCCCCTAAATTTCATGATACTATATTGAATTTATCCAAAAATTCAAATATTGAAGATGACATTTCTGTCACCGAACACGAAATTATCAAATCTTGTTATCTTGATTTCTCAATTAATCCAAAATTATTAATTCCTTCTTCAACTATCTTAAATGAAGATATTTTGAATGAAATGATTGAAAATGTTAAAACTTTTGAAAAAACTCTAATTGAAATTAAAACTGATTTAATTAAGTTAAGCGAATTAGGTGAATTACCCCTTAAATATTTATCAAATCAAAATATTATAAGAATTTATTTCCCTAATTGTGATAAAAATAAATTACAATCTCTTTTATTAGAAAAAGATATTCACCATGGAACCATCTACGAAGAAGAAGATGCCTTTGATAATCTTTCCTCTTCATCATCGTCTCCTCCTACAATTCCAATCAGCGAATTTGATATCTTGAGTAATTTTAACTTATCTGATAACCTGCAATCTTCCATCAATGACGAAGATCACGATTTGATTTCTACCAGTGAAGAAGATCAACGCTTGAACTCTTCCTCAATAAAACAAATCGAAACCGAGTCAATCAACCAAGTTAGAACTAACTCGAATAATATCCAAATTAATAGTTACGACGATTTTTACTGGGCCTAGTGTCTCTGGTGGGGGTTTTTTTTTTTTTCATTTCTTCGTGGTCTACATCGGTTTAGATATGTACTTCTATATGCTTTATGAACATTTTGTATTACTAGTAATTGTAGTTCAGTAGATTTCACTGCTTGTAGCGTTGACGGACATTCCTTTGTTGTGATTTTTTTTTTTTTGTTTTGGTGTCTCCCGTGTTTTTTTCTCTTTTTTCTGTAAACAAAATCGAATCAGACATTTTGAAGTAACAATCTGTTCTTTTAAGGAATTCAATTCTTAACAACTACACCTGCTTTGATCTGAATCTACAAAGAAGACCCGCCACCAGGTTTAGTCACAATGTCGGTATCTACGGATGAGTTCGAAGACGCTATATCAGATCAGAATCTTTCCATGAATAACGATAATGATAATGATGCAACCCCAAGTATCCAGAAGGCTAATAGTCCAGCCTCTACATTGAACGCACATCCCGCAGAGTCAATTCACTCGGTTGAAACAGAACAAACCATTGACTCTAATGTCTCGAGTAATAGCAAAAAGAATAAGAAGAAGAAGAACAAGAAGAAGAACAAGAAGAAACAACAAGAAGAACAAGAAGAACCAGAACAAGGAGATCAAGACGATCAAGCAGAAGATCCACTAGACGAAGAAGAACAAAAGCGTGAGGGCGATGAAGATGTACTTCAGAATACCACTATTCAGCTTGATAGAGATGGAGAGGCTGAAGAAGTGAAAAATGATGCAAATGGCGAAATTGAATCAATAAATCCAGTGAGTAATGAAGAGGAAAAGTTAACGGTGGTTGTTCCAAAACCAATTGTCAATGACGAAGCTTTGGAAAATGAAAACCCCGAAGAAGATATTCCAGAAGTGATTGACCCTCAGGTTCCAGATCAAAATTCTCCGGTTGTTGATCTTGATCAGAATAGTGAAGATGCAGTTAAGAAGAACGAAAACACTGAAGGTATTATCGATAGTGAGAGTCCACTCAAAACCAATGAAGACCGTGAAAGTCCAATCAATGAAGACCGTGAAAGTCCAATCAATCAAAACCATCAAGGTTCAACCAATGAAAATCACGAAAGTCCAATCAATGATCACGATAAAACTTTGAACGGTGATTCTGAAATCAAAGAAGAACCAATAGAAAAAGAAGTTTTGGTTGTTGATAGTCCTAGCAAACCTCAAAGTGATGATGATACTAAAGTTAATGAAGGCGATTTTGACAAAGCTCCAGATCATCAAAATATCATTCCTGACAGTTATAGTGAATCATCTAATTCTGTTCAAGCCAGTCCAAGTAGAAACCTCATGTCTCCTGCAAAATCAACTACTTCCAATCGTGGTATTCCTGGTCTGTCATCTTCTTCTCAATTACCTCCAGATAGTCCTGCTAAAATTAGTAACAATAGTCCAATACAACGAATTGGTTCAAATTATTCAAAAGCTTATAGTCCAATCGATAGCCCTCAACGTAATGCTCAAACATTACAAGAACCTTTTATTGCCAAATCAATTCATTCAAATAATGATCACAATGAAAATATTGATGATGAGGAACTTGTCAATGAACCACCATTACCAAGTAGAAAGTCAATTAAAGACTGTTTAAGATTAGACCAACCAAATGCAGTTATCAACACTTCCAAAACTGACGAAGAATCATTGAAAAGATTAAGTGAAGTTTCTGCAAGTTATCAATCAAATACTTCAAATTTCTTATTACAATCAAAATTTAACGAAATTAATCGTGGATTTGAATCAAAAGATATAAAATCAAGAGAGCAAATCAATTCAGGAAGTGAAACTATAAAGAAAACTTTTAATGATATTAAAGATACTGTTGGTGGTGTAAGTAATGACTTTTTTGATTATGATATTGATTGGGAATTTTGGACAAGAGTAGTAAATGATTATGAATCAGTTATTAAGAATGAAAGTGATGAATTACACAAAACAATAATGAAAGGTATACCAAAAGAGTTTAGAGGTATTGTTTGGCAAGTAATTGCAAAACTGAAAAATTTTCAATTAGAAGAATTTTATCTTCAATTGAAAAATGAAACTTCAATTCATGAAAAATCAATTAAGAGGGATTTAACGAGAACAAGTTTTTTCACTAATGTTGATCAAATTAAAAAAACTGATGAATTATTCAATGTTATAAAAGCTTATTCTTTATTTGATCCGGATGTTGGTTATACTCAAGGGATGATTTTCATTGTTGTTCCATTAATTATGAATATGAATGAATCAGAATGTTTTGGATTATTAGTCACTTTAATGAAGGATTATAAATTAAGATCATTATTTTGCCCAGAAATGAAAGGATTACATCTATTACTATATGAATTTGATAGATTATTGGAAATTTACTCACCTCGTTTATATAATCATTTAGTAAAACAAGGGATAAAATCATCAATGTATGCTTCTCAATGGTTTTTGACCTTTTTTGCTTATAAGTTCCCACTTGATATTGTTTTAAGAATTTTTGATATTATTATAACTCAAGGTATTGAAGCAATTTTGAAATTTTCAATTAATTTAATGATAAAAAATGAATCAAATTTGATTAATTTAAAATTTGATAAACTATTAGAATTTTTGAAATCAAATTTATTCAATCTTTATGTTAATGAAGAATTTATAAATTTTGATAAAGATGGTAATATTATTAGTACTGCTACTGCTCCTCCAGCTGGTTCTTCAAATACTTCCAAATCTTCCAAGAGAGCTTCAACTGGACTTAATAGATCTGGGTCCGTTTCTAAAAGATTTTCATTACTCGGAGGTAACAGAGGTTCTATTTATGGTGGTAGTAATACTAATAAACAACAAAAGGGTTATTATAAATTAGATGAATTAGTTTATGATGCAATGCAAATCAACGTTGTTCCATTAGATTTAAATAAATTTGAATTAGAATTCGAAAATATTTATATAAATGAAACTTCTAAAATTGAAGAAATTGAAGAATTGAGAATTCAAAATGGTAAATTGAGACATGATATTAAATTATTAGAAACAGAATATGCAAATGTTAATAGAGACCATATTGAAATCGTTCAACATATGGTGGATATTAAGGTTGAATTACCTGAAATATTAAATGATAATGAAGATTTACATAAACAAATCGATCAATTAAGATTAGATATCGAAGAATTACAATCAAAAATGGTCAGTAGTCCCGATTCTGAATCATCCCCCAGCCTTAATTCTAGTGTTTTGAAATCTCCTGCTATTCCAACTAAAATAGAGAATGATATTCAAGAATTATTGGTTATCAATGCCCAAGAAACTGAAAAATTCGCCAACTTGGAAGACGAATTACATAATTTGATGGCCGAAGATGAGAAATTAACGAACGAATTGAAATCAAAAACCGCTAAGAAATGGTTCCCTTGGAATAAAAAGGCCTAGCTTGCATATCCAAATCTTCTTTAAGACTCTACTTCTGCGTACATATATACATATATCCCTTCTATTTATTATGTTTTCCCTTTGTAGACCAGGCTGCAAAAATTGATCTTTTCAAAATCGTCGTCACGTGAGGTGAACCTAATCTAGGGCTGAAGCCCTTGCAATGAAGAGATTTTTTTCTTTCTCATTTTTTTTCTTTTTTTTTTTTAGTTTTTGGTGCACCAAAATTTTTCACTTTCTTACTCCAAGCGCAGACTCTGCCGGACAAAAAAATACATACAAGAGTAGTTCTTCTATTGAAGGAATCTTTTAAGGTAACCACACAAATCATTGATTAATCAAAATGGGTAGAGGTCCACAGAAACACTTGAAGAGATTAGCAGCTCCATCCCACTGGATGTTGGACAAATTGTCCGGTACTTACGCCCCAAGACCATCTGCTGGTCCACACAAATTGAGAGAATCCTTACCATTGGTTGTTTTCTTAAGAAACAGATTGAAGTATGCTTTAAACGGTAGAGAAGTTAAAGCTATTTTAATGCAAGAACACGTTAAAGTTGATGGTAAAGTTAGAACTGATGCCACTTTCCCAGCTGGTTTCATGGATGTCATCACTTTAGAAGCTACCAACGAACACTTCAGATTAGTCTACGATGTCAAAGGTAGATTCGCTGTTCACAGAATTACCGCTGAAGAAGCTTCTTACAAATTAGGTAAAGTTAAGAAAGTTGCTTTAGGTAAAAGAGGTATTCCATACATTGTTACCCACGACGGTAGAACTATCAGATACCCAGATCCAGTTATCAGAGCTAACGATACCGTTAAAATTGACTTAGCTACTGGTAAAGTTACCGATGTCTTAAAATTCGATACCGGTAAATTAGCTATGGTTACTGGTGGTCGTAACTTGGGTAGAGTTGGTGTTATCACCCACAGAGAAAAACACGAAGGGGGTTTCGATTTAGTCCACATCAAAGATTCTTTGGAAAACACTTTCGTCACTAGATTAGGTAACGTTTTCATCATTGGTAACGAAGCCGCTAGACCACACGTTTCTTTACCAAAGGGTAAGGGTGTTAAATTATCCATCTCTGAAGAACGTGACAGAAGAAGAGCTCAACAAGGTTTATAAGTTAATTAGATTAATTTAATTTTTCTATTGCTTTGCTTATTGGCTTTTCATATTGTAATTTAGAGTATTATATATTTCTAATACAATAATATATAAATACATTTTTTATGTCAAGACATTGTAGACCAAATCTGTTGATAAGTAAAGCAAGTTGCGAAACCATTATAGTTATTCCGCACTATTAATTTATTGGGTGCGACCAATTTATAAATAAAGGAGATTCTGACTTAACTTATTCAAATTATAATTGGACCATCAACCAAGATGCAATTAAACTCAATATGGACGTCAAATAAGACTCCGGTAATTGCCACTTTGATTATTACATTGCTTGTGTTTTCAACTCGCAACATTGGTAAAAAAACACCAGATTCTTTGGGTTCGATAAGAGATCTTAAATGGAGTTCTATCAACTTTCTTCATACAACTGATACTCACGGCTGGTATGGAGGTCATACTAATCAGAAACTATATGGTGCTGATTGGGGAGACTTCATATCTTTCACTGAAAATATGAGAAGCATTGCCAACTCGCAAAATGTGGACTTACTTCTTGTTGATACCGGTGATAGACACGATGGTAATGGGTTAACTGACGCCACCGTACCAAACGGGATTGAAGCTTTGCCGATATTTGCCAAACAGGACTATGACTTGGTTACCATTGGGAATCACGAGTTATACTTATACGAGAATTCCAAGCAAGAATTCGACTTTATCGTGCAAGAATATGGTAATAATTATATTAGTTCGAATGTTGAGTATAAAAATAATGATGGTGATTTTGAACCATTTGGAAAGAAGTACAAGTATTTTACAACACCAAACCAGAAAGCTCGTATCTTATCATTTGCATTCTTATTTGATTTCACCAGAAATAATGAAGGAACCAAGGTAACTCCATTAGAGGATGTTATCAAAGAGAAATGGTTTTTGGAAACGTTAAAAAAACATCCTGGACAAGATGTTGATTTGATTGTAGTTTTCGGCCATATTCCAATTGCTCATACATGGAAGGAATTACTGGTTCTACACCAAGTTTTAAGAGAATACTATCCCGAGACAAAGATTCAGTATTTCGGAGGTCACAGTCATATAAGAGATTTCACAATCTTTGACAGTAACCTGACTGGTTTACAAAGCGGAAGATACTGTGAGTCAGTTGGATGGGTCAGTATTGATTTATCTGCCACTGGAGATTTATCACCACAAAAGATTTTTGCCCGGTCATATATTGATTTCAATTTAAACTCATTTTTGCATCATTCCGGTCAATCATCAATTGAAGAATTTGAAACTGAAGCCGGTAACAATGTAACAAGAACAATTAACCTTGTCCGAAATAAATTACATTTGAACGATGTATTAGGGCATGTTAATAGAAATTATTATGTTGATTACGTACCTTTAGACCACCCTCAAAATCTTTTCAAATTATTAGCTGATCAAGTGTTGCCTACTTTACAACCTACACAAGCTTTGAAAAATCAATCTGATGAAAGAATTTTCATTATAAATACCGGTTCAATTAGATATGATTTATATAAAGGTCCCTACACAATTGATACTCGTTATATTGTATCGCCATTTGAAAATGAATGGGCAAGAATTACCTTACCCAAATCAATTGCCATTAGAATTGGTCCATTTTTAAATAAAGCTGGTTATATTTTGAGTCAGGACAAAGATAACGAAATAGATAACAGACGATTATTACCATTACATCAATATTCTCAAAGACTTAAACAAGAACAACAATTACGGGCAAAACTTGAAGAAGAACCAGAAAAGAAATTCCAATATCCAGCCTTTTCACCATTTTTCTCTCAAGATGCTGAATTTCAAAATGAAGCAAGTATAACAAGACAAAAATTATCTAAAGGTTATGTCACTCACGATGACTTTGGTGATGATGGAGATGATACTCCACATAAACCAGTAATCAATTTCCCAATTACAAACGTGGTTGAATCGAAACAATTGGATATAGAAACAGGTGAACATGCATTGGTTGATGTTATCTATTATAAGTTCATTGAAGGAAATATACTTTGGGCATTAAAACATATTGGATATGATGAAAAAGTTGAAAGTGAATTATATTCAACTACTTATTTGAACCAACTTTTGGAAGTATTTGTTCAACAAAATGAAATCTAGTATTACAAGTATTTAAATTGCTTCTTTTTTTTAAAAAAAAATTCTTTTATTTTCGTAGGTTAACTTCTCCTTTATAATTGAATTATGCTATCGTGGGGTTTATAAGTTATTCTGTAATTCAAACTATTAATAGTTTGGGCCTCGCTATTGTTTAAAAGACCTTCATCGATGACTAGATTCATATTGAAACCAAACCATGACCCCCAAATTGGTCTTGGTCTCATTTGATTGTTTTGCATCATACTTTTATCTAAATCTGCTGATTCACCTAGTCTGTTCTTTCCGGATTCATCGAATCTCACTTTACCACTCAAGTTGATTATGAAAGTACCAGTACCAGGTATCAAATGGGTATCAAAACTATTCAATTGATGAGTAGTAAGTGGCGTTGCTAACCATTTTTTTTGGAATTCTAATCTTGAGTCGTTTTGAGTAGGTATCAATGGTTTCCCATTCATGATGATCGCACTGGTCTGCTTCAACTGTTTAGCAAACTGCGTAGCATAAGCTTCCACATTAGGATACTGATTTGACGGGGTTTGGTATTGGAGGTCTAAAGTCGATAATAGATTTTTCAAAAACGGTTCTACTGGCTGAGCTGTGAAAAATTGTTAGTTATTTTTGATATCTCGAAGATTTCTTGTGAACAAAAAAAAAAAAAAGGCAATAATTACTTACTTGGATCTTGCTGATTCATTGGGGATACTCTTTCAATGCTAATAGCTGACTAATTGTTGCTACGAATCCAACTTCTGCTATCAACTTACAGATTATTAGTATCCAGCCTAAAAAATTTTCTTTTTTTGTTCCTCTCTTTAAAGTGGTCGTGCGTCGAGCTCAAGGCTTCCACTATATAAAGGCTGCAAGGTCAGTGAAGAAGCAACGATAACGGTTAAGCACCATCGAAGATGAAACAGCAAAACCCGTCGATGGTATAAGAACGGCTAGTTCTCCATGCAATTCTGACAGCTGGAAATTCAATACGCTCACTGATATAAGTAAATATGGGTAACGACGATCATCACAAACAAGACGCTAAAAATATAGCCACCGGAGTCGTGGGTGGGATTGGAGGCTCCTCCATCGCCAATGCTGTTGGGCTTGGTGGTGTTGGCAATATAGCTGGAGGAGTCCTTGGTTCAATTGGTGCCGGTAAGGCTGAAGGAAAAGCCGAAGAAAAGGCCAAAAAATGAAGCTACTGCTTGACTACCTGGGTTATTTTAACTCACTCCACACTCTTACTTCTTTACTTTAAACTTTAATATATGACATTACGATTCAAGTTTAAAATTACTTCGTTTGACTGTAGAGGTTTCCAATGGACGCAAAAACCATTGGCTGCAATATCCGAGGGAAGGTCTCAATAGGAACGGTTAACGAGGCTTGGTGCACGTGACCGTTAATTGATATAGTCAGTGAAATTTCTAGCAATCATTGGATTAGGGGTAGCATGATTAAAAGCCACCGATGAAAGAGGATGCTAAAGATTTATAAAAGGCGGAATATGTCACTACAGTGAGAACATGGAGTGAGTCCATATAATTTCCACCAAGATTATTTTTGTTTTGCAATTGTCCATTCAAATTTTTTTACAATGCCAGATAACAAATTAGAGACTGCTAAAAACATTGGTGTTTCAGTTGCGGGATCGATTGGAGGTAATAAAGTTGCCGATAAGCTTCATTTGGGAAATGTTGGCCATATAGCAGGGGGTATAGGAGGAGGTATACTAGCCTCCGAAGCTGAGAATAAAGCTGAAAATAAAGTTGAAGAAAAGAAGGACTAATGGGGGAGCAAAATTGTATTAGATATTGAGTTTCATTTTTCAATTTTGACAATCAATTACGCAAGCATCTTTGTTTAGTGTATTATTTTAAGTTAATATAGCTAGTATTTTGGCTAATTTAGATTTGGCCAAATTTTATTTTATCAACTAGACGAAAAAGTATTTTTTTTTATTACGTATTTTGCAATCTAAATTTCATGAGCATGAGGTAAGTTTTGTAGTCAAGGTATCATTAGAAGAGAATAGTTTTGTGAAGACCAGAGAGGTTAATTCACGAATACAATGTATTGTTCTTATGATAATCCCGTGCAATTGATGATACAATTGAATGAAGGGAGATAAAAGACGAACTATGGGAACTACATGAATAAGACAACAAAGCTTTTGCAAAAGACCCTCGACTCAATAACTCTATTGAGAGTTGATACGCACTTTTCAAGTAATCCATTGAGATGAAATTTGGTGTTATTTTAAAGACACGCCAATGATATTGGGATGACAACCCAGCACCTCCTTCGAGGAAATAAAAAAACCCTATAGAGAAGAAATTAAACTTCTCAAACTTAGATCTGGAATAGATCAATTACTTGGTCACCCTACTTTGTTGGAAAGAAAACCAACGGGGGCTGATCAATGAAAGCTGGTCATCACCATTTCAACCGGGTTGAGTTGGATAGACTGAGAGGGAACCAGGCTGGACAAACAAAGAAGAAGGGAAGGTGCTATTCCCAAAAGGGCACAATTCAAAGGAATTTAAGTAGAGAAAAGGGTAAAAACAGAAGCATGTACTATATTCATGAAACAAAACAAATAGACAGAAGGAATAGAATTAAAGGGTCCTAGCTTCATTGATGGGAGTTTCAGATATAACCCACATTGGGTGAAACTATCGTTTAATCAGGAATGTTTCTATGTAATTCCTAGTCGATGATCAAATATATAACTATTGTTCTGTAAGTTCTATTGTTTATTGTTTTAAGTTTTTGTGAAGACGCTTCCACTTTTTATTTTCATCTAGTTGTTTTCGCTTATTCAACATATGGGATAATAACCGTGAATAGCAAATCCCTTTCGAGTTAGTTTCATTAATGATTGCAAAAAAAAAAAGTGAAAAGAAGAGACAAAAAATAAAACAAATAAAATAAAATAAAATAAAGATACTAGTCAAAAATAAGGCCATAAGGAACAAAGCGAGAGCAAGCTACATCACGATACATGAGGTTATACTTTTAATCGAGATGATAAAAAAGGTTTGACCAATATTCAGATTAGGCTATAATTACTGTGCAATAAATCTTTGTTTATCTGCACACTGATTGCAATATACTCGAGATTGATCTGAGCCAGTCAGTAACAAAGTTAAAGCGTCCCACTTCCCCCACAGAAAGATTTCGTCTGATTGACATTAGACGAAAATATGTAGAAGAAAACGAAATAGATTTAAGCCCAAATCGAAACAAAACCCGCAAACAAAAAGAAGACGATATGATAAGCCAAAATCAATTTGATCAAATTCAAATCATGATATGTCAGAGAAACAATAAGCCAGCAATTGCTCGTTGTAGAGACATGAAAACATTTTGCTTTGACGGGTTTAGCGAAATGTTACGATAGTCGCACCGCTTGTACTGGTTAAAGAAGCTGGATCATACGCTGGATCATACCAGGGTTGAAGCTGGATCACACCAAAAGCTGGATCAAATCATAACAACAACCAGGTCAAAACAAACACAGTTTGTGGTTTCATGATATAAGATTTTGATATCATTTAGCCAGCCTTTTATTTGTTTATTTGCAAGGCCATTTTTTTTTTTTTATTATAGTGCGAAATCGCTATTTTTACTAAAAATGTTTTGATTTTGCAAGCACCATGTTTCAATTAGAGCACAAGGATGACACGGACGGAAACCTTAAACCATGAATAAGCTTCGAAGCCAAAGCTGTGACTGGTTGTACCTGAATAATTTCCTGGATAATCTTGCTACATTACGAAATGAGTATTTTTCTTTTTTTGGTTTGACTGAGTTTTGTCAATTTTTTTTTTTCGCAAGCGAATAGCTTGCACTGATAAATTTCATTTTAGTCGATACCAATGAAATTGATCATGATGGATTGGAGAAACGAAATAGTCGAAGTTATGATTTAGTCGAGATAGCACCATGTAAGGAATTAATAAGAGTGCCTGTGCTTTATTTAGAATACTGTAGTCTATTGTGTTTTCTTTCGCTTTAATTAATTGAGTCTTGGGATGCATTGTTTCAAATTAGATGGTTGTTAAGGTAAGGATATCTCTGCGTCTGTATTGAACGTCTACATAAACGTATGTAGGTTAATATGAAAAGCTGATTGTTATTGTCAAATTTTATTTTTATTTATTAACAAAAAAGAAGACAAAACTAACATTTCTTTTTCGTATTGGGAACGGGACCCACCAAATAGTGTAATGGCTGGAGAATTAACCCGATTGAGAGAAATTCTTGCTGGATCAGGTTAATTGATTAGCTGAATCAGTTTATGCACCCAGGTATTCTCTTCCATGTATGTATGTTATTCGTGTATCTTTCTACCTTCCTTCCATATTCGAAGTATCCTTTCCGTTATTCAATCAGATATATAAATATATCCTGATCCCTTACCTAGATCAATTATGATTTTTCTTTATTTTTTTTTCTTTTCTTTTGATTTTTGGCTTTTGCTATCCGATTCATCTCTTCCTTCCATTCCTTCATTCATTCCCTCGTTTGCCTATACTACTACTACTACTACTACTCCCACCTACTCCTACTATACGTACCTCCTTCGCTATCCCCGGTGCTAAACAAACTGAAATACGCACAATTGTTTAATACTAAATTTCAACCAGCAACAAACAATCCTTGCAAACTTCCCTTGTCGCCTTTTTTTATCCCTTTTTTTTTTGTTTTTTAAGGAATTTTTCTTTTTTTTTCGCTCAAAGCATAAAAATATCTGCGTGCAATTAGTTTTCCGTTTTGGGCCAATCACAAATCTTACATCAACAGATTTAACTTTCCAATCATTCATCTGGTTATATAAAGGAAAGCGATTTTTCATCTCTTCGTCGTGACACTCAACAGTTTTAAAGCCTTGCCGGTGTCCCTTGATTATCCTGGTTTTTTGTTTTTCCGTCTTTTGGTTCGTTTGTGTAAGTTTTGCACCCTGGATCTGGTCTAATTTCCTGTTTAAGTTATCTAAGAATGAGTGTAATACTGTCGAAGAATATGTTCAATAACCAGATTAATTCGTTCACTCCAAGCCATATAAGATCTAATTCTTATAACGAGTTGTTAAATCAATTTAAGAACAAAATCACTTCAAAAGATGGGAAATTACCTCCAATGACCACTGGATTCCATCATTCCACTTCAGCTTCTACTCCAGTAACTGCTTTAATGGGTAATTCAAAACATTTTTATACGAAGAAAAGATCTTATAGTGATTTGATGAGAGAATCATCTAATGAATTTGAAAATGATTTAAATGATACAAAAAGGTCAAGAACTGCTCCTCCTTCTCCTCCATTAGAGAGTAAAAACACCTTTCCTTTAATAAGGAAAAGAAGTACTACTCAAAGAGCAAGATCATTATCACCAATTAGGAGAGCTTTCAATCCGATTTCTCCTTCTAATTCTCCATCCAATTCGCCAATTGTCACCCCGGCAAAAGCATCCATTATAAATAAAAATGATTCGATTAATACTAACTCTTTGAATTATACAACTACTAATTCAACTGCTCCAACTTCAAATACTTCTTCAATGTCAGAACCAAAAGTTACTTTGCCTAGCATCATGACCGCTTTAAATGCAGCTCCCATCACTCCAAAGGCTCCAATCAAATTAAAACCAATCACTCCAACCGTGTCGTTAGATTATTTCGATACTTATAAACCAAATGATGAAAATTGGAGATATGAATTATTAGATAGCATTAATCGTTCCTCAAAACATTTTAATTTAAATCAATATAATTACCTCAATAAGCATGTTTCAAAATCATCTAGCATTGATACTTCCCCAAATCTGTACTATAATAATAATACTAATATTAATAATAATTCTGCATCATCACTTCCTTCTGCATTCAAACCACAATTCGATTCGAGAATTAGCTCTAAAATTAGAGATAATACTAAACCAACCTTAATTCCAAAAATTGATATTTATTCAGAAAGAAAAATTGATTTTCCTTATGAATCTAATTATACTTATTTAAATAAAACTTATTTAAATGATGTTGAAAAATATCCTGAATACTTAGAGTTGGCCCAATCTTTAATTCAATTATCTCAACCTCAATCTAAAAAGGATGATTTCAAGCCTTTCCATCAACAACAACAACAACAACAACAACAACAACAACAACAACAACATCAACAACAACAACATCAACAACAACAACAACAACAACAACAACATCAACAACAACATCAACAACAACAACAACAACAACAACAACACTACGCTCATTACAACAATCAATACTCACCTTCTTCAGTTAGATTTCCTAACGTCCCTCTCGCAATGCCTTTCATTGCTCAACCAAATTATCAAACCCAACCTGCAAATCCCCCCGCTTATACTCCAAACTTAACTTCTCCTTCTTCATCCCGTTTACCAAGTATTCACCAGGTTAGCTCTAATAACTCTGGCTACTTGAATGTGATCTCAGAAACCCCAAATACTCCTACTAAGAATACAACTTTCCAACAATATCAATCTCAACATCCTCATTATCATCACTATCAATCTCAACAACATAACCATACAAAATTCATTCCAGTTACTCCTCCTTCTGCCAAATCCAAATCAAGATCTGACTTATTAAAGTCTCCGCCTAAAACTCATTCAAATCATAACCATAACCCTCGTGTTTGTATTTCTTGTGGTTCAGACCAATCTCCTTGTTGGAGACCTTCTTGGTCAATTAAAGAAGGTCAATTATGTAACTCTTGTGGTTTGAGATATAAGAAAACTTCAGCAAGATGTTTGAATAAAGATTGTAAAAAAATCCCAGCTAAAGGTGAATGGTCTCTTATGCAATCAAAGGGTAAAACTCAATTCGATGATGGCAATGAAGGCTTCAGTTGTTTGGATTGTGGCTCCAAAGTTGAAGTTAAAAAATAGACTCACCTTAAATCTTTTCATTACAGCTTTTCATTTCATATAACCGTCTTGAAAGATTAGTGGTCTAGCTCTAGACTTAATTCTAGTTAATCTGACCGTGGCAATTTTTCACTGGTTATTTTTACTAAGAATTTACTATATATAAGTGATTTCTACAAGGTTGTTAATACTCCCATATGTGGTTCGTTTGGTCTTATTTCATCATTTCTTCTTTATTTTGCAGTCTTCTTCAATTCTTTTCGATTGTGTCCGTTTTTCACCTATTTATCTTTTCGATTTTGATCTTCCTTTTTTTTTTAATTCATTTTTTGTCATGTAACTCTATTATCGTTGATCGTTGATAATCATTTTACAAATTCCATAACATTTACATTATTCATTTCTGCAATTTTAATATATTTTTCTTTTGCGTTGCCTTATTATACTAGACTGTAATCAGAGTAGATACGCAGCATAAAGTCTCGGTGAATTTCTCGCTTTCCACCAAAAAGATAAGGCTGCAAATTTGCAAAAGCCTTATAAACCAGTCTTTTCCACCATTCATAGGAAGAATATGGATTCTAAATATCAATGAAAAATGACAGCTTATAGTTGGAAACCTTTAGATGTAATTGTTTTGGGCGGGGGATTGGGAGGTCTTGCTGCAGCCATTTCGATGAGAAGACAAGGTCATAAGGTAAGAATATACGAAAGATACGATTATGCTGGAGAAGTCGGTGCTTCCCTTTCTTGTGCTAGTAATGGTGGTAAGTGGCTTCACGAATGGGGGGTCAATGCTTGGAAAGCTAAGCCAGTTATCTTGAATAAATTGATCAAGCGTGATTGGAAAACTGGGAAGATAGTTGGTGAGTATCCTTTGGGAGATTACGAAGCGAAGTTTGGATATCCGTATTACAACTTTCATAGAATTGATATACATAATGTCTTAAAGGATTATGCTATATCTGAAGAAGGTGAAGGTACCCCTTGTGAATTAATCTGCAATCATAAAGCTATTGAAGTTGACTATAAATCAGGAAGAGTAGTGTTTGAGAATGGGATCGAAACACAGGCGGAATTGATTATTGCTGCAGATGGTATAAGAAGCTTAACAAAGCCTCAATTGGGTATTAAACCGAAATTTACAAGATCTTCTTCTGGATGTATTAGAGTTTTGTTTGATACTAAAACGGTGAATGAATTAAATTTAACCGACTTTTCAAATAATGATGCTATTGAGTTTTGGGGAGACACCAAATATAAAGTGGTTTTATCGCCTTGTTCTAACAACGAGGTTATTTCTTGCTATTGCTTCTATGCTGCTAAGGGCGAGGACACCAAGTCCGATTGGAGCAATGACATTTCACTAGAAGAGTTATTGGAAAACGTTTCTGATTTAGATCCTGCTTTGACAGAATTATTTTCAAAGTGTGGATACGATATCAAACAATGGAGATTGTACGTCCATGAACCCTTACCATATTTTTACAGAACAAACGGTGACGGTACCAAGGGAGTAACTCTATTAGGCGATAGTTGTCACTTCAGTCTTCCAGATCAATCCCAGGGAGCAGTGCAAGCTTTCGAAGATGCTGGCGCTTTAGGGTACATTTTCTCCAAGAAATTCAACCATACCATTGAGCAAGGATTGCAACTATACGAAGCAGTTAGAAAACCAAGAGTTTCCAAAATTCAAGCTGCTTCGGCTAGAGCAAGAGAGAATTTGAATGAAAGAATTGGCTGGAGTTCAGGAGCTCAAGATATTAAAGAAGATAAGAAGCTCACGATTGAAGAGGTTTGTGGTTACGATATGAAGGGCCATATCGATCTGTTGGCTAATAATAATAACCACTAATTTGGTTCGTAACTTAGTTATAATTGGCCAATATATTTAAATATTAACCAAATGTAATTTCAACTGTAAAGATCACTCTTATCCGTAGAGCTTCTTCTGGTAAAGATATTCACTCGGAATTGTATCTTAAGGAAATCAGGCAGCATAAACAAAGTATTTCATCTTCAAAGGTGAAAGGGTTCAAATGGCTAATGATTACCTTTTTGGTAAGGAACCTTTTATTTTACATCGGAACTGAAAATTCACCGTTCGCAGCCTTTAATGATAAGAAATCTATTCGCTACATAATCGAATTCCGTAGCTTAATTATAACGGTGGAAGAATTACGATAGTTGCAAAGGATTCAGCCAGTGATATATAATATGTGGTTTTATTCTTCAAATTGTTAAAGCTGATCTTGGTGTATTACGAAAATGGAATTTCATGAAAAGAACGGGGTTGCTGTTAACGTTAAATCTTCAGGAGAAGGAAGTCAGTCCATTGATATTGGTTCTGTTGATATTGTATATAACGAGAACTTGAACTTTCTAAAGAACTTTGATATCGAAAAGCATCCGGAAGAAGTATCGAATGGGACAATCTTAAAAAAATTGGATAGAACATTCATGATACCCATGCTTTTGGTTTATACTTTACAGTTTCTCGACAAGGTGGTATTGAACTACGCTAAAGTTATGGGTATGGCAGATGATTTGAAGCTTGTTGAAAATCAGTTCACTGACTTACCTACTTATTTCTTCGTTGCTTATATTATAGCTGAACTTTTCAATGGGTTTTATGTGTTACCAAAATTCCCAGTGGCTACCGTTTTATCAGTAAATGTTTGTGCATGGGGCTTGTTCACTGCTTGTTGCGCCGCTTGTACCAATTACAGAGGCATACTTACCGTTCGTATTCTACTTGGTCTTGCAGAGAGTGTGGTGATACCCGCAATGGTTATATTATCAACTAATTTTTATTCTAAAGCAGAGCAAGCTTTTAGAATTGGAATTTGGTATAGTGGGTTGGGGTTTGGACAAATATTTGGCGGTATTATCTCTTACCTTTTTCAATTGGTTGGCCCTGGTGCTGCAGTAGAAGGTTGGAGAATCATGTTCATTGTAATTGGTCTCATTAATATCATTGTAGGTGTTTATATTTACTTTTATATTCCAAGCACACCATTATCAGCAAAAATGTTAACTGCAAAAGAAAAGTTTATCCTCTTGCAAAAACTTACCGAGTCAAAGATTGGAGTAAAGACTGATCTGCTAAATTGGAAACAGATTTGGGAATTGGTTACTGACATTCAAGCATGGTTACTTTTCCTTGTATGTGCCACCATATCCTTTTCTTCAAATACAATCTCGACTTTCTCAGCCACTGATATCATTTCTTTTGGATTCGACTCCAAGGAAGCAGCTCTATTGAACATGCCTTCTGGTGTTGTGAGCATCTTATCCAGTTGTTTGTCAACTTATTTCATTATGAAAGGGTTTACTAGGTATTTGGCTATTTGTATACTTCTCCTTCCTGCTGTTACTGGTGGTGCATTGATGTCATTTTTACCCAAGTCCAATCAAGCCGGTCTATTGATTGGTATCTATATGATTAATACAGTAACTGCTCCCCTTGCTATCTGTTATTCATGGGCAGGTGCAAACTTTGCTGGATCCCTGAAGAAAATTGGTATTAATGCAATCTTTATAAGTTGTGGTTTCGCTTTGGCAAATATTGTGTCACCAAAGCTGTATAACTTCAAAGATGCCCCAAACTATTACCCAGCCAAAATATCAATGTTAGCAACACAAGCAGGGAGTATCTTTATTTGTCTATTGATTGCATTTATTTATTACTTGAGAAATAAGCAAAGAGATAGGGAACAGGATGGGAAAGTGATCGACGAAAATGAAGAAGTTGAAAATGTGTGGTTGGACCTAACTGACCACCAAAATAGGTCCTTTAGATATTGTTACTGAAATTAATACGATATAATATAAAGTTGACTTTTATTAATAATATGAAAAATATAATAAGTATAATACATTAGGATTGTAGAATTGAATAAGCAAAAAAAAGACCTGAAATTATCTAATTATATTTGAGTTGAAAGTCTAATATTAAGGAATTTTCAGCTACAGCTTTGAAAGTGACAATTCCGTCATCTTTAAAGCTTTGATCTTCAGCAGCAGACCAAGAATCGATAGTCTTCAAAGGTTTTTTGACTTCAGTAACATGTTTTTCGAAAACTTTATCTACCCATTGTTTACCTTTCTTAATATAGCGATGCAAAAATAATGTGTGAGAGTCATCGTAAGTAATAATTACCGAAGAAGATGGATCAATGGCAAAATCAACAATTTTATGATCAAGCACTATTGAATGAGCTATTTGATCCTTTCTCAAATCGAATACATCTAAAGAATTTCCGGAAGATGCTAAAAGCCAGTAACCATTCATTGCGAACTTTATATTAGAAGCATTCGGGTAGTCGAGTTTGAGATTTTCGCTACCATCGATAATGTTGAATAAACGGATTCCATCCGGACTGGCAACAGCAAGTAAAATACCATCCACATGTAAGCTGCTACTGGTATTTTCCAAGTCGTTAGGTGATTGAAACACATTTTGATTTTCTTTATTTAAGAACCATTTACCTTTTGCTTCAGTGGTAATGAAATATTCAGATAATTTTGGATGAGTTACTATTTTGCTGATGGAACTGTCTGATCTGACTTCTTGGATTATTTCGTTGCTGTCAGTGATAAGTTGATGCATATGGCCTATAACCGGAGTAGGCTTACCATTAAGTTTGATCAATCCTAAAGAATGTATGCCTTTTTTCTTCCAGTCAAGTTTGGATTCTTGGGGGTTTGAAGGATCTTCAAAGTTACAAATAGATATTCTATTTGTATCTGATGCCATGAGAATTGTTTTTGATTCCAAGTCGATGTGAACTTTTTGGATACTCTTGAATGGTTGGAAATGTTTACCACTAAATTCTATAGATATCTCTTGATCGGGGGTGAGTGGTAATGAAGGTTTCTGGGATTTATGGATTTGGAATAATTGCTCACGAGCTTGTTCGAGCTCTTCGGCATATGGAATGGTAGTTTCTGTTTCGTTTGAAGTAGTTTCATTATTTGTTGGCAAAGGTTCTGATTTACCAATTGCAACAGATAAATCTTGCAAAGACTGCTTAGCCTCATCTCTTTCCTTGATAGCTTTTGCTGCTACTCTAACAGCAGCATCATGGTGATATAGTGCAGCACTGAGCTCCTCTCTCGCTTTAAACAACTGTTTACGCAAGGTGAAGACTTCTAGAGCCAATGAATCCCACTCATTTTGGAATGTCGATAACAAACTTGGAATTGAATTGAAGGTGGGAGGCTTTGCTGGTGTTATTGAAGAGAGTTCACTGTTAATAGGAATCAAGTCATCAACAGTTAATGGTTCGTCATTAATAGGATCTCTACCACTTGTAGATATGTAATTGACCACCAATTTCTTTTCAAAAATATGTCCACTTTTCGAGGATATCACGGGCTCGGTAGCTTCCTCTCCAGAAATTGCACAGCGCATGGTATAAAGGTTGGAATATTATCCTTTTATAGGTGATGAGCTTGTTTTGGGTTTCTAGATTTTTCAAAAGAGAAAAAAAAAAAAAAACATAGTAGGAGTAATTGTACATAGCACGACTAAAGATGCAAAAAAAATTATAGGCTGCAACTCAAGCACTACAAACGGCAAATTAAGATGAAAAGTATTTAAATATTAACTATAGCACAGTATGAAGAATATAAACGAAAGAAAAATGAATATTCGGGAACGTAACGAAGAAGAAATGAATAAAAAAAATTGGGGAGAAATGAATTAAAAAGTTAAGTACAAAAATTTTGAAGCACTATTAGTGTTTGGAGCTAACATCGGAGTCACCTTCTTTATGGTCATAACCCATTTCTCTATCTGCTGGAGGAGGAGCAGCACTAACAGTTCTATATCTCTTTCTACCGGTTCTGAATAAACCGCAACAGTGGCCCAATAAGTTAAGTAAGCAAACGATGATAGCTGCAACAACGGCAGACCAGATAAAAGCATAGAATTGAATAGAAAGGAATGATCTGATACCATATTCTTTGGTTTCATCGTTGATCTTCTTACGAACTTCCATATAAGCACCAGTAAGAATAGCAGCACCAACCAAAGCAATGATTAAAATGACTACTTCAAACAAAAAGTTGAGAAATGAAAGACAACAATTATCAGGAGATAAGAAACAACCAGCACATTGGATGAAAATCGAAATAAAAGATAATACAGCGGCGGTTAAGATCAAGGCAGCACCGGCTTTGGTGAGGTTATTAACCAAGGTAATTTTTTTGTTTAAATCACTGGGTAAATCTAAAGAGTCATAATCGATATTATCAACTAAATCTTCTAAAGCATTCTTGACAGTACTTGAGAGAGCTTTTGAAATTGGATTACTATCATCACTACCGTCAACTTTATCATTAATGGTATTATTAACTTCGTGTTTGAAAAGAGTTAAAGGATCGAATTTGTAACCAAGTTTTGGTTTTGAACAATAAGTAATGTTTAATTTACTATTATCGAAAGTTCCTTTGTTTTTATTATCTTTGTCAGCATCACCTTTACAGTAACCCCACAAACTAATGGTATAAACGTCAGCGAGGCCCAAATCCTCATTTGAATACTTGCTCAAGATTTGTTTAAGAACAGAGTTAACGCCACCAGAAACATCAGAAGAAACTGAATCAACCGAGGATGCAACCGATGATGCTGCCGATGATGCTGCATCACCAAGGTTATCTAACCCATCATCCAACCAATCTCTTTTGGTGGTCGATGAAGGGATGACTTCTTCTAATCCCAAGTCTCTAGTAGATAAATCATCTAAATTAATAAGCTTGGATAAGTCTAATCCAGTAAGATGGAAATCAATCAAGTAGTTTTGCGTCAAATAATCAGCATTTTTATATGATCCGACAAGTGCCCAAACAGAAAGAATTGCACAGGCCAACGAAAAGACCATAAGCAAGAATCTAAAGAACCTAAACTGCATTTTGTATGTGGTTCAATCAAATAATAGAATATCAGGAATTATAACAAACTTTATATAGCAAAAATCAGTAGTATGCAAAACTACTATATTTAGAGGAGGCTCGGGTTTTTGTTTTTTTTTGTCTTGTTTCTTATTTCTTTGCTTCTGGATCACGTACTTTAATAAAGATATATAAATGACTGAAGCTACCCGGCTGTGAACTGTAAAGATGTCAACTGTAGAGAGGTAAACTGTAGAAGTATCGAGTTGTGAAGTCAATAAGCTTTCTTTTTGTAATTTGACCAAAACGCAGCAAACAAAAGGCTAGGGTCAACCGGTGGATATCTAATACAGGCTGAATTAATGAAAAGAGTAAGTTGAGTTCAACAGAATGTTGGAGTCCTGGGTGGGAATAGTATTTAATTTATACCATGGACTACTATATATGTAGAACCATTGTTCGAGTAGATAATTGCATGCTTAATAACCATCCAGATCAGTCCCAAATTACCCAATGAAAAGCATTAGATGCACCACCTAATAGCAGATGTACCTACATATGATTTCTGATCTGTGCTGGTCCATACAACCTGACAACCAGAATGGCTGGTGTATCACCCTATTCTTCATTAGCCTTTTGACAGTAAAGTCAAAATGTATGGAGGTTTTTCATTGTGTACAGGATTGAAGGCTGGCTAACTGAGGGAATGGTAGTGGTTGCCAATTGAACATTGCAATCTCGAAAAGAGAGTACCGGTGGAATGTGCTTGAGTGTGAGAGCATGGCCAGCCTTCTTTGATGACAATGCCATCCCTTCAACCTATACAATAAGTAATATACATTGGTAGAGGGATATATATTATACATATAGCGAGAATCGAAAAAACGAAGTAGTATACACAGGAATAGTAATAAAGGGTTTTTTGGTTATAGTTTATAGATTGAAATTGCAAAGCCCTTGTTCATATGCTTGGATAAATGTTCATGTGCTTTATTAGGATTAATGGGATTAGGATTAATGGGAGAGGCTTGATTAAAGTTAGCAAAATTAGATAAGCAGCCAAAATCTCACTAGAAAAATCAGCAAACATTGTTATTATTGCAAAACAATAACCATTGTATCGAAATATTAAAAACAAATCTTTGGACCTAGGGTCCAGTCTTACTCTTCATCTAGGTCTTCGAATCCATCCAATAGCTCCTGTTCTAGTTCGTCCAAATCAACCTCTGGCTCATCGTGGGTCTGGCTATCTCCAGTTCCATTAGTCGTTCCCAGGTTGAATTTCTGTCTTTTGTAAATTTTTGCTTCGCCATTGCCATTGCCATTGCCATTGCCATTGCCATTGCCATTGCCATTAGCATAATAGTTATTGTTTATGGACTTATTCAGACTGTTGGATTGCTTTTCGTTGTCTTTAGCTTCTTCATCTTCACTTTCGTCATCAAACTTTCTCTTTTTTGTAGATTTGTATGCATCTTTTATAAATGAGTCTACCCCAGCTTGGTGGTTTGTAGATTCGTCTTCTTCTTCATCTGCTTCTTCCTCTTCTTCCTCTTCCTCTTCTTCTTCGTCATCGTCATCGTCAATACCTGCCAAAAAATCATCAACTTCTTGGTTGGCATTATCAAGGTCATACTCTTCTAATGACCCAACTGAATCAAATCTTGGACGATTAAACATTCTAGCCTCATTTTTAGCTCTCTGCAGTTCAATGGCTCGTTGATACTTGGTGACATCTTTATCTTCGACATGCCAGTCTTCTTCACTACATTCAATTAAATATGGAGTTTCATCTACTTTTGACCATGAACTCAAACAGGCAAATAACCAATCGGGATTAACAATTCTAACATTTGGTATTATTTTGCGGGCAACTCTAACTTTTAAAGTAAGTCCCAGTTTGAATGCTTGTCCATTTGGATCTCGACAAACAACGTGAGTTACTTGATCAGAGTAAACTTCATTAACAACATTAACTCCAAATTGTCTACACCAAATGACAATATCTGTAGTTTCAATATTAATACCTAATGGCAAAATCCCGGAAAATAAAACGGTTATCCCTTCAAGACATTTACTTTTCAATTGAGGTATAATTGTGGTAAGATCGGGTTTTTCCATAATTTTGTGCTTTTGATACTCTTGATACTTTTCATAATACTGAGAATGTATTCTTCCTAAAGCTTTTTCTAGACTGTATAATTCATTATCATCATCGTATAATAGATTATCTTCTTCTTCTTCTTCAACTTTGCTCTCGTTATCGCTATCTTCTGGTGAGCTTGAATTTTGTCTTGATGATGTTTCCAGATCGTGTTCATGAATCATCTTATCTAAATTATGTTGAAGCTTAGCTAATGGTCTATCATGCTGTTGTTGTTCCAAGGATTGATTTCTAGTGAGTGACTGTTCCATTAATAAATTTGCATTATCTTCACCACCTCCTAATTCTAAAATTCGATCCACTGGTGACGATGAATCATGACTTGCTTCAGAATCTTGTGTTGATATTATTTCTTCTTGTTCATCTTCCTTGTCATTTTCTTGAGATTTTTCATTTTCATCATTGGGTTTATCATCTTCTAATGCTTCTAATTGAGCTAAAGTTTTCCTCTTTTTAGTTGGACCGGTTATTTGGCCATTCTTTTTAGGTAAAAAACTCGAATTAATATCACCAATTCCAACGAAAAAATCATATGGAACAACCTTAATTAAATTTTTCTCCCATTGCCAAACATCACCACGATCATCAATTATAACGACCATGGATTGATCAACTGGGAATAATCTTTTCAAATTTTTATGAGTTAATGATCCACTTTCATCACGACTTAAAATACGATCACCAAAATAATAAGCTTCAGGATCAATAATTTTAGCAATTGCTAACGCATAATTACGAGTAGCCATAGTATAAATATGCAATTCAAATTTTTTTGCAACTTGAGCTAAAAATTCTTGTAAGCCAGGTCTCAATTTAACATAATACCAACATTTTGTTGGAGCAGGTCTTGGACCAGCCCAATCGGGCGGCAATATAGGGTCTTCTTCAAGACAAAACGATTGAACATCCTTAACGGCAGGATAATTTGGATTGGAAGGATCCGCCTGCCATTCCCCAACTGTTGGATCAACAGTTGCATGAATAACAGTTTGATCTAGATCAACCACCAAAATTAATTTATTATCTTTTGTAAGTCGACTGGTGGTACTTTCTTCAATCTTGGTAGCTTCATCAAGACTAATCTTAAGACCAGTGTTATCATGAGACATTGCAATAGTAGCACGATCTTCATAACTATATCCAGAATAATCTTTTTCATCCTCAACTGATTTACCGCATAATGCACATAAACCACCATATTGAACAGCATGTCCACATGGTTCTTTGATAGAGCAAAGCTCTACGCCAGAATGAGGAATCTCCTGGTGAATATGAACATTCATGCGGGTTAATTCACCCTCAATTGGACTTTCAAAAGTACCAATTCTTTCTACTCGAATCTTCGGTGGTGTTTCTTCTTTGGAATTTGGGTCATCTTGGTAATCCCAATATTTATACTTGAAAATAGTACTGTGTCGATTGATAAAATCACCATCTCGATATAGAATCGCTGTTATAGAAACTGGGAATGGAACCGATTGCGGCAAGGTTATTGGTGTGAGTTCAGACATAATTAGACCTTTCAATTAAGACTTCTTCCCTTTTCTTTTTCTTTCTTCTTTTAACAAATTATCTAGCAAGTTATTCTAATATTCTTTCCCACAATTTCTCAATCGTTAAAGCTTATCGGTGACAGGAAAAACTAACAGTCGGTATACTGAAAGATATGGAGAAGATCTTCGCGTATGAAACTTTCGGGGGTGTATCTACTTTGATAGCAACTTCGTACAGCCAGTGGAACCAATAAATACACAAGATGTTTTGGGCAGTATCAATATCTCTGTTCAGTGTTATTATATCCTGGGCGAGGTTGCAAATATGTAATAATGGCGACTATTTGTATGGGTCTTGTTTTAATGTCCTTTATTTTATTTATGTTTTTTTTTTGTTTTTTTTTTTTTTTCTTTGAGACGGAATGACTTTTCTCAATTTGACATTTTGCAAGAATTCAATTAATACTGGGGTGTACGGGTGTATTTATAGAAATAGACATATATTACAAATAGTACATACAAGGTTGTTATACAATATCCTCAAACATGTCTTCGTCCGACTCTTGATCGTCCTCCCCAGCTGGGTGCGGTGGGGCGTGCTCAGATTGTGTTTGCGGAGGTTGGGCGGGTGGTGGGGCGGGTGGTTGCTTATCGGTTACTTCGTTATCGATGAGGTCTTCTAAAACATCTAAGTCATCGTCTTCATCTGCAGAAGAGACCGCCGCAGGGGCACCTTCAATGGACTCCGCAGGTTCGGTGTTTGGTTCATTCTGGTCTGTAGATGCTAAGGTTTCTGTAGGCTCTCCTTGGCCGTCGATTACCTGGGGAATACCCACGTTATTAATGCCGATTTTATCTTCAAGGACCTCTTTTTGGACGTGCTCTTCTTCTTTGGGTTTAGCATCGGACGATACTTCCACGGCTGGATTGGTAGGTTCAGGTTCGCTGGGTTTGTTATGTTCATCGTCATCGAATTTGAGCTCGGAGAGAGCACGTCTTTTAGCTTCTTCATCTTCATCACTATCACTGTCCTCGTCGATGTTTCTTGCGTTATTGAAGGAGAAACCGAATTCGATTTGGTTATTTTCTTTGGCTTTTTCACGGTCTCGTCTTGCCTTTTCTTCTAAAATTTCCTTGATCTTCTTCTTCTTCTTTTCATCAGAAATTCTAACTGCAGTGATAACTGTCTTGAATTCATCCAGTATTATTTGATGAAAGAAGGAGTTATCTTCGGTAGTTGGAGCCGATTGTGCGTAAGGAGAGTAAAGTTTTTCGGCTTTCATGAATATATTATCATCACGTAATTTTCTCTTCTTTTCAATCTCTTGTTCTTGCTTTTCTTTTTCACGCTTTCTCTTTTTTGCATACTCAACAAAGTCAAATGCTTTTGTCTCCACTCTAGGTAGTATTCTTTCATTATTTATCAGTAATGAAGAGTCAGTCTCTGTATTTTCCTTGGTGTTTTGATTAACGTCTTCTTCCTTACTTACTTCATTTTCTTCCTTATCTTCCACTAACAACTCAATTTTGTTTCCAGACTTTAATAATTCAACTTCAAACTCGTGCCTCCATTTCTTTTCATCATTATCTATTAATTCGTTAAGTGGTTTGTCCGTGAGTCTTGATTCGGCCACTAGCCTTAATCTGATTTCTTTCAAATCAGTTATTTGATCCATGAATCTACTTGTATTTTGATATGTATAATCAGGAGGCAAATCTGGTAAATAACTAGGAACATAACTTGGTTTTCCTGATTGTTTAGGTACTAATTCTGTGATTTCTTGATACTCTTTATTGAAAAATGGGATAGACGGGTCATTTTCCTCAAACGTTATTTCATCAGCATTATATACTTGTAGAATATGATCTGTTTGTGAGCTAATTTCTTCTAATTGTTTACGTTTACCAAAACATTTGCTTTTCTCATACTCCACATACAAGTGAGTGGGATTTATATTTTTGGATTGTAACAAAAGCTTCGTATCACCTATCGATGGTTTGCGCCTTCTTTGAATCTCAGTGAACCTTTTCAAAGTATCCATCATATCATGCAAATAAGTTATACTCAATTCTGTGAGCTCAGTTAAAAAATCTTGTGAACATTGAAAGCCTTTGCTTTGCATGGTTAATGCTATGACTTTAAAAAATTGAAAATCGATTGGAGTGACGGTAGAGACTGTAGATGTAGGCTTGTTTAATAAAGCAATTGTTTCGGTTGACAATCTTCTTTCAAATGGAGGAACTTCTTCGAATTTAGGAATATACAGAGGAGTTCTCGGTCTATACGAGCCCTCTTGTACCTGACTATCCAATTGCTCTTGCATTTTGGCCAATCTGGCTTTGGTCTTATATTCTTTTCTAGGTTTCGGTCTATTATCGTCTAATAACTCGGGCTTAGAATCAGTCTCTTCTGTGTTCTGATTTTCATTTTGTTCTGGACGAGATGCATTCGAATCCTGCTCCTTAGTGTCCGGTATTTCCTTTCGGTTAGTGGTTTCTTCTGAAGGCGTTTCAACATTCTTCTCTTTCGATGTTTCTTCAGTATGGGATGCTAAGGCTTCTCTCTCTTCCAGTGGACCACTTGGTTCTTTATTCGCCTCCAGGTCTGATTGATTACTACCCTTCCCTATAGGCACGTCTGTATTAGAAACTGCTTTCTCATTATCATTACTGCTTTGATTTATACTTTGATGCTCTGTTTGCTTCTCATTATTGGATTCACTTATTCCACTCATTCTCTCTAACCCACACGGAACCTTATATGATTGATGACTTGATGATTTATTTGGTCCGCTTGTTTTATCCGGGTGGGGGGTTTGATAGAAAGAATACTTAACTTTTAATTGATTCAAATATACTAATACTGGTGTTTACTTAGTTAATGTTTTTTCGTTCTCTCTTTTTTTTTTTTGTTCAGATTTTCATTAACTTTTGTGAGATCAACATTTTTACGAAGCTTATTACAAAATTATAAAGTCTTACTCAAAGAAATTCAAATATTAACATTAAACTAAAAGAAAATACAAATTCGAAGAAGAAGTCAAAGGTTAAATGTTGGACAATAAGTATTCAACAGCCCCTTGGACACTACCACCGCTTCTTCTCAAGGCTTCAACGTTTCTATCAAAATCGAAAAAGCCCATGTCGTTCAATTGACCAAGTTGGCTTTCGTATCTTTCTTCTGGAGGACGGTTATCAGCAGGAGCAGGAGCTGCACCGGCGCCTGCACCTGCACCACCAAATAAGAAAGAAGGGTCTATTGGAGGAACACCATTTGGAAACATGGATGCAAAAGGATTGGCAGCAGCATTGTTATTGTTAGAGTTGGTGTTGGCACCAGAGTTTTCAGTAGTGTTAGAGTCTTCGTTTCTGGCAGATTCTCCACCAACGGTTGGATTGGCACCAGGAGCTGGGAAAGAATTAGCACCTGCGTCTGCACCACCAAGGCCCGGGAATCCACCTTGGCTGCTTAGACTCATCATAGATCTCATCATTTCAGGATTAGATAACATTTGTCTGAAAAAGGGACTCTGAAACATTTCCCTTACTTGAGGACCCATGGCTCTCAATTGAGGGTTTTGGTTAATCATGAAATCAAGCATTTGAGGATTAGATAACATCGAGTTCATACTTTCTTGAAACATGGGATTAGACATCATTTGGGATAATTGCTCAGGATCAGGCATACCACTATTCATACCCCCATCAGGACCAAACATAGAAGCCGATGGTAGTTGAGTATAACCAGCGTAACGAGCACCAGTTAGATCAGCTAATGGATTGAAAGAACCTTGACCCGCAGCAATATTAGAAGGAACACCGGAATTGTTGGAAGCAGTAGAATTTTGAGTTTCCGATCCACTAGCAGCAGTAGTCGAATTAGTAGTACCCGAAGCAGATGCTGGTTTAGCTCCGGCACTCTTAACTAAATGAATGGTATGACCAGATTGAACTTTATACGAAGAAACGGTTTCGCCATCTTTCAAAACTTTACCAGAATAAATCAATCTTTGATTACCAGCTGGAACAGATGATTCTTCGGCAATTTTTTCCTTCAATTCTAAAACCGTTATGGTTGGAGATACATTGACTTCATATTTAACATCCCCGGATGATTTTATTGTAATTGTGATATTATCAGACATTATTTTTTCTATATTACAGTTCTTTTCTTGATACCAACTGAATATCGATTACTGATACTCTTTTATAAATGCAAGGTATGTATTATATTGTTCAAAGAAAAAGATATCGCCTTCTTATCGATCTGGCTTTGGGTATATTTGATGTTCAATAAATTGCCCGCCGTCCTAAAATAACGTTCGACATCCGTACACCAGTTCCTTCCAGTGAGAACTTTCTAGAAAGTTTTTCTGGGATCATCGTTTGCTGGTTCGATTCCTTAGGGAGGCGGTGGGTGCATTTTTGGTTGCAAAACAATATTAATCAAACTCGAAGATACCTACTATATCTTGGCTATCGGTTAGGTCAATTTCAACGAAAGGTTCGGGTGCTAGGGTGGGAATTTGAGAGTTTGGATGCAATTCGTCACCAAAAATGGTGACAATGTCATCTGTTTGGGGGAGCAGAAAGTCTGTTGGGGAGAGAACAGGAGATGGAGCCTTTTCGGAAATATTATACCAGTCATCTCTCACTGATTCCAAGTCTTCGTTTAACAGGACATCCTTGGTGAAGTATTGAAAAGGGTTTTCCACGAATCTCTTGTATTTTCCTTTGTGGTAGTTTTTCGAGAAGTACTCCCCCATGTGAAGAAAATCGATATTAATGATGCCTTTACTTGCTAATTCCTTGCAATAAAACTCTTTGATCTTGAGTTTTCTGTAGGACCATAGCTTCAACTCGAGTTCCCATGGGATTTCATGTAATGTGAAAGCCCTGAAAGCATTTGGGTTTTTAGATGAAGGATTAATGGGGGGTCTTGCTGGATCATTTGCCAACCTACCAACAGAATTCATATACGTTATAATATGGTTGTCGAAGGGGTGGATTTCTTGGAAAATCGTAGGGACATACTTCAAGTATCCTTTGACTTCTTTAATTAATGTTAAGACCTCGGAAATCAATTGTCGTTTTGTCTTTTGACAATCTCTGAAATATGGATTATTAGGTACTCCGAGAGGATTTCTAATGAGAAAATTATGCGTTTTGATAGAGCTCTTTCGGATGACTCTGGCTCTCAAGGCACTCAGCCGTCTTCTTTCTTGTCTCTTCTCTGGTGAGATAAAATCCATGCAGGGATTCTTGATCGTTGGTTTACAGTAACATTTAACTTCAACTAGCTGGTCAGCAAAAATAACCCTCTTTTTAATTGTATGTCTCTGGCCTCTGGATCCTTTCTTTTTCTTGAGTTCGGGATATGTAATGCATGGCTTCAAGAAACGCCTTACTTCATACGTAGATGTACTCCCGTTTCCAAAGTCAAAATCATCGTATTCGACGGTGTCTTGAATGATTTGTTCAAACTCACTTTCAACTGAGCTAGTAGGGGATTGAATTTGAATGTTACGAGAAGGCATTCTCTTATTGGAACGGAAGAAGAAAGATAGCCTGTTTAATCAAATGTAGCCAAAATCATCTATACTATATATATAGTTCATGGAAACAAGTAACTATATGAAGCATACCCAAAATGTTATTACTCATTTTTCGCAACAATTCGACTTATTTTGGACAGTTTTGCAAGTTAAAAATAATTTTTCGCAGTAATTGTACTCTCTGACATACTACAAATTTACATACAAAAAGTAGTCAACAAGCCGACTTTTAAGCTTATACGTATATATTAAAGGGAAGTGTTCATAGAAAGAGAGATTATCAAGCAGAATGTCCGATGCTTTTCAGATTACAAGTCAGAACATTACAAGACCAGGAAATTGGAAGAATCTTATCTTTGCCCAATTTACCGAATCTCCCTCGGTCTTGTCACTGCTCCAAACTTGTAAAAGCAATTTCTCAAACTCTGAAATATAATTAAATCTCAAGCGATGCTTTATGTTTTGAATTCTGGTCATTATATAGTCTCTGTCTTCTTGTTCAACCGCAACGGACCCCGCCATCACCAATGGAAACATCATCAGTAATTCAAGATCAGAGTTCATATCAATAACTTTAATTGACCGTAAAATAATTGAAACACATGCTTCAATACGCGAGTTTCTTCTATCATAACCATACCTAACCTGATGAAGTCGTAAGAAAGCCGCCCATTGGAAAGCCAAGGTGAAAGAAGAAAGAACTAAACTTGAGTCTTTATCAGTTTCGATTTCGTTTGCCAATCTCCCCATGGGTGGTGTCCAGATTTGTAACTTCATTTCTATTATGTTCGCCAACAGGTTAAACTGCTTATCTTTTTCGACTGAAGTATACCTGGCTTCTCTCATACTTGATAAGGTAGAAATATTACCAATAATCTTTAGTAGCTCACCGGCAATACCAAACTTAAATCCAAACTTACTTTTAAATGAGTTGGAAATTTGATCATCCTCAAACCAGGCTAGCTGATTCGAACTATTTTGCAAAGTATTGGCATGAGGAATCGAGCAAGTGCTCAAACTAGAAATCATATCAAGGTAACAGAATAGTTGAAATATTAAGGGTGATGCTCTAGATAATGCACCAAAACCCTCGTTAAGTTGTATAAACTGAGTGGCTTTTTCTAAAGCTATACTCCAAAACAATGAATCTCCTTCAAGAATCTCCAAAACACATACTAGTAATATACCAAGCAATAAATTTTGAGAGCCTGAGTCGGCTGATTCTAAAATTATGTTAGCTTGAGCTTTTGCTCTATAAAAGACTTTATCTCTTTTGCTTTCGTTACTAAAATCATAGCTGTTTGCTTTATTCGAGGCTGCAATGGCAATTACAGGGTATCTAACTCTATGATCCTCTAAACAAAGTGGAATTACAGTGGAAAGGAATTTATCGGTTGTTTTATCAACAAAGAGAAGGAAAGAAACATTCCTAATAAAATATTTTAAAAGTTCAACTTCTTTCCATGGTAAGCAATTATTATTAGTTTCACAAACCCGAATTAAGTTTATTCTAGTCTCTTCATAATGCTTAGAGTCCAATTCTTCGGACAGATCACTCATACAAGGTGACATATTTTTCATTCCATGAACCGAGGGACAGGTGATTGGATCAAGGGGTTGAGAAGCCAGTGATATAGATGGGGGTGATTTCATCAAACAGCTTAACATCATCTTATCCCTTCTATTAAAAGATTGACCCGAGGTAGAGTCCATCAAAGGTAACAAGCTATCATAATCTAGCAGCATTTCCCAAGAAGATTCTATCGAGTCATCTGAGATCGTTCGATTAACTTGAGCTTGGGGAAAATTATCCATGCCAGGTCTTTTGCATTCAATATTTAATCTTTGGCAAGATCCACATTGAGGGAAGATCTCATCACATTTCCGCTTTTTCATTTTACATGTATAACATCCTTTTCTGCTATACTTCCTCTTTCTCATATGAGTGCTAATTCCATCAAATTGCAAAATCTGTTTAGACTTGGGACGTCCAACTTTGAGTTTGGGCCTTAAAAAAGTACAAGGGACCCCCAGTTTTTCACAACCATTGCAAGGAATAGTATTTCCCTTACAGGCCCTTTTCTTCTCATGACACTTATCACAATTCTGCTTTCTATTCGAGATTGGCATCACTCACTATTGGCATCGAGAAGAAGTAACATGAATACATCATTAACTAGTCACAGAATTAGGGATCCGTCTTATCAAGTCTTATCTTTTTTTTTTTTAATGAAAAATTATCAATAAGGAATTTTTATCCCGTTTGCGAACCGTTCGGAACAGTATTTGAAGCTTATTCTAGTACTTCCTTTATTGGCCCTCGTATCAGAATACGCAAGAGGTTGGCAGTGTTTTCTGCAGAGTCACGTTCATGTTGCATTTGTTTTCGTTAACCTTTCAAGTTGAGCAAATTCTTCTGTAATTAATGAATGCATTCTCAACAAAGTATTTATATAAAGTCATACTTCAATAAAGTATTTAGTTAGTGCTTACTATGAAACTTAGTTATACTTTCCATAGAGATAGCTTTTCTCTTATATATCAATAGTTCCGGTAGTTGCAAAAAAGGGTTTCTAAAACGCACAACGGTGATAATCTAAATGGAGCACAACTAACGACAAGAAACACAGCGAACGACGAAGGCCTAGTAGGTATTCAGGTATCCTTAAAGTTTCTTCAATTAAGGAGGTTTCTTTCCAATGAAGTTCCTTTCGAATTAGTAGCTTACATATTGTTCTGTATTGAACAAGAATTAATTGGGGACATAATTTGATTGGCTCTTTTATTTACTCTTTCTAACAGAAAGTAATGGGGATGTAGAGTTAGGTTTGATTTTAGACATATCATGAGCATCTAGACATGCTTGTCTGGATAATAATACTGCTTGTCTTGCTCTTTCCTGAACAGAATTACGGTAATTTGCAACTGCATCTTTCCATGAAAACAGTCCCTGTAAATGTAGATCTAGTTGTTTGACCAATTCGGCCACGTCAAGTATCCCTTCATTGCAAGCACTTCCTCGGTACATGGTCATTGGATGGAGACTGTCCAGTGCTAATAATACTTTTCCATCATGATCATCCCAATCGACTTTTTCCCAATCACAAAGTTTGATCTCCATAAGCTCTTCCGGGTTTTGCACTGCTCGGTCTACCAACCAGGATAACTCTGGACTCAATCCCTGAGAATGCTTTTTCAAAGCATTAGCTTTTTGTTCCTGAGTTTCAAAAGGTTCATCAGTTTCAGGAACATTCCATGAAAGGTTCACTTGAGCGTAGTAAAGATCGGGTGCTTTTGTATATTCTGGGGTAGCTAAAGCAGAATACCAGAAGAAAGTATTTGTTCCCGGGATTGTTCCTTGGAATAATAATGGGTCAAAATGATTAGAAATTCTATCGAATTCCTCTTTGTTCAACTGAACTCTAGCACCGCAAAACCTAATTGGAAGCTGATAAAGCCCACCTTCCTTAGGATCAATCAACCTTCTCGTTATAGAATTCGAGCCATCGCAGCCAATTAGAACGTCCCCAGTGTATTGTTTCCCATTAGAGCATGTAACCGAAACCAAATCATCGTGATAATCAATAGACTCGACTTTTGAATCCCATTCAACTTCAAGTCCGTCTAACAAAACCCTTCTTATTTGTTCACGTCTAACTCTTATTCTTGAAGAAGGTGGTATACATACAACAACCTCACCAGTACTAGCATTAATATACTTAAAGTTTCCTGAATCTGACTTGTGAAAGTTAGGTCTAACTTGGGAATCATACAACGGATCCATTTTTTGCTTGGGAACCAAATTTTTGAATGCTTCTAAGGCATAGTGAAGGGTAATGGCCCATCCCGACTTCTCTCTAGATTCAAGGGAAGTATCTCTCTCCAAGATAACGAATGGGATATTTCGAGCTTTGAGAGCATTGGCTAATAATGGTCCAATTATCCCAGCTCCTGAGATAATAAATTTTGGAGGTTTTCTATCGCTAGTCATACTATTATCGAACTTACCAGCATCTTAATTCTTCTACATACTAGTAATTTAAATAAAATTCTTCAAACACCCAAGGACATTGAATCCATCGGCCCTATTAATTAACGGAATTTTCATCTATGGCTCTTTTTATCGCTTTCGGTGCGTTTTGCAGTCGGTGATTTTTCTTTTCGGAATATATTCATAAGCTCAAAGGTGTATTTCTTCGAATTCCACCATAATCTTGTAGAAGAGACTAGGATGATATAAGTATGGTTTGGGTTTCTATGAATCAAATTCAAGTTTCCACTTGAACAATTCCAATAAAAGAACTCTAGAAATCAACTTCAGGATGTCACAAACTCACGAAGCCGTTAACCCAATCCACCCTTCAATGGTTGACAAGTTGGACCCAGAGTTTGTCAAGCTCTATGATAGACATGTTGCTAATACACCAAATAAACCAATTGACTTGGCTACGTTGAGAGAGAATTACGATAAGATCTACAGTTATGGTACTGCTTCTTATCCAACAATACAGAATATCGAAGAGATTACATTCGCTTCGTTCGACGGGGCTGATATCAAGTTGAGAATCTATAGACCTAATGGTACTAATTTGAATGAAAAATTGCCAGTGCATATAGACTTCCATGGCGGTGGCGGTGGCCTTGGAAGCTTGAACACAGAAGAACATATTCTTTGTCATTACGTGGAGTTAGCAAAAATAGCCATAGTCGATGTTGATTATCGATTGGTTCCTGATTATAAATTTCCGACTTACATCAAAGACTGTTTTGAAGCAACAAAGTATGTATATGAAAATTCAGATAAGTTAGGATTCAATAACGAAAGCCTTTCAATTGGAGGTGTCTCTGTGGGTGGGAATATCGCATTCATTGTTTCTCATTTATGCCGTGATGCAAAGATACCTCTAGTACTCTGTTTGGCTGGTACTCCTCAAGTCGATGACGTTGAGCCATATTACCTGACTGCTGATTCTCCCTACGAGTCTTCAAGAGAATGTGAGTTTGCCCCTACTCTTAACTGGGCCAGGATTACCTTTTTCGACAAGTTGAAGTGGCAGCATTTATCAAAGGATCCGGAGAAAAGAAGCGAAGAGTTGAAAGAAATTGGCTGGTTTAAATCGGTAATGAATGCCCCCGACTTTTCTAATCTTCCCAAAACCGTGGTGGCGACCGCAGGCTGTGATCCCATGAGAGACGAAGGTGAAGCCTATGCTTGCAAACTAATTCAAAACGGCAATGAAGTGGTTTTTAAAAGGTATCCTGGTGTTCCTCATCCATTTATGCATATGGACGCAAGCTTACTGAAGGCTTCCGACTACATTAGATATACAGCTCACCAGCTTGTATTGGCCCATAAAACTAAATAGGTCTCTATTGACTTACAGTGCGATTTTTTTTTTTTGCAGTCAAAAATGCCAAAAACAAGATGCTTGAATGATTCATTTCATGTTCTTTGAAAGACTTCAATAATATTGAACAATTTATAAACAAATAAACCATAAGTAATTATCAATATATGAAAAAAAAAATATAGACAAGTTAAAACAAATAATACACACAATCAAGTTAGAAAAAAAGGTTTGAAATTTTCAATCAGGACTGAAGGATATCTTGTTCCGTAATTTGAGATTTTTCACACATACTTTTGAAAATACCTTCGTCTTTTCTGATTAAATTAATTGGAGTATCAAACTCCTTGACCTCACCTCTCTCCAACGTCATGATTTTATCGTAATGAAGAATAGTACGTAACCGATGAGCAATACACAAAATCGTAACGTTTTCAAATTCATTATTAAGGGTGGTCTGAATTTTGGCATCTGTTTCATAATCAACTGACGAGGTTGCTTCATCCAAAATCAAAATCTTCGTATTCCTAACCAAAGCCCTTGCAAAAGAAATCAATTGCCTTTCACCTAAAGAGTAATTTGCTCCTTCGTCAATGACAACTTGATCTAAATGAAATTTATGTAATTTACTTACATCATCAACCAGTGCTGATTTAATCAAATCCTTCGCTTCAGAATCAAATGTACCACATCTTGATAATGCATTCCACAATAATTCATCATTGAAGTCACCAAAGGGATCTAAGTTTTTTCTAATAGTACCATTGAATAAGACTGGATCTTGTGGAATGATAGATAAATTAGACCTTAAAGTCTTTAAATCTAATTTAGAAATATCAACACCATCAATCAAGATCTTACCTTTGGTTAAAGACACCAACTGATATAAAGCAGACATGATTGAAGATTTACCAGCACCTGTTCTACCGCAAACACCAATTCTCTCAGAAGAGTTTGCCTTGAAGCTCAAATCCCTCAAAACCAAAGGTAAACCTGCCCTATAAGACATGGATACATTTTGAAATTCAATAGCTCCACTTGATGGCCAGCCAGGCTCGATTAATTGCTGAGCTCTCTCTTCCCTTTCTGGTTTTAAATGAAGAGCATATTGACACAAGCGTTCCACTGCATTCATGTCATTCTCCACTTTTGTTAATGTTGATAATAATGGTGCCAATGTACTCGCTGACTGAATAGTATATGTAAGCAATAACCCTGAGGTTGATGCACTTGAATGGAAAACTCTGTTAACACACAACAAAGCAATAAGAAGAACAAAAACAAAAGCTAAATTCTCCAAATTAATATTAAGCCACAGTTGACATGCTAGTACCATATATGAAGATTCATTCATATTATCCATTAACTCACTACTGGTCTCCAAAAACATTGACGATTTACCAAAGTTTAAAATAGTATTTTTACCCGTTAATATTTCTGAATGGGCAGTGTAAGCGAAAGACCTCAGCAAAGCTTCTTGTCTTCTTATCTCTCTGCTTGATGCTTGGTAATAATTTGAGATTGCAAAGAAGAAGAAAAACATTCCTGGTATTGCTAAAGCAATCCAAGGCATGTAAACAATATTAAGAATAATAGTACCAATGATATTACTTATGAAGTCAATAGCCAAAATCAATAAAGGTCCAATTTCATTATCCATTGCATCTGTGTCTTTTGAAAAACGATTGATGATTCTACCCAATGGATTAGTATCAATGAAACTCATAGGTGAACCTAAAACCTTTTTCATTGCCGATAATGTTAAATTCTTAGAAGATTTTGTAAAAACTGCAGCCAAATAAATATTTTCTATTACAGAAAAAACAACCCAAAGAAGAACAAACATGACATAAAGTCCAATGTAAAAACTATCTGATCTACTTTCAAATTTACGACTAATCCAGAAAGACAACCAAGTATTCATGAAAAGTTGACAGAATAATGATATGGAAGCTAAGAACAAAAGAATGCCAAAAAAACCTGACATAGTTAAGTTTTTCGTACCTTCTTTTATGTACGTAATATAAACTTCTGCTTTGAGTCGATTCACCGCTCTTTCTTCCTCTTGAATGATCTTTCCCTTGGTTATATCTTTATCTATGTCAAGATCTTCATAAATATTTTCCTCCTCTAATTTTGCAACTTCTTTACCGACATTTCTCCTTTTAAGTTGAGTGTGTTTTCCATCGTTGTCATCAACCAAGAGTTCAACTTCCTCTAAATCTTGTTCAATACTATCAGAGTCGTCTTCACTTTCTTTAGTTGTACTGAACTCGTTCAATCTAGCAAACGATGGATTCTGTAACAATAATTCAGTTTTAGTACCCATACTCATAGTACCGTCACCATTCATGAAGATAATCTTATCGGCAGAACCAACGAGAGATAATTGATGAGTTGCCAAAATAACAGTCTTATCTTTTAATAACCCAAAGACACAGTGTTCTATGATATGTTGACCCACTTTAACATCAACAGCACTAAGAACATCATCCAACAAAATAATGTCAAAATTAGCGTACACCGCTCTTGCTAATGCAGTTCTAGCTTTCTGACCTCCTGATAATGTCACTCCCTTTTCACCAACTTCGGTATAGTCACCAGCTTCTAAATTTTTCAAGTCCTCCTGCAAACCACAGGCAAATACAACTGAGTCGTACCAGTGTTTATTGAAAGGTGTTCCAAAAAGAATATTTTCTCTAATGGTTGCATTTTGGATCCATGGGTCACCCGACATCAATAAAGATCCATTAATAACAACATTACCTTCACTCAACGTCATGTTACCTGAGATAGCATTCAACAAAGAGGACTTACCACTACCAATCAGTCCTGTCACTGTAATAAACTGCTTTTTAGCAATTTTAAAGTTTATATTGCGTAGCTTCAGCAATTTCGTGGCAGCCTTTGCGTCAGCATCCTCACCAGTAGAATCGGTTGAATCTTCATTATTTGTTTCCTGAAGTTGCCATTCAAATTGTGCATTTGAAATTTTGATTGCAAAATCATCTTTTTCATCAGTGAGAGTAACGTAATTTTCATTTTGAACAAACTCTTCGCAAGTTAAAAATTCCCCAGCTCTTTTTGCAGCCATGAATAAATCAGCCATCGTCGATAAAGCTTGAGGAATGAAGAAGAAAAGCATACCAAAGGCTTGAAATGATTGGACTGAAGAAAACATAGAACCGGCATCTTTGATATGACGTTCAAAAGCATATAATATAAGAAAAGCAATCATTGTAACAACACCAGTCAAACTCATACTCAACACCGTTACCAAACTTCTTATTGCTTGAACTTTGAAAACGAAACTTGATTCTTCACCTCTAATTTTAGTCAATGATTTCCAGTATGGGAGTTCCCAACTATAAAACTTGATCATTTTCAAGTTTGAAATAATTTCTCTTATAATACCGACTCTCGTATCTGTTAACAGTGATAATATATTACGATAAGCATATAAAAGTTTTGAAAAATAACCAATACCAGCCAAGAAGATGACGAAAATCAAAATACTGATAAGCGCAGATACCCCAATATTGGTAATTAAGATCGCAATAGAGACCCCCATTGGGATAGGGAGAGCCACCAAAATAACTTGGTAAACAAAAGCGATATCTACTCTTGATAAATCAGTACTAATTAAGGAAGTGACCGAACCAGGAGGGTATTTGAGTCTGGACTTAGGGCTCAATTTAAAATTTTTCGCCAAAATCATTTGAGTTAAAACAGATCTTGATTGAGTCCCCACTATACTACCAAAATACTGAAATTGGTACAGGGATATACCACTGATTAAAACCAAAAGAGCGGTAGCAAAAGCATAACCAATTCCTTTACCTATAGCAATATCAGATCCCAAAGCTTTCAATTCAACAAATTGAATAAGTTTCTTACTGGCAAAAGGAGCCAAAGTGAGCCCCAAACAACAGATAAGTCCAAAAATTGTAGCAATAAGTAAATCTTTCTTGAATACAATCAACATAACCTCAACCAACATAAACTTGGGCATTTTGAAATCATCCGTTTGACGGAGTTCATCAAGGTCAATCAGGCCATCCTGGTTATTCTTTAATTTTTGCTTCAAATGTCTTCTTCTATGATACTCTAACCTACTTTCAAAACAATTTTTGAATAGTTCTAATCGATACTCAACGGTAAGCTCTTCAGTTAACTTGAATAAGTCTTTGGCGTGGAGAGTACGACGATAACCAACATTCAAGACTGGTGTCACCCACCAAAAGAATAATCTTGATATAAAATTTGCATCTTTGTATCCAAACGGTTTTCTTTCATGTTCTTCGGGTAGAGGAACCGTTTTCTGCTTGAGTAAAAATGAAAAAAGCCTCTTCTGAGGTAATATCTTTGCCAGATATGACTCCAAATCATTTGAAGAACTCATCTTGACGTCTATGGAAAGAAAATCATTATTGGGTGCTTCTAATTCATTATATAGTCCGTAAATGAAAACCCGCAGTGCACGGCTCTATCTATTATTCAAACTTTATTATGGCGATAAGACGATGCCATCGATAGCTGTATCTTACGGGCTAATGACTGAGATACGAACCATATGATGCTTCAGCGTGGTAAACCGCCTATCAACCCCTTACTCTAATATTGTGTGGCATCAAAAGCTGATGTCATTTTATTAAAGAGCGCCAGACGGAGTTATAATTAAAGGCCCTAAAGGGGATTCGGGCGAATAGAACAGCCTTTGAGATATAATGAGTTTCATTTAATACGTCTTTGAGCTACATTTGAACACCCAAAGAGAAGTAATTACTCAAATAACAACCATATAACAACCATATAACAACCATATAACAACCATATAACAACCATATAACAACCATATAACAACCACTCGATTTAGGGGTAACTGCAAAACGGTATTTGTATACGATTTGTATAATGCACGATAAGTTTTTTTTTTTTTTTTTTTAGTTGGGGTTAAAGCGGAAAGTCTTCTGATGATTACTTGCTACTTAATTTAGGCTCTAGACTTGGATAGAATGGCGTATACTGAAGCAGAAAGGCTAAGACTAGATCAGTTGGTTGGCCAATGGCTAGATGTGGACGTAAACTCGGAGTCACGCCGGGAAATACTGGATTTACAGAAGAACGGAGACTATGATAAGCTTGACTCGAAGTTGAGTAAACGAATTGCATTTGGTACTGCCGGGTTAAGATCTTCAATGGAATCAGGATTCTCACATATGAATGATGTTACTATAGTGCAAGCCTCGCAGGGGTTAGTCAAGTATTTGCTGAAAGAGAATAAGAAGCGGTCTTCGATTGTAGTTGGGTATGATCATAGGTTTCATTCCCAAAGGTTTGCTGAAATAACCGCCAGTGTCGCTCTTAGTCAGGGCTTGGTGGTATATTATTTGGGAAGCGTTGATAATTTATCTAAAGAGTCTTTAGATACTTCTGCAACCAAGCCGTTGGAAACGGTTGACAGCGAGGATAGGCTGTACGTTCATACTCCAATGGTTCCGTTTGCAATTGATCATTTTGAAGCGTCTGCAGGAGTTATGGTTACTGCATCTCATAATCCGGCCAAGGATAACGGATATAAGGTTTACTATGGGAACGGATGCCAAATTATCCCTCCTCATGATGATGGAATTGCCCAGCTGATAAGCGAGAATTTAAAGCCTTGGTTAGAGGATGAAGTTTGGGACATTGTTAAGAATTTTAGAAAGGGATTAGAAAATGGGAGCTTGAGGTCAATCAAGGAAGAAGCAACCCAAGAGTATGTAAAACTGGTCAAGGAGAAACTCCTTGTGAGAGACGAAATCAGCTTCCCATTTGTGTATACGCCAATGCATGGGATTGGATTAGAAATATTTGAAAAAATAGTGGATCAATTCAAAGGAACCGATATGACTGTTGTTCCCGAACAGATTGAACCAGATCCCACGTTCAAGACGGTCAAATTCCCAAATCCAGAAGAGAAGGGAGCCCTTGATTTAGCAATAGCTACTGCAGAGAAAAACGGTATTAAGTTGGTGGTTGCCACTGACCCCGATGCGGATAGATTCAGCGTTGCAATTAAATGTGACAGCTCATGGAGACAATTGACCGGGAATGAAATTGGATTTTTGTTTGCCATGTATGTTTTAGAAGAATTGCAACCAAAGGAGTTATTCTCCAAAACATACATTTTAAATTCGACGGTGTCGCTGCAAGTGTTAGCCTCAATGGCCCAAGCGGAAGGAATCAAGTTCCAGGATACTTTGACTGGGTTCAAATGGATTGGTAATAAGGCCATAGATTTGAAAAAAGAAGGATACAGTGTACCATTTGGATACGAAGAAGCAATTGGGTTCATGTTTGATGTGGTCAATGATAAAGATGGGATTTCTGCTGCGGCAGTCTGGTTACAATTATACGAAAGATGGTTTGCCAGTGGAGAATTGACCCCCGTTGACAAGTTGAAAGCAGGGTACGACAAGTATGGATGGTTCAAAGAAGCCAATGGGTACTATAAATTGGATGATTTAAGTAAAACGGACAAGATATTCAATACCACAATTAGAAAGCTGTATGACGGATCAAATTACCCAGAAACTTTGGGAGTGTTCAAAGTCAAAGAATGGAGAGACCTCACCATTGGGTATGAATCAGTTACTGCGAATGGTAAGCCAATCTTACCTGTTGATCCTAAGCTGCAGATGATCACGGCAGTCTTAAACCCCGGCGACTCTGATAACGAGCAAGACCAGGTTAGATTCACTGCTCGTGGTTCGGGAACTGAGCCCAAAATAAAAATCTACATCGAAGGAAAAAGTAATACGGAAGAAAAGGCTCATGACTTGGCCTATCTTTGTTGGAAAGTATTGAAAGAAGAATGGTTCAAACCAGATGAAAATGGGTTACAAGAAGTCATATAGATCAGCATATATTATTAAATAGTTTTCTACTCAAGCAAGAACCCAAGATCGTGTTGTAATTCGTCAGTAAATCTCGACTTAATTTCTTCCAACCAAGTTTTGCGTAGCTCACATTTCCACTCTTGTTTCAACTCATCAACCACCTCCTTCTTAATATCGTGTTTCATCTCGTTCTTCAATTCGCTGATAACCTGATCTTTGAAAATCTCTTTTTGTACCTCGTCTTTTATACAACGTAAAAAATTATCCAATTCAAACTCGCTTGTTTCGTCAAGTTGGTCAACCATCTCCATTGAAAAGCTGGCCGACTGTTCGGACTCTCCAATAGACCTAGGCATGCGAACAATATTTGGTTCTCCACTGGTATCCCCAGTGAAAGTCGTTATCAAATGACCGCAAAAATGCTTATACCCTTTGTGGATTTGACGTTTTTGCAGTTTGGAGCACGACAGTTTGCAGTTTGGATCTGGGTTCCCTGCACGTTTTCCGCCTTTCACAACCTGCCAACTACAAGCACAACCCAAATGGCAGTACATCCACCAGATGTACTGCCAATGGCCTGACAAAAGAGTAGAAGTAGCTCGAGGTGGTTTGGGCCGAACATCCAGTCCTATAACCCAGAATCTCTAACAAAACACTAACAAAACGAAAAAAAAAAAAAAAAAAAAAA